CCTTTTCTGCATGACTTCTTGATGAAATGGAAATGGCATGGGATCTTCTTCTTGGATCTGGGGCTGGTACTTCGGCTGTTTGCTCGATCCTTCCCTTTCCCTTGACCTTTTCCTTTTCCTTTCGCATGCTGTTTAGGCTGAGGTGATGGTAGAACTGGAGCTGCATCGGCCTTGGCCTTCGCCTTGGGCGCTGCCTTCTCCTTGGGAGTAGCTTTAGGCTTCGCTTTTGGATTTGCATCCGGTGCAGCGGCAGTTGGGTTCGGAGCAGGAGCTGAAGGTTTGCCGCCGCCTGCAAAGTCTCTCGCATACTTCTCTCTGGCTGCCACATGCTTGTCCTCTCTGATTCTGGAGATGTGCCTTTCGATGACATCCAACAGGTAGCGATAATTTCGTCTTTGGTCTCCTTCCATCCATGACTCGTACTGCTTGATGTCGAACATCATAAGACTCGAATTTCGAATCTTCTTGTATAGAGCGTCACGAAGCCAATCATCAGGAGGTACGTCATCCGGCATCATGTTTGATACCATCTCCATCCATTTCTCGTAGAACACTTCTAGGTTCGAGTCACCGAGATACTTCATCGATACGATGTGTTCCATGGTGAAGGATGTTTCTCGTTGACCTGGGGTTCTGAAGTGCTCCAGAATCATAGCCAAGATTTCCCGTCCCATGACATAGGTTCCTCTTCGGCTATGACTTTGTGTTCTCAATCTCAATTTGATCGCTACATGACGAGCAACATCACCGGCTTGGGCTATCACGTTTGACAATGCAATTGACAACTTGGCGTCGATGGACTGATACCGTTGCCCCCCACTGTCATTCAACAGCTCGATGTCAGGATTTGGTCGAATAGCCGGCTGTAGCCATGCTTCCCATGCGGCTTTATCCCCGTCATTTGCCGAAAGAACAACACTCTTGATGAGATCTGATTGCCAAACCCCAAGATTCTGTTGCTTTGGCCATGGGCTAACATAGACTTTGTCAGCCTCTCGTCTTGACATTCTCGGTACTTCTTCCGCAGTGTAAGCCGCTGTGGAGACATCATCTGCTGAATCGCGTTGTGATCCTCGAACTGAAGGCAAACCAGGAGGTTCAGGAGGTGGTCCTGGACCGTTAGGCCCAAAAGGGTCCGGAGGTCCATCAGGGTCAGGCGGACCGCCCCATCCACTCGGTGGCTTGTAATAGTCCCTCTCAGTTCCGCCAGCGATCTTGTTGTCAACCTCTTTCAGCAGATCAGCGATTCTTTTGCTTGACTGAGAATGCTGTTGTTGTTGAGGAGGTACAGCATGCCCACGATAGGAATGAGCCACATTTGTCTCATAAGTCAACTCCTTGTCGATCTGCGAAACCCAAGATTTCAGAATAGCGTTTTCGCAGTTAGCCTCACTCACGTCATTCTCCAGTTTGTCGATGACCAGTCTGGATGCGAGATCGGAGTTGGGAATGCCTGCCGAATAGGGAAGTGTGTCAGGACTGATCCTAGCCATAGATGTTTCAGAATCCTTGAGACTTTTTCTCAGTTCATCTAAGTGACGTTTCATGTCAACAATCTCAGAATTCTTGATGCCAATCTTTTCATCCCTATCCTGGATTTCCCCCATGAACATGCATGATCTCTCATATTGTTGAACACCACTCGCCAATTTCAATTTTCGCTCACTCTCTAGTTCAGATCTTAGAGTTCGGACCTCAGCATTGGTGAGGGACGACGCCCCTACATCCGCAACTTCAGTCAACCTTTCTTTTAACAACAAGTTCTCTTGTAAACATTCATGAACTTCATGATCTAGATCCTGAACCCTGATTTGAGCGATCTTAGCTTGATTACGTAGATCTTCAACAAGCATCTCTTCGGGGCCACGACCGTCGGTCGTAGAACCCTGAGTCAACGATCTTCGTAACTTCGTGTTCTGCAACTTGATCTCATCCTTCAATTCGCAGTTCATCTTCTGCTCGTTGGCATAGAGCTCCTCATAGTGCTCTGCCCTTGCGATCGAGTTTGCACTAGCCTGTGATTCAAGCCTCAGGTGAGATATTGCTTCGGCCTCTTGGTTCCTGTATGATGCAATTCTTCTGACGGTATCATGTTCAGTGTTTCGATGCTTCAGATCACTTTCCAATTTGGCCTGATTTGCCTCGAACACCTTCTTCCTAGATTCTCTAGTGATCTCATCAATACTGCTCTCATACAGCTCGGCCTGTTTACGAGACTGAACCAAAGCTTCACTCAATAGCTGATTTCGCTCAGATAATTCATGAACTGCAATTGATTGTTGTTGGCTAATCACTTCAAGTTGATTACTAGAGAAGGATGCCATTTCAGATCGATTACGATATTCCATGATTGAGTTCTGGAAATCATTTTGCATTTCTTGACCCTCATTGTATAGTCGATTGGCAATATCGGTGGTTAAGACATTGGTTTGATGAAGTTGTTGTAGTCTTGCCTCCGTATTACCCAGTAGTCCTTGAAGGTGATGTACTTCATCCTTGTACTCCTCCTGGATCTCCATACCACGTTGATGGATCCGTCGTGCACCATGTTCCATTAGGGCACCTCGGCGTTCAAGGTCTTGGATGCGTATTGTTGCACCTTCGTCTTCCTGAGATGCTACCATTAGTTCTGCTTGATATTCTGCAACCTCATTTGCGGAACATGACAATCTATGATTGAGTGCATTGACCTCATCAAATACATTCTGATTGTGTTCCCGAAGATACTCAGTGAATCTGATCTCGATGTCATGAATCAGTTGATCCCTGGATGCAGCGTATGCTTCCATGTTGTTCAGCTGATTACGTAGGGATTGACATTGTGCCCGTAGTTCCTCTATCATGGCAATAGGTTCACTAGCCACAGAAGTATCCGTTGATCTCCTCTTAACACGACTATCCCCGGTCCTCTCACCAATTCGGTCGGTCACGGCCCTGGTGGATCTGTCCCTTGGAGTAGTACGTCCTCGAGATGGTCGATGCCCTTGGCGGACAACATCACTCCGAGCACTGTTTCGAGAAGATCTAGGTGTACTTTGGGTGGATATTCTTCGTCTGTTTGATGTGACTTGCCATCCGGACTGTGTAGTTCGGGTAGAGCGTATCCCGCCACTGTCTGCCGTGTCGCCAGGGGAAGATTGATTGACCTCCTCGACCGGCATAGCAGCGTTCTCATTGAAGGTAAACTGCGTGGTGCGCGAATCTCCGCTGCCGCCTTGCATCTTTGCGATGATGAGCTGATTGGTCCTTTGCGTCCTCAATCAATTGCTCAGACGGCCCGGCTACCAGCACGCAGGTACCACTCTCCCGGCGGGAGAAGTGAGCCCTACGGCTGATAACCTGTGAGCAAATTGATCCTTGTTCTGGATATCCTTCGGTTGTAGTTCCCTATGTGCTGATAGTCAGAGCTGTCAAACCATGCAGCAGCGGAGCGCGTTATTTTGGCCTCGCAGTGGGTCTTGAGCCATAGTGGCGTCCCATGCAAGAATGTGCACATGCTCAGCATGTGTGACTACTGTGTTATCTCGTTCCCCTTCGCATTTACCGTATATCTTCTGAAGATGTTTAAAAAGTGCTAAATGATACTTTAATTGGATATTGTTGGCAAGATCTGGGTTCCGTAAAATCAAACGCAGCGATGGCTCAGCGATGGCTCATCCTACATTCTGAATCATTATGATGTTTTTAAATGACCTTCAACAATTTAATTGATGCCCACCGCATTTTACTGTAGGTGTTCTTTTCGTGACATTTTTGGACTCTGCACCATGAAGTCTTGAGCCTGGGCGCCTGTTCCGGAGCTGAAGCGAGACCATGCTGCGCCACCGGTTGCATCAGGCGAACATCAGCTGATATCCCAGCCATTGATAGCAACAAAACTCATCATTTTTGGTCAGCTTTAAGATCTATGTACACAGTTTCATGTGTTGGGACAAAATTATTGCTCTGCTTAGGGCTGTCCATTCTCAAGGTACGAGTACATGATCAAAGGGTGGCCAGATTAGCTATTCGTAGACGATGTGTAGGCGCATTGACAACTTCTGCATGGCATCCACAAAACGGAGTATCAAGAGACCAGGCCCTTCGCCAGAGATTGCAATGGCAGAAAGGAGCCGGAAGATAAATTCAAATAGCAGAATGTAGTAGAATCAGAAAATGTGATACTTATCTGATAAACCCATCCCAGAATACCTCCTCATGGATGGTTCCAATCCATTCAAAATATTCAAATCCACCAAGATCCGATGGAGATGAATATCCATTTGTCACCTCCCGCTGCTCATTTTCCCACGCGATGAAACAAGTTTGCCCAGCGGGAACTTTGTTCACCTGGGCGTCTGGAATGCTGGCGATCTACACTTTGATGGCGGTGACCGGTGCTCGACGTGCCCGACTTTAGTCTTTCTTTTGCGGTTGGAGCCAATTGTCATCAACTCTTCAACAAAATCAGCAAACTGAGGCAGGTCAACAATTGACAGCATGTGTAATCATTGGTATAAAAGGTTCAACATACCATTGCATTGAACATGATTGAACTGATTGGATCCGAATGAAGATACTGTATACATCCAATTTGGTTCTAAAGGACTTCCCAGCGCCCCATCCACCACCACGCAGGCAGGCATAGTGCTACATTGATGCAATGACAGCGAAACCAACCAAGTTTTAAGGTGCTTGCTGTAGCATGGGGCCGTCAAACGGAGAATGAATGCAAATTATTGCAAATGCATATTCTGAAATTGAACCTCCAGACTTTTTTTTTTGGGGGGGGGTCAAGTGATATGCTCGGACGCACTTTGTAGTGTAAAGATTCTTTTGCCTTCTGTGTGCAGCTATATTAAATCAGCTTCACCTACCACAAGTCATATAAGTCATGTCCCATGTTGGAATTAATTATCCTGAGGTCAAATTATGTTGACAATTGGGCTTTTGACCTTTCAGTAGCAATTGTAAAGCAGAGGGATCATTGCAACGAATAAGAGACTAATATAAGAGATTAAGACGCAACCAATCCGAGAATGACAAGAACAGAAGCACCGGTTGATGATTGGTTACCTGGTTTGTCTTCGTCTCCCGACCGCAGGGCTTGGCTCAGTGGACGGCAAGAAATGGTTCTATGGATCCATGGCAGGTCTTGGGCCGGATTCTCAGCAAAGGTTCAGAATGAGATGCCGAAGCGAGACTCCAAAAAGTCTTCCAGCATCCTCCAGCTACGAAAGCACGACGCCAACCATTTTTGCTGGACCATTCAAGTAGACAAGGCAAAGACGTCTTTATTTTATGCGGGTAAGATCGGGTAACCCCATTTGGTTCAAGTCAAAACAATTTTTGGACCAACTCCAACAGAAATGGCAACTGCGATGGGCTCGCCTCTCTGGTGTTTCAACGAACCTCGCAGCCGAGCAGATCATCTTGGCTGTTTGCTGTAGCGGGCTGATGATGCTGATGGATCATGATGGATCAAGATTCGAACATCGACAAGCTGCGTTTGTGTTTTTCGACATGGCTTCGATATTTCAAGAGTTGCACAATGGAGAGCACACCTCCTGATATGAAGTAGACACTGAGAAGGATTTCTTGCTCTCCATGGGCTGCAAGTCACCTCAGCGACTGGCAAGTCCTTTGCTTATTACATCTGTGCAACTTCGCTGTCTCTCTGAGTGGAAGTGGGATTGGGGGGGCACCAAACAAACATCAAACTACAAAGCATGGGTCGGGCGAGTGAAAAGACAGAGCAAAAGACAAAGCTGTTGCACTCCGCTTTCCCAGACTATCACTCATCCGCAAAGACTGCGTGTTCCGGTTGATGCCATGGGAGCTGGACTGCTGAATAATCCCCATCAAAACGTACCAAAAACGGTTTGGGCCACTGCCACTGTTCTTTGGAGAGCCCATCTTGCCGCAAGCAGAGTCCCACTGCACATCTTACTTGCAAAATCTTGCAAATGAGCTACCAATCAGTCGCATCTCTTCTGGGTCCTGAAAGTTCAAGGAGAACCGCAAGGTCGACATGCTGAATTCATGATGTTCGCCCGTGTCTTTTGAAGCTGTGATTTCGCAGTGTAACCTTTGACCTTCGTGCCTTCCAGCCACACAACTATTCAAAGAGTTCAAAGAGTTCACATCAAACCTGATCATCAGGTCACTATCAGTTGCCGAGTGCAGCTCCTTCGAATTGAAGACCATGTCAACCTTTGTGCCATCACCCCTCAGGGCAAGGCCCTTGCATCGGCTGAAATCCTGAGATCAGACTTGCACCGGATCGGACTCCCCCATAGTTTCGCGATCGGACATGCCGCATTTTTGGGGTTGAAATTTGTAGGCCAAACCTCCCCCCATTTCCTTGGATGATCGGCTTTAAAAAATCTGATTGCATCTTTTTGTGCTAAAGATACCGTCAATTTACACAACCTGTCCGCAAGAGGCAATTTATTTGAACCAAGAGGCAAACGACATTGCCTCAGTTTCGGCAGCACGCATCATATTGGCAAGAAATGATCGCGTTGCACAGTCTGACTGATGGACAAAGACAAAAAAACTAAACCATACGAAACCCTTTTCTACTTATTCCTTCAGAATCCTTCAGTCCTCTGCCTTAAACTCAACATACTGACATAGGTAATCTCTTGAATTTCATGATCTTTCTGACTGCACAGCTATACACCTCCACCCTGCCCCTTCTTTTGCAGTGCAGGCGCAAGAGCCTTACTTCGAGGAGCACATGACGCAGCAAGTGCATAACCTGAAAACTGAGATCCCTGGGATTCGGTGCATCCACTTACAACCTCGTCCTGATTTTTAAGGAGTGTGTGGTCGAAAATCTTGGAATTCACTTATATATCATGGGTCATGACTGATGTCCCCAACATCACCCAACCAAAATCGGTACATGGTCTATAATGGCTACTATAAGGTGATGTCCAATATACCCAAAATGGGACAGTTACCAACCCCTGTATATCTTCTCCCCAAGTATCAAGTCCGATAGACAATGGAATTGAATGGAATTGAAGCATTCAAACAAAAAGAACGACCGTCCGTATCCGTCCGTGGCTAGAAACTCCATATCTATACAGGGTGGCACAGCACTTTTTGGATTCACGTTGAAAATTTCTAGGATTTTCTATCAACCATCATCCACTGGTCCCAACTGTTGGGCCATTGGGGTCGTTGAGGCCGTTGGGAGCCAAGTAACCACCGTTGGGCAGCCAAGCTCCACGAGTTGAGGCAGGCCCTATGGCCCGCGCAGGGCCTGGCAGATTGGGAGAGATGAATGATAGTATGCAATAGGCGCTAGATGACACATACACACACATCCCCATACACACACATATACAGTACATATATACATATGTATATATATATGTATATGTATATACATATGTATGTATATATATATATATATTATATACACATATGTATATATGTATATGCAATGCCATGTATATATATATCATTATATCATGCAATTTTACATGCACATATGATCACATATGATTGATTGGATATCCAATGGGTCTGAGGTTTGTGATTGATTTGATCGGATATCCAATAGGGAATCCCGCAAACCGCAAACCATCAGAAACTGCAGTTTCCAGACAAACTTGAACATGTGTAAGTCTGAAAACACCACTCCTCTCACAATAGTTGATTCTCATACAACAAATGTTTGTCTCAGTCGCGAACCAATCGCCGATCAATCGCGATGCAGGGTTTTACAATCACGGATGTTGAAATATACATGCCCTTTCATAATTCTTAGACGTGCATTTACAATTGGCTCCCATATGATATATCCAAACATCTCAAGGCTGAGCTAGTCAACGACCCATGGCCTGAAAGGGCGCTGGCCAACGCCAGCTTTTTGCGCGTCTCATCATCTGCTTCTTTGGTGGTCACCTGTGGCAAGGCTGACCTGTGGATCCTTTGGGTTGTGGATGATTGCCGACAATGGTCTATAGATGACTGTAGGAGGGAAGATATTTAGGTATGATAAGATATAACGGTATGGCAAACGCTGCAAAACAAGTAGTGATACACAGAAATCACACAGCCTAAGGCAAACAAGCGTGAAGTTAGGACTGGAAACGCTGGAATCTAGCGGCTTCAAACATGCGCAGCTCTTCGTAGCACCTAGACTCTAGACTTACAGGGCTCGTTTGCCATCGTTTGTCCTTGTGGATCACCTGCATGCAGTTCGTTCCGTTCAGCAAATCCAAGAGTAAACAGAGACAACCAGTATGTCCAAAGTCGAGAGATACCAAATAACATCAAATTTACAAGGACCAAAATAACGCGGCCACTACACAACACGTCCTTGAAAACGGTAAGCCAATGGCAAAGCCAGTGGCAAAGCCAGTGGGAACCCGGAGGCCTCACAGTGCCCGGTGACATCAAGCTGCAACACCAGCGTCAGCTGACGATCAGGCACCTTGCACTTGGAAGTTGCTGCATGACATGGCCTTGATGGGACCAAAATCCGATGAAACATTGCATCATCTATCAAAATTATCAGACTGAGGCAGTCTGTGGGGTACAAACTGATCTGAACACAAACATGCATTCTTACTTCCTACTGTACTGACATTTCCAAATGGCACCTTTGCATGGATGCATTGAAGTGTGCTTTGTCTTCCAGAACAGATACGGCAATAATTTGCAATCGTCGACCATCTACTTCCCTAGAACTCAAAAAACCGAAGCTGCTGAACTTCGAGCCGATTTCAGCCCTGCCTTCTTGGGAGTGAAAATTGCCACCAGGTATTCCTTGCGCATTGCGTGTGGGATGGCATGGCATGACACGTGACACATGTGTGGCAAGTGTAGTCAACACCTGTCAAATGCCACAGCTGTGGGACATCATAGCAATTCATAGTCATAGCCATGGATGCTGCGTTCTAAGTTTCTGAACTCAAATAGGATTAACAGCCCCCAACTAGATAGTAAACTCCCTCGAAAATAATGGTGGAATGTGGGGGGCTATTGAATACATTTGACTACAAGGACAGGGGTTTCCAACGGTTTTCCTTCATTTCTGACCTATTTTGGGGCCCTCAAAAAGCGGTGCGTTTGCCTCCAGTGCCCTTTGTCATCTGAGCCTCTCCTGATCTCTCCTGGTACAAATCCCAAGCCCATCCCATGTCCCTTTCAACGAGGAACTCCGGCAGGCAGCGGCTTGCTATGAGGAATTTCCTCCACCAGCTCCCGCACGGGCCACAGGTGGCTGCGAAGAACTTCCGCTTGGGGTTTTCCATCCTCCAGGGGCCCATAAAGGGCGAAGGACAACCTCGGGACGGGTCTCAAGATGTCTCAAGTGGGTCACAAGCCGAAAACTGTGAAGCTTCAAGACTTGCAACCTTCATAACTTTTACTGAAAGTGGGGATTCCTTGTAGCCAATCTGCAGCTATCGCCAAAGGTTGCCCCTGATTACAACTTTGAATTGGTGAAACCTGTAACTTACAGAGTTTTGGCTGAACTTGGAGGATCCATGCCTGAACATGCTTGAGCTGCTGCCATGTAGCTGCGTATAAGGAGGTGCGCCTGTCCGGATTTGGTTTCGCAGTCAACAAACTCAACCATGGCTGGCGAAGGATTTCCATTCATTTCCATGTCCAGTTTGGAGCACAGTGTATAAACTGAAGGAGCATCCAGCAGAAACTACAAAAACGGATGCACACTGGTACGAACCAACTACGCAATTACATCACATGTCCCCTGTGTCCCCCTCGGTGCGACGTTGGTTCATCTTCAGCTTTCCCAAAGGCCTTGCATCCGCTCGTCCTGTTGAAAAAGTGTGATGAAACCTTTCTTGATCGGTGAGGAGCTTCGAATGGACACCACCTGTCTACACCTCACTGCGCTCTTGTCTCCGAGACGCAATTGAAGGACAGAAACTGTGAGGACCGAAGGACTGAAGCGACATTGCGGGCCATTCATTGGCTGCTAAAGTGAGCAAATACTTGTTGTCATAAATTGGTGCACTGTCCAGCAATCAAAACCATTCAAAACCAACAAAGTAAACCTCTCGATCATCAGTTGCACGGAAAGTATATACAAGTGTATATACAGTGATCTCTGCAATGGCTTCAAGATTACACGATGCTACTCTACGTAAGCCTGTGCAGTGACCCCAAAGGAAAAGGAGGGGAGCACACGGCAGTAAAAGGTATCTAAAGGGGAGCTGCATGAATCAGTAACACCAAACAAAAAAAGAAGAAGAAACGAGCGCCAAGTAAACCTCTGATTTTGCAAACCTGACACAAACACAGTCACATAAACCCGGAATTGCTACAAGCACCGTACTTAAGTCACATCAGGCGGGAAAAGTCACATCATCCCCATGGCACGGCGGCGATACAGAAAAGTCACATCAGCAGTGGAAAGTCACATCAGGGAAGAAGAATCACCATGGCACAGCCTGTTTCATCTACAATTGGAGATTTAGTTAAAAGTAGCCGAAGCATTGCGCACAGCGATGATTTTGAAGGGCACAAGTTAATACGACCAAACTCTCGGCAGCTAATCCTATTGGATTTGAATATATTATATTGATGTCCCTCGTCGCGTGACGAAATCAAACCCTTATTGGTACAGCCTCAAATTTCTTGCAATGCAAATGGGTTAGCGGTAGCAAATCCTATTGGCAAGCAAGCAAGCAAGCAAGCAAGCAAGCAAGCAAGCAAGGCAAGCAAGGCAAGCAAGGCAAGCAAGGCAAGGCAAGGCAAGGCAAGGCAAGCAAGGCAAGGCAAGGCAAGGCAAGGCAAGGCAAGGCAAGGCAAGGCAAGGCAAGGCAAGGCAAGGCAGGCAAGGCAGGCAGGCAAACAAGCGCGCACGCACGCAAGCAAGCAAGCAAGCAAGCCAGCCAGCAAGCAGCAAGCAAGCAAGCAACAAGCAAGCAAGCAGCAGCAGGCAAGAAGCAGCAGCAGCAAGCAGCAGCAGCAAGCAACAGCAAGCAGCAGCAAGCAGCAGCAGGTAAGCAGCAGCAAGCAGCAAGCAAGCAAGCAAGCAGCAACCAGCGTTTGCCCCCTTGAAAGAATGATCAAATATGTATAAGTTTTAAAAATCAACGCAATACAAAAATCGAAGTTTTTCCAGGCGCACGGCCTCCCGATAAGGCCTTTACGAGCTAGTACTTTTCAAAAAAGAATCAGCGTCGCCACGTCGCCATTGTTCGATGCCCCACTTGTGACAGTCCAAGGGACATGTCCGTCCCATCAGTGGAGAGCATGTTGCGTGTGGTGGACCAGGAATCGCTTAGAAACGCCACACCCACGGAGCTGAAGTGGCTCCTTAGGGACATGAAGATTCACTATGGTTCACTTGCATGGGAACCAGAAATGCTGGCATCACACACAGATATATATATATATAGCAATATAGTATATCATATATAATGAATTATATAATGATATATAATGATGTCTATATAATGTTTGAGGGTGTTGGGAAACTGCAATGCTCGCATCTGAACTCGTGTTGGAATGGCCCATCCTCCCATCCCCAAACATTCTTTTGGGGTCTGGCACTGAGAGCTCAGGCTGAGTCCATGGCAATAGTGCTGATATTGGAAATGATGTGAAATGATAAGCTCCCTATTGGCACTTCGATTTCTCGGGAACTGATGAGGTGTATCCAATTTTTCCCCAACTGACAATGGAATTTGGGTGACTGACTTAGGGTGACCTTCCAGACCTTGAACATCTTTGAAGTGCCCAGTTTCAGGAAGTCTCGGTAGCACATCCAGAACTCGCCATCATTGGCATCGAAGCTAGGCTTTGGCGTTACAGCATCCTTCATGGCCTGCGTCCACAAGCTACCTGGACGCCGCGGATCTTCATGGTCTCAACATCTGGTGGTGAGGAAATATCAACACCAAAGACATCTTAAGACTCCCCCAGATCTCTGCAAATGGTGGTCACTTGAAATGTCATTTCTAGCATTCGGAATCCAACGTTTTGCCAACCCATTGGCCCTTGGCCAACAACTCCAAGCTGTCCAGCTAATGTCGAGTGGCTCTTGTCACTCCAATCACCCGTCCACTCATGGTCGCCCCAGGGGTTTCGGAGACGCAACAGTCTCACACCATTCGCTTCGTGTGCCGAAAGCAATGTATAGGCATGGCCAGGGATGAGGCCCGACAATGGGATCTGCGACTTGTCACCTGAGATTTCTGCGACGAAAAGCCATACAAAAGCAGCGTTGCGAGGTGATTATCACTAATGAAACCACTAACAGAGTGGTTTTGTTAGTAACTAGTAGTGGTTTCAATCTTTAGGATATTATCCATACATACAAAAACCTGAGTTAGGATTATCACTATTGAACCCACTAACAGAATCTAACTAAGCTTTCTGACACTGGCACCTCCTGTTCACATGGAGGGTTTCGATGGCATCTATGAATCTTGGCTCACAGAAAAAAGGTTGTGGAGATACTACCAGAAAGATTCACATATTTCAAGCCTCCCTGTCCTCTAGGGGTAGCACTATCAGTTCCTATCAGTTCCACTAGATCATAATATATATATATATATATACACAGTACACATTATATACAGTTTATATACTAGATATTTTACACACACACATCTATAAACATGGAATATAATTGCACACCAGTTATGCTGCCATATGCTGCCAACCTCTCTCCAAGCCTAGTGACCTTTGGTAAAGCTATCTGAGCCAGGGGTCCCAGCTACCATCAGATAGCCCGCCTGATCATATTTGCACCTGGGCGCAAGGGGCACCAAAGGGCGCAAGCAGTTGAACCATGGATAAATGAAAAATATAAAAATGAATGAATAATATATGCATAATATATAAATATCTAATATATGAATAATATATATATATATTATATTTATATTATCTAAGTATAAAATATGGAAACCAACTGCACCAAATGGAAACCAGGCGCAGCATTGAAAAGAACTTGTCCTTAGCGATGAGACCATCGGGATGCTTCTCTGTCTCCAAGTGATACCTGCGAGCCACAGAAATCCCACAGCTACCCTGGGATACCCTGGGTACATTGCGATTGAGGTGGTCCCAACCATTGTCACCACATCCGCATACTCTTAAATTGATAACATGAACTTAGCCGCTAAGTTTGCGCATGTCACTGCAATTCATAATTACAGTGAAGATGTATACAACTTCAAAAGTATATACAACATTTTGTAATTTCTTACTTTCTTTCATTCTATTTTGAAAATAGTTCTCCACCGAGCTACTCTTTGCCCGCTGCTCCAAGCAAGTCCATCAGCGCACGATACCTGCGGACCAAAGAACAAGCCTACCCTCTGGTAATGGCTGACATAGCTATTGAAAATGGCCATTTATAGTGGATTTTCCCATTGAAAATGGTGATTTTCCATAGCTATGAATCAGCCTCGCACATGATTTGGACCTTCAGCTGCTTACAGGATCTTGCAAATAAGACTAAAGACGTTGTGCTGCTACTGCGCTGCTACTTTCAACATCCCCGACGATCTTCAGCTGAAAACTTTTAGCTTCGGGAACACATTTCTGACCGTGTGGATTGAATTCCATCGAAACCCACTGCAGAAACTGAACGTTCATGGTGCCCATGGTCAGAGAATATAAAGACAAGAATGCCACACTATTCATAGACTATGCTACACCTGTCTCCAGTGCTTCCAGACCAGTGATATCCAGTGATATACCAGTGATATACCAGTGATATCACGAGCCGCTCCCATGACGCAAGTTACGGCATACCACTTTCGATTCGTTCATAGCAGCCATGCAGCTTGGCCTTGGTCAGGCAAAATTAGTAACGCTTAGATAAACTGGTTGTGCGGCGTTGGACCTCAGCAAATACTTGTATAAAATTCTATAGTATTATAGATTACTACATTAATCTACATTATCATAATGTTATAATATCAGTCATCTATAGACACCTTGACTCTACTCGGACGTGTGCATTCTAACAACTCATCAAAGACACGAACCACCCTTCAGTGATTTTGTCCGGAAATGGATGAAAGTTGGATATCTCCCCACAGCCAGGTGGGACAAAACCACCTGGCCCAGCTGGCCCTGCAAGGTTTGTCAAGTGGCCCAGGCTTTTTCCAAGAGCATGACCCACAGCTCATTTTGATTGCGGCCTCCCAGCATCCATAAATGCCGTAAAATGCAGTAGAATGCATTTCAAAGCAGTCTGTGTCGCAATAGATGTAATAGATCAGGATTGGAAATGGGATGCAACGGGAACTGACACTGGGAGAAATGCAAGCAAGCATTCAATATATTAAATACTATATATGAATATATAATTATATAATGTTTTATACTGCGATCATCTGCGATCTGATTGTTCCCCTCACAAAAATGCGCAAATGGTGTTTGGGCCAAACACATTCTAATTCTGCACACTGTGTCACCTGCGCAGAACTTCGGCATGCCGACACGCCTTGAACATCAACATGAGCATAACATGGCAGCCCGCTGTTGGGAGAACACGGAAAAAAGTCATCCACAACAATGGATGTTGGTCGTCCATTCTTGAAGCATTTGATCTCCTTGGTGCATGCCCGGTGAATCCCGGCGACTTCATGATCAACGACTTCAATCAAATGGACATCTGCTCTTACCCTCTGGTAAATAAACATAGACCCTGAAAATCACCAATTTTTTAATGGAAACTAGTCTTCCAACCCCTATCTGCCAGGGTCTATGTTAATTTACCAGAGGGTAGAATCTCTAAAAAGCGGTTCAGGTTTGGACAGGGAGGGATGGGCTCAACTAAAATCTCAGCCAAGCTTCATACACGCCATGCTTGTTCACTTTGGGATCACCAAGCAATCGGCGAATTAGGTCAGGATCCTCCGCCACAGCTGCCAGTGCAGCCAGAAACCAACAGTCGCCCAAAGCTCCCTGCTTGATGTCGGAGGGCAAAATGTCGTTGGTGAAAACCTGAAAACTGCCTGCACCAAAATGGCATCATTTGGCACATGACAAACCTCATGTCACAACCAAAAAACAATAAAAAACACCCAGCTAGCAACTCAACAACACCGCTAGCGTATTGTAAATTAGATCATTAGTTGTCATTCTAATGCATTCAAACATTCTGATTACTGATTAATTAGTATCATCAGCTGTGTGCCATGCAAAAGGTCACCAATTTCCTTGGCGGAACCCCTTCTCCTTGAGCCATGGCGCCTTTACAGAAGTCCTCTGGGCGCTTCCACATCACTGCTGGTTGGTCATTGCTGGACTTCTGGAATAAGGATTCATCACAGGGCATGAAATCTGCATCAACAAACCTCGGCATATGGCAAAACCAATGCAACATTATGAACAACTAAACATCAACTGGGCCCGAAAGGCCCCTTCAAGGTCTATGTTGGAGCAAGGTCCGGGTTTTAAGACCCGTACTTGGGATGAACACGTTCATTTTCTTACACCCGGTTGTGGGGTCATTTGGTGAGCTGAAATGTATCTATCCTCTTGTCCCGTCACTCAGTAGCAGCAGGCATTGGAGATTGAAGTTCAACACGGGCTTCTACCAATGTTATTTTTGGCTCCAGCAGTGCGGGTTCGGGATGAAGCGGGGCCCTGTGCGGAGGACTCCTAACCCAACATGTTGCCTCACTTGTCAAAGCCATCATGAAGGATATAGTGCCATTCGCATCAGACCAAGACATATCAAGACACTCAAGAGCCCAACTTGGGCCCCTGGCTACCATACCTGTCCAAAGCGCTACACATCCAGCCAAGCGTCTTGGAGATACCAGCCCTGGAACAAGCATCCTGGCAGGAAGCTTCAAATTCCCAACATTGGCCGCAGCTCACTGGTCTGTCGGGACTAGTCAGTCAAGAGCCATCGTGACTGATGTGTGTCTGTCCTTGATCTCAGAGGCCGTCATCCGAGAGGAAGTGATGCCTTGTTGCTCCAGCTCAGTGGCGAGTTCCCTCCGCCTGTGCGATATTTTGCGGCATGACGATGTGATGAAATATGATATATATGATATAACCATATATGGACCATATAAAATCTGCTATTGATATACGTAGGTTCAATCTTGAAATCACCAACCTGGAATCATGGATCCCCACCACGTTCCATGCATTGCCTCTGCTGCTCTGCACTGGTAAGCTTCTGTAGTTCTTCTCTTTTTACTTGCTGCGGTTCCCAGTTGAAGGCCATGCTAAGCCTCGGGTTGAGCGCCCACGAGACTGGGCCAGAAACTGAGCACCATGAGACGAAATTCGCCATGTCCAGGTCCAAGTTCCAGTTAAAGTTATGGTAAACAAAACTCCTGCGATGTCCTCAGCATTCCTTGCAGCCGTGTCAGTCACATGCTTTGGTGGGCCAGCTATGGCCAGCCGAGCGTCCTGCTTGACTGGCGATGGTCTACCTGGCATGGATCCCCTCAAGCCGAACCCCATCGGCTTAGCCTACAGACTCTCTCTCTCTCTCTCTTGCCTATTTATAGTTGAGATTAGTTGAGGGAATTGACAAAGGCCACAACTGCTAGGTCTAGTGCTATGGCCCTGAACCAAGTCTGCTGGGCTGGGACGTGACCTCTACTGTGGAGACTGTGGAAGTGCGGATGGTGCAGGTGCTGAAGACTCCAAGAACTTGCCCAGAGCTGTCCGGTGCCTGCCGAAGTTCACAAATATCTGTGTCAGCTGCAGCAGCTGCCAGCACCTGAGTGTCCAATGCTGCGACAGGTGCTGATGATTCGGTAGCCATGGCAGCTTTGACGCTAAGGATGATGTCTGAAAATAGGGGGTCCCTAAGATAAATGCCTCTTATGTGTGCCATATTGGCTGTATGCCACACTTTCAGACCATTATATCTCATATTGATTTGCAGCCCAAGAACCGTGCAGGTCTTTGCGCCTCGGCTCCCTTCAGGTTTCGCAAAGTCCTGCCAGAAACAGGCGGAAACTGTCCACCTGGCAATGTGTTGCTGGGATCTCTCAGTCACAGCGGAACGGGAACCGTCTAGACGGTCCAGATTGGTGGAGGCACCAATGTTCACAGTGAACTTCATGTCCGACAGCTTCTTGTTGCTGATGCAAAGCCTGCTGGTGCAACCCCAACTGACTGGAGCTGGATTTTCTGGCACCTGCTCTGAGAGCAGTTTGTAAGAGGAGTTCAAACTACGGGATCTATCAGACATCTCAGACTGTTAGAGATGCAAGCATGCGTCAACAACGTGAAAACCCTTGGAATGGTACGTATGCACGCATGAGAAAATTCAATCAATATTCACATGAATTAGCATGCAGTTGGAAAATGCAAATGCAGCATACCTGCTCAAATTTACGGTATGCATTGCAAATAAGAAGCTGTAATGCGGCGTTTGAATCAGTCCATTTCTTGAGCAGGATGATGCCCTCCTCGGGAACAAGTGAAACATAGTGAAACGATCAGCTGGCTTTGCACGGCTTTGGAAACCTGGCAGAACTGTTTTGCGCAAAATGTATTACCATGTATTACCCCTAGGCACAAGTACTAAGTAGCATCGTATGGTCTGTTAGTGCTAGTCGGTGCATACACATGAGCAGCACGACCCAAAAAGAAGTCTCAGTCAGTAGTACCCAAAATGCTGCACCTTGCCATACCTTGCGACTAGTACAAAATCCCACAAGATTTTCCAAGTCTCCGCCAATTGCTGCTTCTGCCAGTCAGCATGCGCTTTCGCAGCATCATCAGCATCTGTTTCTGCGCTGGTGCTTCCACTTTGCCCATCCACCGGTGTCTTGTTGCTCAAGGGTCTCCTCGTCCCAAGGTTGGATCAAACATGGCAGAAAGATTCGTGGTTTGGGGATGTTTGGGATATGCTGTATGCCATTGTAACTCCATTGATCTCCATATTGTACTTCCTAATAATTTGAGGACCCATGGGGACCCCCATAAGGCACCCAAAACCCAAGGGCTCTCGCAGCTGAGCAGCTCTACAGGAGCTGCTTTGCTTTCTGGTGCTTGCTCCACACCTGCCGCATTGCAACCATGGCAGGAGCCATTTTCAACCAGGATCCATTCGAAACATGCAGGTCGCTTGGGGGTCATCTCCAACAGAATGTGGTCAGCTGGGCCTCCGGTGTCCTGGCCGTGTGACCTTGGTCATTGAAGAGCATGCCATCACCGTAGAACGCTGTTCTGTTGCTTGACATGCTTCACTTACCCATGACTCCTCCGAGGGTTTCAAATGTTTCAAGATGAAGTCCTAGAAGTCAAATTGGGTTTGCCCCTACATTGGGTCGATTGTCATCATTTCCACATCAACATTGCCATATTGTGGAGTTGAACTCCCAATTATAGAACCAACATCAACCCAAATATACCCAAATCATGTTGTTGCTTGCCCTCTGGTAAACTAACATAACTATGGAAAATCACCATGTTTAATGGGTAAATCCACTATAAATGGCCCATTTTCAATAGCTATGTAACAAATTACCGGAGGGTAATTGTATCCCTGTCCCCATTAAAGTCATGCTGAGCCCCCAGCTCGTTGTCCACCGAGCCTGGCTCCCCCGGCGATTCCGGGGGCTCCGAGAAGCTGACGGCGCGCTTCACAGAGGGAGGTCGGGAGGGCCTGCCCAGTGGCCCAGTGCATCCCGGTCACAGTGGGTCTGGGTAACTGTAACTGTTATAGTTGATGTGGGAAACCCAAGAATAAACCTCCAATTTGGGATGGTGTTTATATAACATATATACAACATGACACGACCATATACCATCTATTTACATCTTACCATGTGAGCAGGCATCGACCAAGTCGATTGCCATTATTGCCATTGGCCGGGTGATCAAACACGAGTACTGGCAGCTAGGTCCTTTTCGCCGTCTTAACTGCCACAATAAGTGGAGCAGGTTGACATCTGATTACAATCACAATCAATCTATATATAACTGATAAAATTGGGGTTGGTGTAGACTGTAATGTTGGGTTTGCCACATTATATATACAGAGATAAAATAGTATTCCAACGCTATTCCGTTGTGTTCTGTTCCTGGCAGTTTTAGGGGCGGCATTTTTTGCGACGCGCAAACCGAAACGGAGTGCAGAATCTGGTTTGCTTCACTGAAAAAAATACGTTGGCCTTGCACTAGAAGTAATCCCGAGATTGTCAGCAAAACGATGGGAAAAAACATGAGTACAGGTTCATGAGGAGCAATGATCTCGATGTATGTAATTTGTGTGATTGGTGGACACGTACATCCACCAGATGTAACATGATTTGAATCAGGTTGGCACCTGTGCTTCGACATTCCAAGATATTCCAAGCATTCCATTGGGTCTGTGGTCAATTCCCCAGGCATGTTATTCATCTTTATTAGTCAGGGACATCCAGTTGTAGGGTGAGATCTCCCACAATGAGGATGCATGTAGGGGATACATACCCATCATTTCAATCCTATCCACGCAGCTCAGCTAACGAAACCCATCTGGATGAATATAATATTAAATATAATATTACATACATTCATCCAATCAAATCCATAGAAATCTTTACTTAAATCTGACATATTATGGTGATTCTTTGGGCTTCCCCTTCTTAACATTAGTCAATTCAATGGCCATTTCAGGAACCTAAATTGGAGGTACCTACCATATATAAGGCCTAAGTTTCAGGGAATATCCCCACAAAATATCGCCAAACATATGGTACAGTACCTCCATTTTAGGATCCTGGAATTCCCATTAGTCAATCATCATGGCTGCAAGTCGTTATGATCTGCTGCATCCCCCAGCCCTTTTTTGTTGCTGCCTGTCTTCTCCCTTCAGCGCTGAGCTCAAAGAAGGGTTGGACGCCAATGACCTCTGCATTTCGCAAAACCCCCGGCGTTGAGAAACCACACATTGAAACTATTCGAAACTATTGACATAGTGGTTCCGCAACAGTTAAGCAGCTGGCATTGCAGGCGACACTTCACCTTTTTCAAGTGCTTCTTCTGGAAATGGTTCACTTTCTACGTCTTTGTGCTGTGCAGAATTTCTCATTGATAGTGGGGGTGACCTCAGCCAAGAAGCACACCACATCCAAGATGGCCAAAGATATCAAAACATGATCAAAAGTATGTCACCCAGCAGCAATCTCCGTCGACAATCACAAGCACTCACAACCATGTCAAGCCAGAATCCCAAGGCCATCACGCTCAAGCCACTCTTGCCATAAGATCCGCAAGTATCAAAAGTCTCTCGAATATGTTATGGGACTATACGGCACGATTGTCACCAAAACCAGTGCTGAGAGAGCGACACAGCTTGCGACACATTCCCTTCTCCGTGCACATGTCGTGTTGAATCCCATTCTTCGGGTGCTGTGGCAGGTTCAGCTTCTGCCCTGTGCTGTGCAGGATTTCTCAATGACAGTGGGGACGAGTGAGAAGAACTTGGAGGGTGCTTCGCAGGCAAATAGGGCGACCTCAGCCAAGAAGCACACCACATCAAAGATGACCAAAGATGTCAAAGCATGATCAAAAGATATCAAAAGTATGTCAACCAGCAGTAATCTACGTCGACAATCACAAGCACTCACAACCATGTCAAGCCAGAATCCCGAGGCAATTACGCTCCAGCCACTCTTGCCATAAGATCCATAAGTATCGTAAGTCATAAGTCTCTTGAATCTGCTATGTATATGTGACATGAGCGAAACCAGTGCTGAAAGAGCGACACAGCTTGCGACACATTGCCCTCTCCATGCACATCTCGTGGTGAATCCCATTCTTCCGGTGCTGCGGGAGGTTCAGCGTCTGCTTTGTGCTGTGAGGCACTTCTCATGGACATTGGGGATCGCGTCGACTGAGAAGAACTTGGCGAGTGCCTTGCTTGCATGGCGGACGGCCTCAGCAATGGTCTGAATTTGATTAGATGTGCAGAAAATGCACCGAGTCTGTTTGATCTCTTTGAGCACAAGAATGTACCAAAACAACAACAATATCAAACATGACATACCTATGACATACCTCCCCTGCAAAGAACCATTCATCAATGACAGGCTTTGGCAGTGGCTCATGCCATAAAGCATCATCAATCATTCACAGGCATTCTAGATCAAAAGAAGGCGAAGGGTGCCTCAGTGCCTTGTCCCTGGTGCTTAAAATGTTCAGTGATGTTCATAGATGTTCTAGGCATGCCTAGGACTTGGCCTAAGGACCTTCCATAAGCAGCTGACGCAGGTTTTACTTGATCTTTGTCAAGTGCTTCTTCTTCAGGTGCTGGAGGAGGTTCGCTTTCTGCGCCTTGAAAAGCAGGACTTCTCGCTAAGAGGGACGAGTGAGAAGTTGGAGAGTGCTTCGGAGGCGCAGAATACCTCAGCCGAAAGCTATCACAGAGTACTGAAAGAGCGATCAAAGTCAGGAATGGCAGAGCACATTGAGATAGACAATCAAAGCATATCACAACCATGTCAAGCCAGAATCCCGAGGCAATTACGCTCCAGCCACTCTTGCCATAAGATCCATAAGTATCGTAAGTCATAACTCTCTTGAATCTGCTATGTATATGTGACATGAGCGAAACCAGTGCTGAAAGAGCGACACAGCTTGCGACACATTGCCCTCTCCATGCACATCTCGTGGTGAATCCCATTCTTCCGGTGCTGCGGGAGGTTCAGCGTCTGCTTTGTGCTGTGAGGCACTTCTCATAGACATTGGGGATCGCGTCGACTGAGAAGAACTTGGCGAGTGCCTTGCTTGCATGGCGGACGGCCTCAGCAATGGTCTGAGTTTGATTAGATTAGATGTGCAGAAAATGCACCGAGTCTGTTTGATCTCTTTGAGCACATGAACGTACCAAAACAACAACAATATCAAACATGACATACCTATGACATACCTCCCCTGCAAAGAACCATTCATCAATGACAGGCTTTGGCAGTGGCTCATGCCATAAAGCATCATCAATCATTCACAGGCATTCTAGATCAAAAGAAGGCGAAGGGTGCCTCAGTGCCTTGGCCCTGGTGCTGAAAATGGTCAGTGATGTTCATAGATGTTCTAGGCATGCCTAAGGCCTGGCCTAAGGACCTTCCATAAGCAGCTGACGCAGGTTTTACTTGATCTTTGTCAAGTGCTTCTTCTTCAGGTGCTGGAGGAGGTTCGCTTTCTGCGCCTTGAAAAGCAGGACTTCTCGCTAAGAGGGACGAGTGAGAAGTTGGAGAGTGCTTCGGAGGCGCAGAATACCTCAGCCGAAAGCTATCACAGAGTACTGAAAGAGCGATCAAAGTCAGGAATGGCAGAGCACATTGAGATAGACAATCAAAGCATATCACAACCATGTCAAGCCAGAATCCCGAGGCAATTACGCTCCAGCCACTCTTGCCATAAGATCCATAAGTATCGTAAGTCATAAGTCTCTTGAATCTGCTATGTATATGTGACATGAGCGAAACCAGTGCTGAAAGAGCGACACAGCTTGCGACACATTGCCCTCTCCATGCACATCTCGTGGTGAATCCCATTCTTCCGGTGCTGCGGGAGGTTCAGCGTCTGCTTTGTGCTGTGAGGCACTTCTCATGGACATTGGGGATCGCGTCGACTGAGAAGAACTTGGCGAGTGCCTTGCTTGCATGGCGGACGGCCTCAGCAATGGTCTGAATTTGATTAGATGTGCAGAAAATGCACCGAGTCTGTTTGATCTCTTTGAGCACAAGAATGTACCAAAACAACAACAATATCAAACATGACATACCTATGACATACCTCCCCTGCAAAGAACCATTCATCAATGACAGGCTTTGGCAGTGGCTCATGCCATAAAGCATCATCAATCATTCACAGGCATTCTAGATCAAAAGAAGGCGAAGAGTGCCTCAGTGCCTTGTCCCTGGTGCTGAAAATGGTCAGTGATGTTCATAGATGTTCTAGGCATGCCTAGGGCTTGGCCTAAGGACCTTCCATAAGCAGCTGACGCAGGTTTTACTTGATCTTTGTCAAGTGCTTCTTCTTCAGGTGCTGGAGGAGGTTCGCTTTCTGCGCCTTGAAAAGCAGGACTTCTCGCTAAGAGGGACGAGTGAGAAGTTGGAGAGTGCTTCGGAGGCGCAGAATACCTCAGCCGAAAGCTATCACAGAGTACTGAAAGAGCGATCAAAGTCAGGAATGGCAGAGCACATTGAGATAGACAATCAAAGCATATCACAACCATGTCAAGCCAGAATCCCGAGGCAATTACGCTCCAGCCACTCTTGCCATAAGATCCATAAGTATCGTAAGTCATAAGTCTCTTGAATCTGCTATGTATATGTGACATGAGCGAAACCAGTGCTGAAAGAGCGACACAGTTTGCGACACATTGCCCTCTCCATGCACATCTCGTGGTGAATCCCATTCTTCCGGTGCTGCGGGAGGTTCAGCGTCTGCTTTGTGCTGTGCAGGAGTTCTTGTGGACACTGCTCGCCTGACAGCTGTTCGCTCGGCAAAGTATACTGAACAATGAGCAGTTCCTTCAAGAAGATCTATATAAACCATTATAAACCCAAGTTTTGGACACATCTGAGTGCGAACATTTTTGTTGGTTCTGGATCCTAGTTCTATTGGCAAAATATCAAAACACCAAAAGATATCACATAGGATATCACATAGGATATCACAAGATATCAAAAGATATCATAAGAAATCAAAAGGTATCAAAGGATATCATAGGATATCAAAAGAAATCATAAAATATCATCGTATACCAAAGGATATACATAATAGGATATCAAAAGATATCATAGGATACCGAAAGATCTCATAGGATATCAAAAAATATCATAGGATATCATGAGATATCAAAGGGTATCATAAGATATCATAAGATCCGGGTTCTTCAAAAAAACAGCCATGCTCCTACATGTGGTCACATCACACCTGATCCCAAGCTTGAACAAATTCACTTTTGGATTTCCCAAACCTCAATCCAAACGCATTCTCATCTTCAAAGCTGCTACCCACCAAACAAAGACGCAACAGATTTGTTTTACTTGGTTCATGGATGTGCAAACGCAAGCTTGAACAAATTCCCTTTTGCACGTGCCAAAACCTCAATCCAAACACACTTTCATCTTCACAGCTGCTACCCACAAACAAAGAAGCAACATTGCAGCATTTGCTCCGCATGTGGGCAAAAATTGGAGATCAGAAGCTGTGCGTGTTGCATGGTAGCATGATGTAGAATGTAACTCCACGCCTCCAGAAGCAGAATTGCAGCGCTCTGCTGCTGAAAATATAAGGGGGCACGGCACAAACATCGTGTTTTTGCACAGTGCACGTACAGTGCACGTACAGTGCACGCTACAGTGCACGCCACAGTGCGCAGCCACAAAACGGTGTAAATACCAAGTATTTTCCCAAAAATGATGAGAAAACACGAAAAAAATGTTTTTGTAAATTGTCAAAAAATGCTAACCCCATGGTATTTAGACCGTTTTGTGGCCGTGCACTGGACCGTGCACTGGACCGTGCACTGTGCGTGCACTGTACGTGCGCTGCGCAAAACACGCAGTTTGTGCAATTCTGCTTCTGGAGGCGTGGAGGCACAGTCTTTGTTCGTGGGTAGCAGCTGTGAAGACGAAAGTGCGTTTGGATTGGGGTTTTGGCACGTGCAAAAGGGAATATGTTCAAGCTTGCATTTGCACAGCCAGAAAAAAAATCTTGTGCTTCTTTGCTGGGTAGCAGCTTTGAAGATGAGTGTGTGTTTGGATTGAGGTTGTGGCAAGTGCAAAAGGGAATTTGTTCAAGCTTGTGTTTGCACATCCATAAACCGGAAACTCTTTCCCGGACTGAGTCCGGGTTCTTCACAACAAACAGCCATCCTATCAAACTCATTGCGAAGAAACTTGCATGCCCCTTTTCCCCCAATTCAATGTTGTTACGTCGCTTTGCTTGGAAAGGCCGTCAAAAAAAAACAGCCATTTCGGTTCGGATGCCGGCATGCATTAGGCAACAACATTGATCAAGGGGGCGCGGGGGGATCAGGTGTGATGTGACAACATGTAGGAGGACGGCTGTTTTTTTCTGACGGACCCGGTATCATAGGATATCATAGGATATCATAAGATACCAAAGGATATCAAAAGATATCATAGAATATCATAAGAAATCATAGGAAATCATAGGATATCATAGGATAGCAAAGGATATCATAAGAGATCATAGGATATCATAAAAAATATCATAGGATATCATAAGATATCAAAAGATATCATAGGATATCATAAGATATCATAGGATATCATAAGATATCATAGGATATCATAGGATATCATAGGATATAAAAAGATATCATAGGAGATCATAGGATATCATAAGATATCATAGGGTATCATAAGATATCATAAGATATAGGATATCATAAGATATCATAGAAAATCATAGGATATCATAAGATATCATAATCTATCATAAGAAATCAAGAGATACCAAAAGATATCCAACGATATCACAAGATATCAAAAGATATCATACGCTATCAAAAGAAATCATAGGATATCATAAGATATCATAAGATATCATAGGATATCATAAGATATCATAGGATATCATAAGATATCATAGGATATCAAAGGGTATCATAAGAGAAAATAGGATATCATAAAAATATCATAGGATATCATAGGATATCATAAGAAAACATAAGGTATCATAGGATATCATAAAATATCATAGGATATCATAGGATATCATAAGGTATCATAGGATATCATAAGAAAACATAAGGTATCATAGGATATCATAAAATATCATAGGATATCATAGGATATCATAAGGTATCATAGGATATCATAGGATATCATAAGATATCATAGGATATCATAAGATATCATAAGATATCATAGGATATCATAAGATATCATAGGATATCATAAGATATCATAGGATATCATAGGATATCAAAGGATATCATAAGAGATCATAGGATATCATAAAATTATCATAAGATATCATAGGGTATCATAAGATATCATAGGATATCATAGGATATCATAAAATATCAAAGGATATCATACGATATCATAGGATATCATAGGATATCATAAGAGATCATAGGATATCAAAGGATATCATAGGATATCATAAGATATCATAAGATATCATAGGATATCATAAGATATCATAGGATATCATAGGATATCAAAGGATATCAGAAGATATCAAAAGATATCAAAAGATATCATAGGATATCATAAGATATCAAAGGATATCATAGGATATCATAGGATATCATGGGATTTCATAGGATATCACAGGATATCAAAAGAGATGATAGGATATCGTAAAAATATCATAGGATATTATAGGATATCATTAGATATCAAAAACACATCATAGGATATCATAAAATATCATAGGATATCAAAGGATATCATAAGATATCATAGGATATCATAGGATATCATAAGATATCATAGGATATCATAGGATATCATAAGGTATCATAGGATATCATAGGATATCATAAGATATCATAGGATATCATAAGATATCATAAGATATCATAGGATATCATAAGATATCATAGGATATCATAAGATATCATAGGATATCATAAGATATCATAGGATATCATAAGAAATCATGATATCATAGGATATCAAAGGATATCATAAGAGATCATAGGATATCATAAAATTATCATAAGATATCATAGGGTATCATAAGATATCATAGGATATCATAGGATATCATAAAATATCATAGGATATCATACGATATCATAGGATATCATAGGATATCATAAGAGATCATAGGATATCAAAGGATATCATAGGATATCATAAGATATCATAAGATATCATAGGATATAATAGGATTTCATAGGGTATCACAGGATAACATAAGAGATCTAGAAAATGAGGAAAGGACGACCCATGATGGAACCATGATGGAATAGCCCAACTGGGGATCCCCACGGTCCCCATCCCCAAGGAGATGGCTCTTCACCGGGTGCTGGGGGAGGTTCCAGATTGCTGCCCCGCGATCTGACTGGTTGCCCAAAAGGCCTCCTGGAGCTGGGGAGTAAACGACCCATGGAAAATCATGAAATTTCTTGAGACATGTTGAATATGAAAGAATATCAAAGAATATTCAAGTAAGCTGTCCTATGTTCTTGTGACATCTTGTGACATTTTTGAATGGCTTGCTCCTGGGCTGCAATCTGAGGTCGCTCTGTTCAGCTCTCAGTTCCGGAACATCCACTTGTGGATATGGAAGCTGCACACCAGTTTCAAGCTGCCTGCAGGCGGCAGCTTTCTCATGGCAGTGTCGGAATTTCAGGGTTTAGCAACAAGAAAATATGCCTGACAATGCTGACCCTACCCATGAAGAAAAAAGAAACCTGGGATAGTCCACATAACTTCAACACAGTTTCAGTGGGATGCCGCCCCTCCTTTTATCATGGCTGAGCTATGCCAACATGACTTGAAGTCCACCTTCAGGCCCCAAAAAGTGCAATTCTTCCTGCGTTGCAAGTAGCTCAATGAGATTTTAATAGTATACCAACAAACAAATCTGTACATGGTATCATGGCATCCAACCAGACCACCTGCCGGGCTCAGGCATGGGCAGCCGACTCCCTAACCTTGGCCATGGAAATCCGACAGGATCATCACATAAATTTTTGAATCACAGCAACACAGAACAATCACCATTAAGCATCGTGGATACAAAGAAACCATCATAGTAAACCGTCATAGGACCATAGGAAGATCGGTGGCAAAACCCTTCCTTGTAAAGTATCAAGCAACAGAAACTTTGGCCAGTGTTGAACTGCGTGAGGGCACTTCGTATGGTGACACCCAGGCTTTAAATGGCGGTTATGGAGGAGACCGAGTAGGTTTTGCAGTGATTTCAGAAATCTCAGGATTTCAGTGTGAAGTTACGCCATGTGCCATCCAGAACTCCGGCCATCCTTCCCGGGCGAATGAGTTCCGGGCTGAAACTGGGTAGCTGGCTCCATCGGTGCGGGGGGTGGTAGCTCCTCCATGTCTTGTGGCCTGGATAGCTTGTCATCGCTTGTCATCAGCATCATGATGGAATTCAAACCGTTCCCATGCAACACTGTAACATTTCAACATATTTCAACAAGTATGCTGCCCTCTGGTAATGTAGCTATGGAAAAATGGCTCATGAATATGTGTTGCTTGCACACACACACACACATATATATATAAATATGTATACGCATATTTATATGATAATCTACTTATTGAAGATGGTGATGATGGTGGTTTTCCGTAACTATATTACCCTAACATGAGCGAAAACCGCACTAAGCAGTGGACCAAGCGGTGCTTTCTTCCGGCGCCATCCTTGGCGAATCCAGTACCGGCTGTTTCCTTAGTGGACAAGTGGACGTCAACGTCTGTCCATCAACACACAAGAATGTATGAGGGCCTATAAACATGTATTGTCGTATATGTTTGTATGCATCCAGTCCTATTGCAAGTTTTGAAAGCTAGGCAAGCAAGCTGCACCAATGGGGAAGTTTTGGGCAAAGAATCATGGGGAATTCGTTGCCCAAAAAAAGTTGTCAAAATGATGAATTCTGTGTGCGGTATCTGCCAACATGTGTATGCATTTCGGTGATCAATGGTCCGCCTACAGTAAGGGCATTTGACCAACAGTTTGGGTTCCCGACACGGGGATCTTGCTGGTTGTTGGTGTTGGCAGCCAACGCTGCCCCAACAAAGCACTGGTTGGCCTCCGGGGAAAGGACGCGCGATTGTCTTGAAGGATCTTGAAGATACTGCCGGATTTTGGGCGAAATGACTGGGCGCCGCACCCGGTGGACTTCATCGCTGGGCCGGCAAATTGCCTTGGTGCCAGGGCCCTGGGGTGAAACCCCCCACAGCCTGCAACCACGGCCATTTGGGTCAACTGTTTGAGGAGGGAGAACACCTTGGATTTTCAATGGATTTGAAAGGTGATGAGTCGAGTATAATCCATCCATTCAGTTTATTGGATTAGCTTCCAGGGCAAGGAAATTGCCCCTGCGCTGGGCCAACCAATTCTGCTTGGAAAGGTCACCGGGTACGTATTCAATACTGGGGCAAAACCACATTTCTTGCTCAAACATATTGTTGAACACAAAATATGAAAAATAATTCTAGCAGCACTAACTTCCTCCATTTCACAACGGATTTTCGATGAATTTGGTGGATCAGTTGACATTTTAAGTACCAGACCCTTCTGCTTCAGCTGGAGCCAATCTGGGTGATCCCAAGCGCTCTGCAGCTGTTTGCGCCATAGGGGCCGACCGTGGCTGCCTGGCATAGTAGACATCATCATATTGATATAGAGGTCCATGACAGCTAGAAAAGTTGTGAACCTTCCACTATTATCATGGTGAAATTCGTGGTGACTCTCTATGTTCTTGAATGTTTTGATTCTTTTTGGAATTGTTTGGTATCCAATATATGTGATCTTATATCCGCTGCGAATGGGTGTCGAATGGTGTCGATGAACTCACTGTGTCACCAAGTGGCGGAACGGCTCCAGCTTGTGATAGCTCCTGCGTCGCTTGGTGATTGCAACGAACTGACCCCAGCGGATGGCAACCCAAAGCATGTAAAAATTCCGTCCGCAATACATTCATACTTGTGGCATCTTGGCAGATGTCAGCTTGGAACCTGTCCTGATCAAATTCCCACCTTAAAAAAAGTCAGTGTGCTTGTCTATCGCATGATTTCATCCTCTACATGAGCACGTTTGCTGCGAATGGCATTCAACATCCAGGATACCATCCAACAGTTCTACAGTAGAGAGCCCTTCTTGTGATTTGACATTCAGGTTGCAACACATCAGAAGTTCTGCTAATGTGACCTCTGAAATGCAACACTGCCATTGCACAATCATTTCGTATATTTGGATATATTTGGTACCAATTTCTTCTCAAACATGCCAGCTTTCATTGCTCCAGCGAATTGTCGGTATGATTATGAATATGATTGAATATGCATATGGGATCGTATTAAAAACCTGTGTCATTTAAAATGGCCCGAAATCATGTTATCAATTTTTAAACATGCTCATCGTTTTCTCAGGTGGTGGGCTCTCTGTACTAAACATGTGAATTTTCCAGCTTTCTGTCGGTGTGAAAGCATCCTTGGTCGAAAGTCAACACATATCATTCTTTCCTTTCATGTTCCTTTCATGTTCCTTTCATGTTCCTTTCATTTTGCATTCATTTCCTTTCATGTTCCTTTCATGTTCCTTTCATGTTCCTTTCCTTTTGCATTCATTTCCTTTCATGTTCCGTCGCTATGTATCAATGTATCAAACATACAGGTCTTTGAAAGGCGGTATGCTCAAACCGGTCAGGTGGGTATCCGCCCAAACGCTTGCATTTTTTTCATATTATCATTTTGCCATCGTTTTGGAGGCCTGTGCAGGTTGCCATCTTCAGGGTTCATGAACTGTCCCATATAATGTCATGTATTATTATACAGTTGCATGTACCCTCTGGTTATTTAACATAGCCATGGAACATCCCCTATAAATGGAGGTATTAATAGGGAAAATCATCTATGAATGGGCCATTTTCCACACCGAACTGTTAAATAACCAGAGGGTAATATTAATCATGATGATTCATACTAATATTCAGAAAGCATCCTCCACCCTCTTGAGGCACCCGAGCGTCCTCACCAATCTGTGCCTGCAAGTCATCCACCAACCTCCGTTGCTCTTCTAACATTTGTCGCACCCGCTGGCGCAGCTGCGAATCAGCCGGTGCCTTGGACATGACATTTTCTGGGTGGGTGTCATAGGCCATAGTTTTAAGGTGTAGTTGGGGTTAATGATTTCTGTTGATTATAGAATATATGGAATTTGGATGAAGTTGGAGATAGATGAGATAAAATTGGCTTGTGTTGCAATGTTTTTTGTTGATATTTGGGGGTATTGGTCCATTTTTTTGAATGGAAGTTTTGGGGGGTGGTTGGCTTGTACCATTTTGTAAAAGCAGTATTCGTCGATCCCTCTCCAGCTCCCTATCCTTGATCTGAACATATGGGTCCTAGCTAGACGAGCCAGTGAACCTGGTGCAGGAAGCCAATCGAACATCACTTCCCAAAAATATAACTAGACCATACTAGACCACTAGGGACAGGACATGTGCTGGGCTTTTCTCCAAGAGTGTTGGAGATGTTGTGACCGTATCATCCCAGGCACTCCGGGGTTCACTTTCGAAGTCTCTTGCGTCTTGGCTCTCAATCTTCGATTCCTCAGTTGGTGCAGGAGATGTTGCTACTAATCCACTAATCCCATCCTAGTATCAAAATATATTCAACACCCCTCAGAAACAATGGTTTGGCAGGGGATTTACATGGATTTACAGTTATTCAGAGGGATGGGGCAAACATGGAAACAACGAACTGACTGAACTGACTATGGTGGCTGTGGAAACAACCAACTGGCCGTGAAAAATGAGGACCAAAGAAGGCCTCATTCCGCACAGCGAAAATTCGCACCCTCCAATTGCTGTTGATTGTTGCCGCATTTTCTGACGATTTCTCCTGAGTATATAGCTTGCCAGGCCATCTGTGAATCCTCAAAGCCCAAGGGTCTCTTCTTCCAATGCCCTGTTACTTGCACGCAGCTGCGCCAGCTGTTCCGTCAACCTCTGCGAGCTGCTGGGTGTTGGTAAAGGCAGCCGAACGCTGCTCGAGCCACCCTCCTGGTGATACGCTTGATGTGGCAAAGCATGTAAAAATGGGAATGGTTTCTGTCTGGGTTTGATAAACTACCAATATTGCGGCAGCCTCAGAAATTCAATCTAAGGATCTATAGAACCGAAAGAAGGCTTTAAAACTCACAAGCGAACAGTCCACTTTTTGTCATGCTACGTCGCGCTAATCGCGCTATCATGCTGCGCCTGTTTACAAAGGTCACACCATCAGCTCCTGGCTCCCGGATCCAAGTAAAGCATACAAGCGCTCCAATCTCTCTTGCGCTGCATTGGGATCATAGCTTGCCTTGGGCTTGGCCAAATCATCGCATGAGTGGGGCCCTGATGATGGCCTTGCTCATGTATGACCTAAAAATTCCACTTCTGACTTCTGGTTGCCCAAAAAATCCAACACCTATAGAGCTGTAGAGAACACCGATGCATCACATAAGAAATAAAACACATGTTGCACATGTTTCCGACCTTTCCCATCCCATGATGTCCCTTGCGTTCAAGTGACACCTTTGGTGACCTGCATATCTCCCGCAACGCGGCCCGCGACGTTGCGCTGTGTGTCACCGGACATGTCCGGGCCAATAAAAAGTGACTTTGAGCCGACTGGAGAGCACCTGCAAGGCCGGAGTGGGTAGTGCAACCGTGTGCTCCCTCCTGCAGTCCTGCAACCATCACACACACACAAACACACACATATATATATAATACATATTATATATAATATATATTATATATATAATATATTATATATAATATATATTATATATATATACTATATATATTACACACATATATATATTACATATATATATTACATATATATATATATATTATGTGTGTGTGCGTGTCACAATAGTTCACAATAACATAATATTTTACAATAATGGGCATGGGTGCTGTAATATGACATGATATCATAGTCATAACATGTTACTGTGTAATACATGCACATGTGTGAACATGAACAGAGATTGAACAGAGCATGGGCATTGATTGCCTTCCATAAAGAAATGGCACCATATCATCCATGGACAACCCCTGGATCCAAGGCAAACTTGATGTAAGTGCTTGGTGGTTTCAACCAGTCCCCAACATAGTCAGGATCATCCTCCTGAGGTTGGAAAATGTTGGAAACCACAGCAGCATCAATGCCATTTTTGCCGATTGGAACAATGTTTCAAGCCCGCGAGCCTGAAAGCACCGCCTCTTGCGATGCCGTCCAACGGACAATGACATCGCGAATTACAAGTCCCAGCAAGGTTAGATTGGCCTTTGTACTGAATTGTACTGACATCTCTTGCCACGACTGATTTTAATCGGAAAATCAACAGGTTAGGACGGTTAGGAACAAACAAAAAAGAGAACTGCTGTGCTTGGCGGCTTGGCGCAAACCATGATCACGACCAGCGAGTACTTCACAGTACAGTTTACATATCGAATATTTTCCAAGATCTTCGTGAATGGTTGAAGCTGCACATCCCTGCACCATCATTTTCCATAGCTGAAGACGAGGGAAGAACCAAACAGAATATGCAAACAGCTGTGTTCGCTTCACCAAAAGTGCTGCCCCAATTACAACCATAAGCGAATCAAGCGAACGGGTAATTCATAGTAATTCAGACGTTGCTTCTATGATCCTTTCCCACATCTCATACAAGAATCCTCAAGAATCTATCCTCACTGTGCTGGATGCAGTTGGGGCTGCGCTGAAATCAGTCAGGGTGGCTGAGGCCTGGTTTTGGTGCGTGATGATGGGTACTGCTTTCTGAGATTTTGCGGGGGCAACCACTGGGTTGGCCTTATCTCGGCTCACCAGGGTAGTCGGGTTTCCAATGACAGGGGTGACATTGAATGATAGAAATTGGCAAATAATAAATGCAAATAATTAAGGGGCTACGCTTAGAGACGCTTATCGTCATCTCGGAAGTTTATTATCCTGCTGCAAGCTTTGTCCATCTCTGGCCCCATTCCAATGGCAAAAGCCTGTCTTCAAAGCCTCTTCCAGCTCAACGGTTGGGAAAATGGATGAAACTGGCACTTTTTAGCAGCCGAAAACCAAGTGCGACCATGCTGTCTCTCCAAGGCCCAAGCGAAGCGCCGAAGAAATCTGGTGCCATGCTGCTGGCCTCATCCCTGTGAGCTCCAGTGACTTGCAATGACTTAAGAATGTTGCCTAGCCGACCTAGCCTGCTCAATTTGTCAATGCAAACAACTGGAACCCACAAAGAGGTCAACAAATACTGAGAGCACGTATATAATTTCTATAGGGATAAATTATTTGCATATCATATATTATATATGAATATATATATACACACGATATTTGCATTGCACAGCCACAGATATCTGCGATATTTGCTTCAGCCGCTCCCGCCTTTGTTCTGCTGCTAGCTCCAACTGTTCCCGCCTCAGAGTTGCAATGAGTTGCAGCTCCAGAAGTTGTACCATCCTTCCTCTGGGCTGGTCATGGCTGGTCCTCTTCTGCACGACATTTAAGGTATGTTCTTTTTCACGTTTAAAATTTCCACGTCAACAAGAATGCATGGACATGCTGATAAAAATAAATAAATAAATCAATAAATAAATAAATATAGATATACAAGTACATGTATATATTATCTTATTGTGTTGGAATGTGTTGGAAATGGTGGAGGGGTGAGAGCCTGACTTGCCATCCTGTCGAGACCTTTGAAAACCCATCAGAAATCACATGAAACTAGTCTGCCATCGCTCATGATGCCATCTAACAAGATCAACAAGTACACACCTTACTAGTCTTACTCTGGAATTTCTGGAAACCGTAAGAAAGTTCTTCCTTCTGGAGTCAAGTTGGGTGTCGGCACGTTAAATGCTCATTTGTGGCGCCCCAGTGCATAGGTTCCCTCTCTGCTGCTGCTGCCCGAAAAGCCTTAGTTTCCGTTCAAAGCCTTGGATGACTGATATGCATTGATATGCAACTTCCAGCAGATCACACCAGATCATCCCACATCCCACCATGGAACGTATGTCGTAGATATCATTCGTGTAAACCCAGACATCATCTGACATCTGACATGATCCATGTCAACGTGCTAGAAGGATGCAGCAAGGTATCCAAGATGATCTAAGTTTGTTTTGGTCCTGCATCTTGTCGTCCCATAGAACGCCGAATGATCCCCAGTGGCACCAGATGACCATCCATCAATGAAGCACCAGCAAATCCATAGCCCAAATGCCAAGACACCTCATCGAAAGGGCCCCAAGATCCCACAAGGTCGCACATGTAATCCGAGAAGGCCTGGATGACGATGCAGCCGCACCAGTTTACATGACATACCCAAACCACGAGCACATGGATGATTATTGCAGTCAATGAATCTTTTTTCAACCTTAAACAGTGAGACGCTGCCGGTCCTGTTCACTGCCAGAGTCTAAAAAGTTTCGGTCTGACCTCAGGCGCGCAAAGCGAGGGATACGTCTGCATCTTCCACAGGACAGTTCCCATTATATACCCAACATGTCCCACCAGGGGGTTCACAGTTGCATGTGCCTAGGTGCCACCTAGGCAGCTCACCCACCAAGCATTGCGAACTTGGGTTTCCCCAACTGCAAAGGAGGCCGGAAGATGGTAAATGGGGTGCTGGCTAAGAAATTCGACCTGAGGTGGGCCAGAACCAGAACCAATCCAGCATCAGTCAATCAGTTCAAGGGCTGATATCAAGAGTTGTTTCCTAGAGGTCCGAAAGTTTGGATGCTTCTTGCTCTGTGAAGGCAAAATCCCTAGTGTCATTTCCATGCAAATCCACTAAAACCACTTGGTTCCAAGCACCCGGGAGGTGTAAATGTCAGCATACTTCTCCACCTCGAACATCCCAAATTTTGGTAATAAAAGAGATAGGGGCAGGCTGATGTAAGCTGCCTGACTTGGTCATACAAGTCTTCTGGAATACTCCAACTCATCTTTTGGACCCTTGTCTCCCGCCACTTGCCCCCTATTTCGACCCGGTTCAATGAGTGCTCCTCATATGTTTGCGTTCGTTTATTGGGAGCTACTTGCGGCTTCATAAGCATCACAAAGCCGTGAGCCTGTCGAAAGAGGTGTGATTTCTCATGCAGCCCCACCTGTCAAAGAAAGCCGCCCGTGAATCCGTTGCAACTACAGTTTTCAGGCAGTGATGGTCCCTCCAAGAGCCAAGAATTTCATTATGTGACAGGGTCCCATGTCAACTGCCAAAGTGTGCTGAAAACCTCATCCTCTTCACTGTCCGAAACAACCCAAAATGAAGATTCTTCATTCCATCTATACCATTGTATGCAAAGCTATATCAAATCCATGGCTCAATCGATCATAGTAGGTCTCATGTCCAATTGGGTCTCTGGCCCTAGTCATGAAACCCCAGCGTTCGTTGATTCCTTCCAGCCGCAAATTGGAAACGGTAGCTGGGCAGAAACCGCAACCTCTTCAAACTGTGTATCTAAGATTATCTAAATAGATTTATTTCATGGAACACCCTTTTACCTGGTGGGTATCATTAAGCTGTCAGACCCTGGAGTCTACTGAGAAACAAAGGCGGAACTTCTTCTGCCACTAGGTCACTAGGAAAACTAAAGCCACCGAAGGCCGCACAGCATCTCCTTCGATGAACCAATCGTCATCGAGTCGATCAATCTCTTTGCCTCGTTGAGTGCCGACATTTCAAACAACTGACAGGCTGGAAACTGTGAGGACACTGAGCTGCTGGCAAACTCTCTTGTACTCTTCTTCTGAGAATGTAACATTGTTCTCCTGGCTGTGGTTCAGGATCCTTTAAGCCATTATTCATCATTCATTGCAAATAAGCCGGTAAGCGCGGTGAAAAATACTCAAATGTAGCATGAAATCACCCATGCTGCCCATTCATGCTTGCCGCTTTGCAAACTCCAGATGGGCCACGAATCGCGAAGCAAACGCGGTGTCTTCACCGCAACGCGTTCGATGGGGAGGAAATACACGGTGAAACAGCGCCATGCTTTGCAGGCGCCACAAGCCAAAATAAGCAGATCTTGCTGAAAAAGGCTGCTAAAATAGTCAGGCAAAACTCTCAAAACGCCCCATGCAGGGACAAAAGTCCAATTGCGGATGGACCCCCTATCAGGACCATCATTCTGCTGAATTCAAAATCAATCTTAGGATCTTCCTGTCGCCGCTCAAACTTGCAGCGCTCAAGCGAACTTGTTCATTACTTTTTCTAGACTACCTGACCATGTGGGCTTGGAAGTTGGCGATCAACTGTCCACAACTGTTCACTATGGAATGTGCTCTCCGCATGCAACATTCAATAATAACATATAGAGTTGCTGCACAGGAATATCTATATATCTATATGTTATGATACATTAACAAGAAGACCCCAATTGTTCATAGCAAGGTCCCATCTTTCTGCGACCAAGTGACGCAAAGAGGTTGCTGTCAGAACTGGTGGTTCTGTGGTCGCTTGTGCTGTGACCGTTACATAGCGAAAAGCGATGTCTCCAGGACCAAAATAGCCTGGGCACCAAGGCCGGCAGAGGGCCATGCTGACGCCCACTTCTGAAATGATTGCTCGGCTGGCAGCAACCAAACAAATGATCCAATGATCCTTCCTGCAAATCTAGATGAAACATTGTAAAATCATGGGGGGCTGCCATACCTACGTGCTACTTACTACTTACTACTTACTACTTACTACTTGCTACTTGCTACTTACGACTTACTACTTGCTACTTGTTACTTGCTACTTACTACTTACTACTTACTATTTACTACTTGCTACTTGCTACTTACTACTTGCTACTTGCTACTTCCTACATGCTACTTCCTACTTACTACTACTACTACTGCTACTACTACGACTACTACGACTACTACGACTACTACGACTACTACGACTACTACGACTACTACTACTACGACTACGACTACGACTACGACTACGATTACTACTACTACTACTACTACGACTACGACTACGACTACGACTACGACTACGACTACGACTACGACTACGACTACTACTACGACTACGACTACGACTACGACTACGACTACTACTACCACCGCCACCACCACGACTACTACGAATACGACTACGACTACTACTACGACTACGACGACGACTACTACTACACCTGCTACTGCTACTGCGACTGCTACTACTACTACTACTATTACTACTACTACTACTACCACTACTACTACTACTACTACTGCTCCTTCTACTTCTTCTACTTCTACTACTAGACTACTACTAGACTACTACTAGACTACTACTAGACTACTACTAGACTACTACTAGACTACTGCTAGACTACTACTAGACTACTACTAGACTACTACGAGACTACTACTAGACTACTACGAGACTACTACGAGACTACTACGAGACTACTACTAGACTACTACTAGACTACTACTAGACTACCACTAGACTACTACTAGACTACTACTAGACTACTACTACTACTGCTACTACTACTACTGCTGCTACTACTACTACTGCTGCTACTGCTGCTACTGCTGCTACTGCTACTGCTACTGCTACTGCTGCTACTACTACTACTACTAATACTAATTTGTGGAAGGGATGGGCTGATTACTGCAAGAAACTGCACCCAGAGCCCTCCCTGCTACAGCAAGCACCGGAGCTCCAATGCAGATTTTTGGTCCTTGCCGAGATTCCAAGACGACCCAGAGCCGATAGCCATTGCTCTCCTAGTGGCAATGGATGGGTTGTTAGGGCACCGCCGGCAGTTTTCCGAGGAACCCATCTTCAAGAGACCCTGCTGGAAGTCCGTTGTGATATTCTTGTGTTTAGGATAAATTATAAACAGTCATAGGCAGTGATAGGCAAGTGATAGGCCTATAATTGGACTACCAGTACTACCAGTCTTGGCAGAATGGAGGCAACTTCCTGTTGAACAATTCCAAGACTTGCTAAACATTGCTGTCAAATCTGCTAAAGTATGCTAAAGCATGATGCTAACACATTTCCAGCTTTGTGCTGAAACCTCTGAATCTCCGTTGAGTGTCGGTCCAAAGATCCTTCATCCAAGTAGTCCTGACACGCTCTGATTCACTGTGAGTCACGGTTCCAAAGGCTCTAGCAACGTCTAGCAACTGCAACTACGGCCGTAACAACAAACCTACCTTCCTCCCAGTCCTCCCTGCAAAATACTGTATACACATGTGCTCTGAAATGCCAAACAATTGTTCAGTCAAGAGAAACAGAATTTCCCGTAGCCCAAATGGATTGACTACGTGCCCGAACTAGGAGCCGGCTTGCCATCATCGGCATAATCAAGAAAATGGCCGAAACTGAACGCCAGAACACCGTCTCAAATTCACAGGCTGCCCCAAACACTTATGGGTGGTTGGGCGGTCAAATTGTACTCCGTGGAGGCAGATGACCAGGAACAATGATTTATTCGAAGCACTGCCAACAAACCTTCTAGTTTCAACATTGTCTCAGGGCCCATAGAACTATCATGCAACCATTGGCCGTCACCGAACTTCTTGGACTATGCATCTGGAAACTCCCGTAGATTTGTCATAGTGCTTCACAACTACTTCCCGTCCAGCTTGCTCCACATCTCTTCCCAACAGTTGTCACTGATTCGCAAGAGATACTGCCTCACTGGAATTTCAGCAACTCACAGCTGCTCACAAGCCAAGGAGAAAAAGAACGCATCACTGAGAAGGAAACCCAAGATGCACCCCATCTGAGAAAGGGGGATCAATCTATATAAGTGCCTGTGCAACCAGAAGTGCATGCAATCATTATGGATTATGCCTGAGGGATGGATAGGGATGGAGGCACCTCCGTACCAATGCTTTGCTGTTGAGACGCTGTGCTGCTGTGGTCCCTAAATTGGAACCCCACATTCGCCCAGGATTGGGATCCAACAGGCATTTTCCTGGAAGCCCCCTGCATCCGCCAAGGTGCAAGCACTCTTTGATCGATTGCTCTACCTCACCAGTGAGAAAAACAGAATCCCAAAATATCCCAAACCACTCGGAATTCCCACACTTGGCCCATCTTCGCGCTGTCCGAAGCACATCATTCAGCACTTCCTGCAAATAGTTCCAGTCACTCTTGAGCATACTTCCATACCCACTGGCATTCAAGCACCGGAAAATGGCCAAATATTGCTCCTGATGCAGGAAGCGCGCCATAGAATCCATGGAACTACTTGGCCATTCAGGGCCGCCTTGTCACATCCTGGTGGACTATCATGTGCTTTGATTAGTTGATGCGGCCATGGTGTGCGCATGCATACGTTTGCTCCAGAACCTTGCCTCAAGACCAAGAACACAACACAATATAACATAATAATTAAAAACATATATTAATATTAATGGTAATGTACCTAAAGCTTCAAAGACCCTAAAAAAAGTAGACCCAGTCAAAAAAAACATACTTTTTACAGAAGAAAACATTTTTTTAAAAAGACAATATCTTGGAATTCCTGTTGTTTTGACAAATTTGCAAACCATATGCACCTGGCAATCCACATTCCAAACCGTAGAGGTGATGTTTCACCCGTTTCTCTCCCAGCAGTACGCGTCTGCACTCCTTGACTTCATGCTCTTGGCATGGGCCCTTGAACGCGCGCCAGCCCAGTTCATCGAGCCCTTGTTGCAACTTGCCCATACCAATCTCACCTGGCTGATGGGCAAATCATGACGCTGTGCTCGTGGCTGCTTTGCTTGGCGAACTTGCCACACAATGCAAAGCACATCAAACATCGAAAAATAGGCGTCTCCGTCACCAGCAAGTGAATGCGTGTGAACGTATCAGTCAGCAAACACATGCATTAAATATTACAAATAAGACTGTCAGAACATATCTGGTCCGGTCTGCCTTTTAATCAATAAGTGCCACAAATAGATGCACAATTGGCTGGCCATACATGTAGGCATACTGTTTGGACGTACTTCAAGGCACGGACATGATAAATCGGAATAATTAATAATATTGCTCAACAAATTGATCGCACACAAACCAAAGATCTGCTGCTAATCGCTGGGCAACCGCTGCCACACCAAATAGAAAACCACTGATTCCACCATGTCTGGACAATGAATTCTGCAAGCCAGGTCGACCATTGCCATCATGGCCGTCAATCACATCGAAGACTTTGTTCAGGTCCATCTTCTTGTCCTTTATCATCCTCAAACAGCATCGTGCTACAGTTGGCCAAATGTTGGTTTTTCCTGATGACTAACTGCTTGCAATCAGTGCAGAGCCCAAGGAGTTCGCTTTTGCACTCACTGAGTAGGGAGCCCGCAGCGAGCACCACGGCTTTCTTCTGATGGTTTCGCAGTTTCCAATTTTTTTTACTCATCCAGCGGTTTCCCTGTGAGAATGGGTGTGGGGTGTTAAAATCCTAATGAATGATATCAAATCCTAATGTGTTTTGATGTGTTTTGGTATGTCATAGTATGTCATAAGCGGTAGGCTGGTAATACGGATCATATATTAGTTGGACAATTCTACGATGTGGATCCATGCTGCCTGGATGTTGCAAGGCTACTGTCAATCATCCTCCTCCTAATTCAATCAGACGTCGAGATGCGTGTTTAAAACACGACCCATGAATATCAATCAATATTATTACAGTAAGTCAGAACTGAAAGTCATCCGGCTGTTCACAGCTCAAATTGCATACAAGCGTCAGCACCAAATCAATGACTTCCGATGGCACCTGCACGGAGCGAAAACCATGACCTAGTCCTATACCTTCGTCGTCCAAACCTGCATCTCAATCTGTGAGCTGCCGCTGGTATTTCGCAATAGTTCTATGATATCGTAAGGATTTTTCTGATCTAGAGGCTGACACCATTGACATCCGCTGGAATATCCCAAAGTGACCCAAAGCCTCCGTGCTGTTGGTCCACCAAATAATTTCCTTTTCTGGCACCTTGATGTCCTCGGCATGTGACCAAGTTGGAGTGATAAGCTGCATTTCAAACTACCATTGATTCCCCTGGTCACAGAGGAGTGAAGATCATGATTTACATTCAACAAGACCAACCCCGCAACAACATTACAGTATTACATACACGTTGAGACAAGCGTCTGAGAAGTGATATAATCGAGATAACTGTCGGCGATGATCAAAGTTGCGTTTGGTCGGCGCACAGACATAGGTGCACCTGAAACCACTGTGCTCACAGGACAGGTATTGACCCACACTACTGGGGATATAAAAAGCACTCTACATAGGCAGGATATTGGAAAATATATGTGTGAGCCCACGATTGTGCTTCTCTATTTCGTTTGACACTCTCATGTTCACAGTTTGAAGATCCTACTATATAATATCAATATCTATCTATCCATCCATGGATCTATCCATCCATCCATGGATCTATCCATCTATCTATCTGTCTGTCTATCAATCAATCTGTCTAATCTATCTCGTCTATCTAATCTATCTCGTCTATCTAATCTATCTAATCTATCCAATCTATCCAATCTATCCAATCTATCCAATCTATCCAATCTATCCAATCGATCCAATCGATCCAATCTATCCAATCTACCCTATCTACCCTATCTACCCTATCTATCCTATCTATTCTATCTATTCTATCTATTCTATCTATTCTATCTATTCTATCTGTCTATCTGTCTATCTGTCTATCTGTCTATCTGTCTATCTGTCTATCTGTCTATCTGTCTATCTGTCTATCTGTCTATCTATCTATCTATCTATCTCTAAATCTAAATCTATATCTATCTTATCTTATCTTATCTAATCTTTCTAATCTATCGAATCCATCTATCTATCTATCTAATCTATTTAATCTATCTAATCTATCTAATCTAATCTAATCTAATCTAATCTATCTCTATTTATCTATCTATCTAATCTACCTATATCTATGTATTTGTATCTATATATCTTTGTATCTATATATATATACACTCATACACACATACATACATTACATTACATTACATTACATTACATTACATTACATTACTACATACATACACACACATATATATATATATATTATGTCTAAATAAATATATATATATATATATATTCTGTCTAAATAATTATATTAAATTATTATGGATTATTGCATTTAAGCCGAATAGATCTACTAGTAACAATGTGTCCAAAGACTCACTGGAAACCTGGGATGACTCCCTTCATCTCCCTTCACTCTGCTCCGAAGAAAACCGCTGGCGCTTGCTATGCCTAGCTGCTTGAAGGTCCCACCTTCAGGCACACGATCCAACATCTCCTCAGCTCTTGGAGAACAGGAAACAGCGGCTGCTGATGAAATATTTGGTCGATTGAGATCTTCGCAAATAGAATGCTGGTCAAACATCGAAGAAATCCCCAGCCATCCATTTGCGTTTGAAGATCCCTGCGTCAAACCCGCCGTGTCAAGCAGTAGCTTAGATCCCCGTGCCACCCTCAACGGCGTCCCATCTTGCGGGCAGGCGTCCCAGCTTCGTGGAATTCCCATCTTCAGCGGATCGATTGTACCATCCGGCAGAATGTACCTGATTCAATGGATTGGTTTAAGGGAAAATCTACAGGAAACCCATGGGTTTTTACCATCAAATATAGGGCTTTCCTGTAAATTTTCCCATCATCCAATTCTATGACTGATGCACCGATTGATGCACTGTATCCATGCCCGGAAGCCATGGCAGCATATGGCAGCCATGGGTGAAGGAAACTCAGCCTGTTGATTTGTCTGTGGGAGAGCATGGCCAGAAAAGTACACCGAGAAAGGGCAGAAACATAAACCAGAGCTCAAAGCTCACAGAGATGTTTGGGAGTCAGTGAAGTTGCGGACTGGTATGCGGTCATGTATGAGTCTGTATGAGCACGTGTTCACCTACAAAGACCGACCTATAAAACGTATAGCTTTTGCGTGCAAGTAGGGAAACAAAAAAAACACATTGCACATCATTGCACAAAGGGCATCATAGGTCTGCCACTTTCATTTTTTCTTTTTCAAACGTCTGTTGTTGATGCCTAAGGGAATTATAGATAGTTAATGAGAATTACACATCATTGGCAAATTCAGGCATCCAGTGACACCTTTCCATCCAAAGCTGCATGGGATTTCGGATGTAGCCAGGATCTTCACGAGTTGAGATGGCCAACAAGGTGGACATACAGACCCGCTCATCGTGGAAGTTCAAACTCAAGTGGAATTGCTCGAATTCCATCCTGGGATCATGACAGCTGAAAATGTCTGCTAGTAGATGTTAATAGCCTGCATGCTTGAATAGAGGCATTGTTATAGTTTACTGTAGATACTAATCGCATGTATGGCAATGCCTTCAGAACCATTGTCGCTCGCAACTGGCAAAGGGCAGGCTTGAGCACTTGTAAGTCTCATGCCTTGTCTCAAACTCTGTACTCCACTGTTACTTGCCCAACTGTCACCAATTTCTGCCGCGAGCAAGGCTAACCCCATTACACCCATTACTTTTCCGGTACCACGAGTACAGTATATATGTCTGTAGGCCTGCTGTAGATGCTTGAGATTGCTTGCAACTGAACCATCTAAGATGCATGAGCCGGATTCAAACATCAACTGGCAACACAGGTCTGTTGAAACGACAGAATCCCTTGTTGACTATTGACATGAGCACAGCACAACTGTGAACCAACCACCTCTCAGTCCATGTCTTGCTCGACAAAGCCCTCTGGGGATGAAACGCACTTTCCAAACCGGATATGTTACATCATGATGCATCAAATTGCATCATATGATATGATATGACATGATATGACATGATATGACATGATATGACATGATATGATATGATGATATCATATCATAGAATATCATATCCATCATCCATATCCGTTGCTGTTCCTTTTCCCCAGCATTTCCAAGGCCACCCGGCCACCCTATTGCTCCACCCAGCTGCTGAATGTAAGGGAAACTGCGGGCTACGCCAATGCGTCTGGAGAAGGTCAACAAATCTGCGAAGGTCTCGAGCCTCCCTCTGTACTGCTTGGAGTTCTCGGGATCCTGGAAATGTGGTGAACTCATTGTGAAAACTCTGTGAATTTCAGCTGAACATGTTACAACATGTTAACATTCATGGAAAATCAAGATGAAACCTTAGCACCATGTTTCGACACTATTGGACTTTGGAGCTTTCAACTGTTCATTGATGTTCATTGCACGTTTCTGCCAGAAATGCTGAAAGGTCACGAAAGGTCCACTCCCTGCCGAACCACAACTCAATGCAATTCAATTGCCAGTGAATAAATCAATGCTGGATGCCTGAAGGCATATTGCGCATCATCATCATCATATATCACACAATATCACACATCATAAACCATCAATAACCATCATAAAACACCATTAAAACATATTAAAACACCATTTTCCACACCCTATGGCTGACACCATGGCTGACACCGTGTCGTGCCGTGTCGTGCCGTGCCGTGTCGTGGATCAGTCCATGATGCGATTGAAGAAGGTGACGCAGAGCTCGATGCGATGCACCGGGCTCTCAAAGATTCCGATGAGCTCCCGCAGCTGCCTGGCGCCGCAGCCATGGTGGTTTTTCTACCATGACATGGTGCAAAATGGTGCAAAAAAATATCAAACAATATTGACAAATCATGAAAAATCATAGGCATTCCATGGTTTTATATGATTTTCATAGCTATAGTTAGCTATGTAGCTATATATTCACTCATATACTACATGATATTCAATCTATAGTGGTTGTCCAGTGGAAATCAATTGGTGCGCTAGAGATAGATCCTTTGACTCTATTCGCCTCTGCGTAGCCATTGGTTGGAATGAGTCTTGTGAATGAGGTTTGGGCAAAGCCCACACAGATGCAAAACCTCGAAAATCTGAACGCAAGGATCGCAAGGCTCGCCGGGATGTTTCTCAAAGTTGCGAATCTCAAAGGCTTCACCGGGTCGGCGCCGCGTGCCGCGCCTGCTCGTCAGGAAAAATCTGTCTGACTGCCTCTTGAGGGCTTGAACTTTCACAGCAGGATCACCTCGCAGCTCGTGCATCAGGTCCACCCATGGTGTTGTGCTTGAAAGGACGCAAGGATTGCCAGTCCACCACAACCCTTATCCAATGGCGGTCCGACTTGATAGTTAGTATATGGGGGTTGTCCTAAATTACTGTTCCCACAAAGGCCTCTTGGGCCGAGCTTGCGCCAACCTTGCGCGTTTCTTGCGCGACCACACGCCCGGATCATGTTTTTCATCGTTATTCTCGTACTTGTTTTCGAATGTTAAATATTTATATATTCACTTAGTATTTCGTACTGGGAAGTAGTTTGTGCAAGCTTTGTAGTACACAGTAGTACTGGGAAGTAGTTTGTGCAAGCTTTGTAGTACAAAGTAGTACTGGGAAGTAGTTTGTGCAAGCTTTGTAGTGCAAAGTAGTACTGGGAAGTAGTTTGTGCAAGCTTTGTAGTGCAAAGTAGTACTGGGAAGTAGTTTGTGCAAGCTTTGTAGTACACAGTAGTACTGGGAAGTAGTTTGTGCAAGCTTTGTAGTACAAAGTAGTACTGGGAAGTGCTTTGTGCAAGCTTTGTAGTACACAGTAGTACTGGGAAGTGCTTTGTGCAAGCTTTGTAGTACACAGTAGCTGGGAAGCTTTGTAGCTTTGTAGTACACAGTAGTACTGGGAAGTGCTTTGTGCAAGCTTTGTAGTACACAGTAGTACTGGGAAGTGCTTTGTGCAAGCTTTGTAGTACACAGTAGTACTGGGAAGTGGTTTGTGCAAGCTTTGTAGTACACAGTAGTACTGGGAAGTAGTACTGGGAAGTAGCTCTGCGCGTGTTGAACTTCTGTGGTTTCAGAGCGGTTTCAGAGTGGTTTCAGACCCCTTCGGGGTGTCTAGCTGACCTTGATGAAAAGAACAATTTACAGACAGAAAAGACTTGAACACAACATACAAGGAAATACATTCAAAGAGCAGACAGATAGATAGATAGATAGATAGACAAATAGACAGATAGATAGATAGATAGATAGAGATAAAGCAGCCAACGCGGTCCGGAAGACATGCAGCAGCAGCCCGGAGATGGTGAGCAGGAAGGTGTTTCAGAGTGGCAGTGGTTTCAGACCTCTTTTGGGCTTGTTTTTTGGGTACCCCCAGCTTTGGGAGATGAAAAAAGAAAGAGAAAAGGTAGAGAAAGAGAGAGAGAGAGACAGAGAGAGGAAGAGGGAAAAGAGAGAGAGAGAGAGATAGAGAGAGAGAGAGAGAGGAAGATGGAAGATGGAGACAAACAGAAGGCGAGAGAGAGAGAGAGAGAGACAGAGAGAGGAAGAGGGAGAGAGAGAGAGAGAGAGCGTTGTAAATGGTGAGCAGCGGGGTGTTTCAGAGTGGTTTCAGACCTCTTTTTGTCCGTAGGCTACCTCAGCTTTGGAGAAAAAACAGGAAAGAACGGGAAAAGAAAGAAGAGAAGGGAGAAAGAGACAGAGAGAAAGAAGAAGTCTTGAGACGGTGAGCAGGAAGATGTGTCGAACTGGTTTCAGACCTCTTTTGGGGCCGGTTATGGGGCTACCTAGTTCTTAAGACATCCAAAAGAAGGGGCTCAAAACAGATTGTACTTGAAACACATGCGGTCCGGAAAGACGTGCAACGGTCCGGAAAAGCAAGCACCCAAAACGTACTCTAATCGTAGCGATTGCGGTCCGGAAAGGCATGCAGCGGTCCGGAAAAGCGAGCACTCAAAACGCACTCTAATTGTAGACATTGCGGCCCGGAAAGACATGCAGCGGTCCGGAAAAGCAAGCACCCAAAACGTACTCTAATTGTAGACATTGCGGCCCGGAAAGCCATGCAGCGGTCCGGAAAAGCGAGCACTCAAAACACACTCTAATTGTAGATATCGCGGTCCGGAAAGACCTGCAGCGGTCCGGAAAAGCAAGCACCTAAAACGTACTCTAATTGTAGATATTGTGGTCCGGAAAGACGTGCAGCGGTCCGGAAAAGTAAGCACCCAAAACGTACTCTAATTGCAGACATTATGGTCCGGAAAGACATGCAGCGGTCCGGAAAAGCAAGCACCCAAAACGTACTCTAATTGTAGCCATTGTGGTCCGGAAAGATTTGTAGCGGTCCGGAAAAGCAAGCACCCAAAAAGTACTCTAATTGTAGATATCGCGGTCCGGAAAGACGTGCAGCGGTCCGGAAAAGTAAGCACCTAAGACATTACGGTCCGGAAAGACATGCAGTGGTTGGGAAAAGAGGATAGCACGAGACAGAGATGGAGACAAACAGAAGGCGAGAGAGAGAGAGAGACAGAGAGACAGAGAGAGGAAGAGGGAGAGGAGAGAGAGAGCGTTGTAAATGGTGAGCAGCGGGTGGTTTCAGAGTACGTTTTGGGTGCTTGCTTTTCCGGACCGCTGCACGTCTTTCCGGACCGCAATATCTACAATTAGAGTACGTTTTGGGTGCTTGCTTTTCCGGACCGCTGCAGGTCTTTCCGGACCACAATGGCTACAATTAGAGTACGTTTTGGGTGCTTGCTTTTCCGGACCGCTGCATGTCTTTCGGACCGTAATGTCTACAATACGAGTACGTTTTGGGTGCTTGCTTTTCCGGACCGCTGCACGTCTTTCGGACCGTAATGTCTACAATTAGAGTGCGTTTTGAGTGCTCGCTTTTCTGGACCGCTGCAAGTCTTTCCGGACCACAATGGCTACAATTAGAGTACGTTTTGGGTGCTTGCTTTTCCGGACCGTTGCACGTCTTTCCGGACCGCATGTGTTTCAAGTACAATCTGTTTTGAGTCCCTTCTTTTGGATGTCTTAAGAACTAGGTAGCCCCATAACCGGCCCCAAAAGAGGTCTGAAACCAGTTCGACACATCTTCCTGCTCACCGTCTCAAGACTTCTTCTTTCTCTCTGTCTCTTTCTCCCTTCTCTTCTTTCTTTTCCCGTTCTTTCCTGTTTTTTCTCCAAAGCTGAGGTAGCCTACGGACAAAAAGGGGTCTGAAACCAGTCTGAAACACCCCGCTGCTCACCATTTACAACGCTCTCTCTCTCCTCTCCCTCTTCCTCTCTCTGTCTCTCTCTCTCTGTCTCTCTCTCTCTCTCTCGCCTTCTGTTTGTCTCCATCTTCCATCTCTCCTCTCTCTCTCTCTCTTTCCCTCTTCCTCTCTCTGTCTCTCTTTCTCTCTCTTTCTCTTTCTCTACCTTTTCTCTTTCTTTTTTCATCTCCCAAAGCTGGGGGTACCCAAAAAACAAGCCCAAAAGAGGTCTGAAACCACTCTGAAACACCTTCCTGCTCACCATCTCCGGACTGCTGCTGCATGTCTTCCGGACCGCGTTGGCTGCTTTATCTCTATCTATCTATCTATCTATTTATCTATCTATCTGCTCCTTTTTCTTTGGATGGCCTATTTACCACCCTGGTTATCTATGTTTATCAACTCGAGATATTAATATTTACGATCTAAATCAGATACGGTGGTAGTAGTAGTAGTAGTAGTCGTGGTGGTGGTGGTGGTAGTAGTAGTAGTAGTAATTGTAGTAGTAGTAATTGTAGTAGTAGTGGTAGCTAGTGGTGGTAGTAGTAGTAGTAGCAGTAGTAGTAGTAGTGGTGGTAGTAGTAGCGGTAGTAGTGGTAGTAGTAGTAGCAGAAGTAGTAGTAGTAGTAGTATTAGTAGTAGTAGTAGTCGTCGTGGTGGTGGTGGTGGTAGTACTACTAGTAGTAGTTGTAGTAGTAGTAGTAGTAATAGTAGTGGTAATGTAGTAGTAGTAGTAGTAGTAGGTCGTAGTCGTAGTCGTAGTCATAGTCGTAGTCGTAGTCGTCGTAGTAGTAGTAGTAGTAGGTCGTAGTCGTAGTCGTAGTCGTAGTCATAGTCGTAGTCGTAGTCGTAGTCGTCGTAGTAGTAGTAGTAGTAGCAGTAGTAGTAGTAGTGGTAGTAGTAGTAGTTGTAGTAGTAGTAGTAGTAATAGTAGTGGTAATGTAGTAGTAGTAGTAGTAGTAGTAGCGCTAGTGGTAGTAGTAGTGGTGGTAGTAGTAGTAGTAGTAGCGCTAGTGGTAGTAGTAGTGGTAGTAGTAGTAGTAATAGTAGTAGTAATAGGAGTAGTAGTAGTAGTCGTAGTCGTAGTCGTAGTCGTAGTAGTAGTAGTAGTAGTAGTACTAGTAGTAGTAGTACTAGTACTAGTACTAGTACTAGTAGTAGTAGTACTAGTACTAGTACTACTAGTAGTAGTAGTAGTAGTAGTACTAGTAGTAGTAGTACTAGTACTAGTACTAGTACTAGTACTAGTAGTAGTAGTAGTTGTTGTTGTAGTAGTTGTAGTAGTAGTAATAGTAGTAATAGTAGTGGTAATGTAGTAGTAGTAGTAGTAGTAGTGGTAGTGGTAGTAGTAGTAGTCGTCGTCGTCGTAGTAGTAGTAGTAATCAAAATGTTAATTAAAATAGTACTTGTAATAATGATAACAATAGTACTTGCGCGTACCTTGGGCCGCCCTTGCGCGAAACTTGCGCGATGCAGGTTTTAGACCATGGGAAAATTGCGAGAATAGGTCCTTTACTAAAAACCTTTTCTGGGGTTTTTGGACGGCTCCCATATATCAGATAGGCTTTGCATTAGAATCATTTTTCATACATATCTCTACCAGGTTGGTTCCTGAGTTTTAGGACCCGTTCAACCGCTGGCTAGCCAGCCAAGTAGCACAAAGGATTATGAGCCTCGGGCGCCAGCGAACCAACGCATGGTCTTGGGTGCAATATGGCTACATTCCACAAGTCCGAAGCTTCTGTCACTATCATGTCCAATTCAATCTTTGCAGGACGCTGCTCGCCTACAGCTGCCCACAGGAGAATACACACTGTTCTCCAAGTGAAAAATGGTCTCTGGCCACGACATGCCACGAATTGCGTTGCCAAGGTGCCACCCCTAGGAGTTCATAAAACGCAGGCCATGCCAAGGCTTTTGCAAAGTTCGGAGGGCCAAAGGAGCTGCAGTAGTCCAGCCTCACATGGAGGTGAAGCAACGCCATAGCGTTCAATTTCATCATGTTGCACCATTTTGATCCATTTTCCTTGTGGATTTGCACTCAAACATGATCCAGAACATGCTAACTCAGCTGAACGAAATAAGATTGCCCCTACACAAATTGGGAAACTTTCTCTTCATTTGATCCCTGCCCCTGGATGTCGAGCCAGCTACACCCATGAGATGTTGATCTCATGACTGGATTCACAGCTCAGCTACTCTAACTTGTCATGAGTTGGCAGCTTCCAGTCTGCAAAGGCCAGCAGCTTGTTCCTCGCGTTCCATGGCAGCGCAGCCGGCAATGGGAGTAGACAACGGGAAGGAAGGAGTCAAATCCAGTTACTTGAGCTGAAACGTTGAATTATTTCAACATCTGTTGTGATTCTAAGTCCCTACCAGTTGCATCTTAATCGAATTATGTAAAGAAATATAAAGTTATGTATATTGATGAGTGATAACGAAAGTATTGCATGAATCAAAATACATACACCACTGAGTCATTCGTCATGAATGACCACTGCTTTCTATTATTTCTCTTGGCCCAAGCAGCTGGACTGGCTTGCCCTGGTAGTGCACATTACGAGCATGAGATCGGTTGGCCACAGCTGAGATATCAGGACGATCCAGCCTCAGCATGCTGCTCTCGAGGGTTGAGAGTAAACAAGATCAAACAAACACATTACCAAGATCTGAAAGCACATTAACAAGATGCATCTAGACATGTCTAAAATCTTCTAAACACCCAAAGATCCCCAAAAGCTCAGATGATCAAGAGCAAGTGCAGCCAGGTCACTTCTTATCCATCAAGACTGGCACATTGTGTTTTGGCCGGAGAAAGGGTGGGCCAATAGGAATTGCGGGTTAAAAGTAGAGGATACTTTTGAAGGATCCATTTTCTGAGACCTAAAACCTGACATGGCGCCGATAGTGGAAACCAATGTCACCCAAACAAAACACCGTCTCCTGTTGCAAAGCAAATGGAGAAGAGAAACATCCCTGCGGGCCTTCCCACTTGTCCAAAAGCTTCAGCATCTCAGCTACTGCAAGTTCAGCCCGATTTTCCTGACAGCCCGACGACTTGTGCTATCTTTTTATATCACCCTTGGGTCCTTGGGATCTCTTGAGTCCTTGGGATGTTTTAAGGGATTTCATTTCCCTATGGAGCTCTTAGACATCATTCAAAGTCATGCCTAGAACTGTGACAAGATGCCAAATCCAGCTTGTAGTGCCCCGTGGGATTGCCAGTTCGGAAGTTAATGAGCCTGAGTCGGTGCTTGAACATCTGTGGCATTGCACAATCTTCACATTAACCTGTATTAACCTGTGTAACATGCGACCTTGTCATACATCATTGGGATCCCTCCACACCTCCAACCTGTGGGATGGCAAGGACCATCCATAAATCTCTGGGAAGCCAGACTGTTGCAGCTGCGTGCGGCAGCTTACACATTCCGTGGTCGTGCTGTACATGCCCTGCGCCACGTAATACCTGCGGCCATTTGGCCAATGCGGGCAGCAGGCGGTAACCGGAGGAGAAATTGGTGGGGACCTGGTCCAAAATTGCTGGGAAGGGGGGAGGTTCAGGAAGCAACTGAGAATGGTATATGACATGTGCTCCCAATCATTTCCCACAGAATTGCTGAGATATTGTTGCATCAAACGATGCCTAATGCTAAGTTAAACCACTGGGTCATGTCCTCTGATCTGATCAGGATGCATTTCCAGAATCGGAAGGCCCGGAAGGCCATTTGAATTTTGAATTCCCGCTTCTCACTTCTAGCACTGGGAATCTCAGGAAGTAAACACCAAAAGCCAAGTGTCCAGCCAGGCTCTCTCAGGATGGATGGTAGGAGATTCACCAAGCATTTGGGTTTTGCTAATTGTGATGTCCTCAGCCAATGGAGAAACAGCTACGAGTAAGAGCTGAGTCGCTCAAACTTCTTTGCCACAACAGACCCCCAACCAAGCCAACTGACGGACAATTTGAGCCAGCGAACCAACAGGAAAGGTCACAAAACGAGCAGCCAACCAACTGGATCCAATTGGTCGACTCTCCACTCGCTTTTTGTGGGGTACGTGTCATCCAGTCGAAACTTCCAGAGATGAAACCCTTCTGAAACTCATCAAGGTCTGCCCCAGTTCGACCCAGTAGTTTTCATCCTTGGATCCCACATCACAAACCATAGCCATCTGGGTAAATGATCATATTTCACTAACCTGAATAGTTCGGCCATTTGGGGATGATTTCCCTATAAAAAACCATGATTTCCAGGTTTCGGTCGCGACGTGAGGTCGTTATAATTTACCCAGATCAATAGCCCAGTGTCGCTGCAAAAACTCGGAGGTCAGGCAGAGACAGCACAAAGTCCGAGCTCAACGCCTCCGGTGCCATGGTGGTGGACTGGGTCACCCCATCGAAGACCAGAAAAAAAAGGAAAAACGTTAAACAAAACTGGAAATCATATATGGATTATATGGATTATATAGGCATATATAGAGGTATTCCCCAGTTTATCCAGGTTTTTCGAAGATATTTTTTAACTATTTTAACTCTTATCACGACACAAAATCAAACTTAAAGGATCTTAAAAGGCTACTTTTACAGTACCCGCTGGTTGGAGAGACCAAGATTGAAGGATGGGCCAATCAATGTCAAACCGGGTAGCCTTGGACAATGGTAGAAAAATGTGTTTCTAGGGCAGCTAGCTTCACCAGAATCTCATGGGCCAGTTTCAGGATATCTCCCTCGCACAAGTCACGGTTCTCCATGACCCCATGAATATCCACATAAAAATGCCTTTGGTTACGGCAAATTATATCAAATTTGGGGTCTCAATTGAGATATTGCAGCTGCTCCTGGATTATCCTGCTACTTCTCACAATAAAATTCGCCAAGAGAGTTCAAGAGAGTCTTGTTGAGCACATCCTATCCGTCCTATCCCCACCATCCCCTGCCCCCTATCATCCCCTGCCTTCAAAAGCACTCCCTGTCCCTGGAGACCATCCAAATCATGCCACCGTGCAAAGACCGGCACCGCCTCGCAGCGGGCTCAGGACATTTCAGGACATTTCAGGGGCCCAAGTAACTCGCTGCCCATGCCGCACCAAGTGAAACTTCGTCCTTCCGAAATCTTCATCAAACAACCTGTTTCCTTACCCTCTGGTAATTTAACATAGCTATTGAAAATGGCATTTTTCAATGGGAAAATCCACTATAAATGGTCATTTTCAATAGCTATGTTAAATTACCAGAGGGTATCTTCCTTGCAGGGCACCAAGGATATGTCCTATCAAAAAAGGCTTCAAACATCCGATGCCTTCTTCTCATTGAGTTGATGGCGAGTAGCCTTGTAGAAGCCTGCACAAACGTCATGCAGTGAAGACTGGCAAACTTCAGCTGTGCATGAAGCCAGTATGTACATCATGCATCTCAAAATAGAGAAATCATCTCCTAAATTCACATTTAAATTGATTTTCCCAGCAATAGCAGGCAGTTTTCCATGGTTTTTCAGTGCCATGCCGGAATACGATTGGCTTAGGGAAGGGGCCGCCCGACTCACCACAGCAAGGGGCGTTTGATGACGCTATCAAAGTCCCGGTCCAGGCCCTTGAACATGCTGGAATCCAGGCAGCGTTCCTTAGATATGTGAAAGTCCCTGGAAGCCGAAACTGAAGGAGCTTCCAAGTATTCAAATTGCTGACCTCCCAAAAGATCTACTTGGTCCAGAGTAGCACGCTCAGATTCAGAGTGGTTTCAAACGATGCTTAAGAGATAAACAAGTTCCATGTCTATTGTATGTGGTTGGTATTTGTTGAAATCATAATCTGAAGACCTGGGACCCCATGAAACAACCAAGAGACTCAAATGTAAGTGAAGTTCAATGCATCACCGCATCACCTTGAACTACTATGTTTTGGATGGGAAACCACTATTAATCGACATGAGTTTGTTTGACAATAGGGTACGACCCTCAGATGGCCATTTAATAAGGAACATGTTGATATTTCATAAACCATGGGATATGAGGGTACAATATTTTCAGACAAACCCATATGTACTAATGTCAAGTCAGGATTAGTCAACCCCCCGTTATTAATCAACCTCGGCTGCCCCCCCCAAAAAAAATGTAGTTTAAAAACAGGTGGTCCCCCTGGATTAATAAACTTTTTGGCATGGACATGATTAATCATCCTCCAGTGCTGAAATCGCATTTTTTTATCCAACAGTTTTTATTTCCAGTTCTTTTTGTTTCTCATCATGTCTCATCAATCTCAGAACTCATCATTGTTATACTTAAGGTTTAAGTTGAAATATGGTTTTGTTCTATTTTCCAACTCTCTTTATTTTCAAATGGTTTCCTTATGCATACTTAAGTTGAAACCTCATGAACACCAGAACCCATCACTGCTGATCATTGAAAATTTGAAAAATAACTATTCCCCAAATGATCGATTTCTTATTAAATTCTTTATAAAAATCATCAGTTTGGATAGCTCCCAAAGGGTACACCCCCATGAGCCCATGTCCCCCATTAATAATAACCAGGGGTTGCCCCTTATTAATCAACCCCCATGTCCCTAATCTTTTTTTCTTTGGATTTGCCCATTCATTCCCAATGTTCCCCATAGCTTTCAGCCAATGTTTTCAGTCAATCAAATCTCATCAAACCCAATGGAATTCTACTAAAATCTAATTGACTTCTATAGATTCCAAGCCATATCCAAAATTCTATGGTTCAGAGGGCGTTTATTAAGGGGGGAAACTAGGAAAGACCTTACAAGGTCCATCTGACCTTGAGGGGGGGAGGGGTTTATTCATCCGCTGTTGACATTACTCACAAATTGATGCACAGCAACGTGCCACGCAATCGTCAAGCATCCAGGTTGAAGGATAAAGACACCTCGCCCTCTTTAGGCACTTCCCATGTGCCTGAGTTCTTTAGGCACCGAACTGTGCAGGACAGGGAAGAGACGTTCGGTTCCCGCAAGGGCCTCTTTAACATCCATAGGCTCAAAAGGGATCAAAATGGCACTGAAACACACGACCAATATCGACCAATGCCTTGCCGAGACGCCGTCTTTCTTTTTGGTGCCATGATGAAATGGTTCCTCCGAATTGACCTGGGACCAATGCAGCAGATGACACTGGAAGCAATAGGCATTTGGTAAATGGTTGATGGATGTTGATGGTTCAGAATTCGTAAGTGATCTAAATGATTCCAAATGTGCATCTAAATGCATCACTTGAGACGTCCGAATGACTCTGACACGTTGGGAGTCTTGTTTGTGATGCAGGATCTCAGCCATTTTGCTGTGGAAGCTTGAGAATGGTCCAAACTCTTTGCGGCCATTGCATTTTTATTCACAAGAACCACGGTTCGCCCAGACCTTTTTTTTCAGGCTTTGAGATTGGATTTTGGCGTTTTGGTGTTTGAGGTTTTGTTTTTTTTTTCCCATGGTATTTGGGTTTAGGGTTTGGATTTAAAAAGGATGACCTGTGCAATGGACAGCAATGGATGCGCGGCCCCCTCCCCGATCTCTTCAGAAATCCGAGAATGAGCCACTTTTTACATTCTGTTTAGAGGGCCGAGAGCAAATCGAGGTGTTTGCCCGCATTACTCCCTTGTATTCCAACCATTTTGGAACATGAACCGGCATTTCATATCATTTCATCATTGCCCTGTGTGCTTATCATGCTCAACTGCAGTCCCAAAGGCAATAAACACCTCTGTGGGCGACAAGTGGAAGCGCTCTGCCGCTCGGTAGAGCATCCGGAGCAACGCCCGATGATACCTTGCTGGGTTTGCTGCTTCACTCTGAAAGCTGGTGATGATGATGATGATGATGATGATGATGAAAACACAGAAAACCCAATGCCCAAAAATCAGACTTTGGATGTATGTCCCCTAAGGATTGAGGACTGACGTGGGAATTCTTACCACAGGTGGTACCAATACTTTCCCAGCCAATTGCGCGTGATTCACCGCAAGGAGATGCTGAGATAAGGGGACAACTTGACAACCTGGCCATGGGTGCCATGGGTGAACCCAAGTTACGGCCGGTGAAGCTGCAGGTTGTACGAGCCGGAACCAGGTAGGTCGCCTTAGTGTTCAAATGGTTTCAATCACAGCTCGTTCACCATCGTTCGCCATCGTTCGCCTATTTGCAGATTGGCAGCCCATATTGAAAACCTCGTTCTCAAGCAGGGAAGGCTCCTTTGGGACCAAGCCGATTGGCGGGCTAAACTACTCACAGAGATGGGCCTTGAGCACCACCTTGGAACACTCTAAATTCTAGGGCTTGCCCTGGGGAACGGAAAGTACTTTGTTTCACATTCATGCACCCGACATCATCCGACATATCATGAAAACTCCCTCCAACTTTCCAGTAGCTGTATTCCTCAAGTCGTGGTGCGATGTGCGTTTGCGTTGTTCATCACAAACATTTCAGTCACCCAAATCCACACCACTCACTGACGAAACAGCTCTGTCTATCCTCCCCTTTGGGACTCCAACATGTGATGCTGTAAGAATCTGCACGTGGTGCCCGTGATGAATTGATATGAATTGTGTGCAGATTCTTATCGCATTCCTTTCCGGGTGGGATTCTGGTCAAACAATGAGCTGCCCTAGATATGTTTCTCTCCTCTCCACCATAGCTGCCAGAGGTGTCAAAGGACTTCAATCCGTTCCTGGCAGCAAAAAGGGGCCATCAGTGGTACAGGATGGTATCTTTAATGGGCAAAGGGAGGTTCCCAATAGATTTTATTCATTTTGAGTTGTAGATTGTAGACGTTTGGACGGCAATTGGCAATGGTGCAAATGACACAAGTTGATCCATTCTCTTTCCAGGAGCCTGTCATTTCAAGCATTGATCAACCTTTGCACAACCAAGAAACGTCTCGGTGGCCACGCAGCGTAGCACTGACCTGTGAGGCGCTATCAATCAAAAAGTGTTTCAACTAAAGCACTGGTGATCTGGTCAAAGCAAACTAATACATATACGATCATGTCATTATGATAGTTATGAGTTATGATCCAAGTCATGAACCTCGTCATATCGAGGACATGATCCAAGTCGGCTTCCGATTTCATGTGCCATGATGTGCCATGCTCATGCTTGTCCAGACTGATCAATATGACCTTGAGAACTGAAACATACTGGGTCACGCTGTAAGAGATTGTCTCACAACAGATTTCAACAGATTTCAACAGCCTCAAGCCCCGCGGTCCCAGGGGATTGTCGGAGAGCTGCAAATGCTTTAAACTCCTCAGCATGACAAACAGTGGGACATGGGCTGCGGCAACTCCCAGAAACTGCTGAACCAACTCAAAACTACAGAACATACATGATTACACAGAGCCTTCCAGATTATTCTGCTGCCAGAACTGCCGTACAATTTGATGCCATTGTTTGTCCACGTCTGCTGGACTGGATATTGATGAAATCTGGAAGGGACGTCCAAAGTCATTGCCTAGCAGCTTGTGGTTTTGCAATGCATCCTCCAATACCAGGGCAGAGCGGTAGTCCATGTGGCTCATTGACAAATCCAGTGATGTCAGGGCGGAATCCATCTGCAACTGCTCCAAGTAAAAATTCACCTCAAGTCACAACATATTCAGACCGTCACATGAAAACAACGTCTCTTCAAAGCTCGCTCACAAAGTTCCCTGTTCGCACTTGGCCGCTTAGATTTTCAAAGGAAAACTCATAATAAATAAATGTATAAATGCATATAAATTGACATTGAAGGGCTTTCACCCAACAAAAAACCTACGATCTCTGCAGATTTTTCGCGGAAAGGCGTGTAAACAGTACCCCCCACTGTGCTTGATGGATGGACAGCGCATTGCTCTACAGTTGCGATGTCTTTCAAGCATGTCTGTGCGTTCACGAATGTAATGCTTTCAAACCCATGATCTGGATCGCTAGCTTTAAATGTTCAAGAAAAGCCACGTGCATACATCGTTTAAAGGTTAACACCACACTTTGCAAGAAATCCTTGCAGGCGGTCCTACTGTATGGCTCACCCTACGCCACAACTGCAAGACCTCACAGGATCTACATAGGTGTGCCAACCCTCCAACTTCCACTGCAGCCAAAGGCACAGGCGTTGACAAAGAATCGATGCAACCGCCACTGCAGTTGCAAATATTCAACTTCTTCACCTGTGGCACTGTGGCACAGCTTTTTCACATTTGGCATCTCCAACTCTCCCCGGCGGAATTTTTTGAACAAACGGTGCTCTTCAAAGAGCACCTTTTCCGACCGATTTGTTGCCCCTTTTTATCCACTGCAGGCAGGCAGCCATTTTCCGCTTGGCCAAGGTTTCCCCCAAACAGCTGAAAATCTCTGCAGAGAATTGGTTCCAGCTGAGATCCAGTTCAGCCACCTGGGATCCGTGAACGTTAAAATTGTGACGGAGCAAGACGTCAGGATAGTTCCATTACATGGTGTGCACGCGCACATATTTACTTGTATATTTTATAATGTGTATACATATATACATATATATATATATATATTTATTAATATAATGTATATATATATATATGTGTGTGTGTGTCTTTAAAAATCTTTAAAATATGCATAGTGTGTACCATATATGTATTTTATGGCCTTCAAAATGAAAGGACAGTGATGATGATTGACTATTGCAGACTGTTGCACTTGTTGTGAATGGGGGGTGGCCTCAATCAACATTGGCCAAAAGATGCCAAAAGGGTGGCAAATGTTCCACTCTGCTGCACTTTGCCGCACAGACACGTGCCCCTGCAGAAGTGTTGTCACGCACGCGCATGCAAAGACGCTTGGGCCTTTCCTTAGGAATGCTAGCGGGAGCTTCCACACAGAACTCGAGACCATATCATCCATTTCATCTGCCAAAGCTGATACTGTCAGCCAACCTGCAACATTTTGAAATCGTTAAAAATCACCTAACATCATTTCGGCATGGTAAAATGGCCAAAAAACTACCCAGTTCCTGGTTGAAACCAAAGGTGGCCAAGTTTCCCAAAGCCGGTGCCGCTGAGACTCACCTGCGAAGCGTTGAATATCGTTGGATCAGCTAGCCATAGAAGTTGGTTTCATTCACTGTACCCTCTGGTAATTTAACATAGCTATAGAAAATCACCATTTTTAATGGGAAAATCCACTATAAATGACAATTTTCAATAGCTATGTTAGTTTACCAGAGGGTATGTTTCACGATGTTTCATGGACTTCTGGCCTCTCTTGGATTGGACTCTTGGCAACTTTTTCATGGCTTCGTCATCGCTTGGAAAAAACTCTTCCACTTGTACATTTGAAGCTTCGTAGCCACTTTTGGAGTTTGAGTTGCCCACTTTCACCCTCCAGAATGGAATGATTGAGGCAAATGTTCTACTCCTCCAAACATTGTCTTTGGGAGTTGCAAGTTGGTGCAGACTTGAGTCCGAGAGGCGTAGGATAAAGTCTGGCCCTTGCTGATGGCATCGCAGAGCGGAAGCAGTTTGTAGTGTTCAATCTTCACTTGGCTCAAATCCTCAGGGACCGTTCGGCTTCTTGTCCGCCCTGGGTTTTTTACCATGCACATTGCACCGGCCTAAACCAACATGCTCCAAGCAATGCAACCAGAAGCTGAGATATCCAAACCTAACATCACTCCCGCAGCCGTATCCGCCCATGGGTAAATCGAAATGGAGTAAAGATCCTTGAACTCCGCGAGCCCTTGGCTCCATCATGCTCCCCCTGAGGTCAAGGCGAGTCTACGCAAATTGAAAGCATCACTCACCAGTTCAACAATGCCTCAGCTGGATGTGGGTGCATCCGTTCTCTCCCGATCCTCCATGTACTGCATAAGTCATATCACCTACACATATCTACTTTTTCCTAGATAGAGGTTTCCCATGCATGCATGCTTTGCTGCCATGGCAAAAACCATCATCATCATCATCATCATCAATCTGACATGCATATTAATCCGACATTGATATGATACCTCTCTCTCTCTCTTGGGGATTCTATGGGTGTGTCTAATATGTTTAATCCTCCACTGGACCAAGCAACGCTCCATGGACTGTGGCCCAGCTCGAGTGCAGCCAGCGATGCTCAACTCCAGCAGGGTGGAGGACTGGCCGCGGAGAGCATTCTGTTTCTGGTGATCCAAACCCATTGCGACACAATGCGTCATCTAAATGTATAGAACTAATGTTCAACCCCAAATTTTGTGACATTCATCATCATTCAACTAACTCATCTTCAACCCCAAATTGTGTCAACTAATATTCAACCCAAAGATCATGATTTGCATCTAGCTGGAGCCACTGAGCACCGCACCAACTTGGGCTGCAGCACTCGCAGCAGAAGCTGAGCTACAGCCTTGTCACCTGGACAGCTGCTACGAAAAAATATGAAAAAACGCACAAAGAGCACAAGTACTTGGCAAGTTTAGGACATATTGGGGATATCAAGAGGATATCATGGGGATGTTGTTGAGGATATAACGGTGATTTCCTGGGGAGCTATTGGCTGAACTCACCAGAATCCAAAATAAATCTCAACCATGCTACCTCTACCCTTTTCAACATCACAAAGCGGACGAAGCATTTCCCGCAGCAATCTGGACCCGCCAGCTGTTTGCGTCCTCACAGGCTTCCCTGGCCCATAGTTCGCACAGGGGAGCCCATGCAACCGAGGTGCTTAGTAGAGAATTGCCGTGCAAATCTACCTGCAAGGCGATTCAAGCCGGTGGTTAGTGGTGATGCCGCGATGCCTGAAACCTGCCCTCACTCAGCATCACCATCCCCACCGATGCTCAGCATGGCCTTCTTCACCATATCTACTGTAGGCAACGTCTCAGCCACAGCCTGGGCCATGATGCAAGATCGATGACGGGCCCCTTGAGCTGAGCAACATGCACTCTGAAATCCCAATAAATGATATATATATATTATTATATATATATATTATATATATATATATTATATAATTATATATATATATAATAAATGCCAAATAAATGTATCCCAAGCTGATTAAACACAGCTCCTGCATTTCTTAATAGTCTCAACAGGATGGAGCACCCAATGGACCACCCAATTCGCACAGAGCAGCCAACAGCTCCATGTCGCTCAAATCCAAATGCGCCAGGTCCAAATCATTGGTTTCCCCAATCCTTGGATGGCAGGATGATACAGGCGGAAGCATTTCTGGCATCAGCTTATCGTAGATCGCATCCCTTAAAATGATATTGATGGTAAAGTTTGGATATATAAATTGGTTCATGTTTCACACCGGTGCCCTCTGCATGACAAAAAATCGAAATGAATGGACATTCATCTATACACACCTATCCAGTGCCACGTGCGATGTTCAAGCTATTCAAGGCTAAGGCGGTGAATTCAGGTGCAGCTTTGGAAGGATGTTGTCAGTCTCAACTGGGAACGTTCCTCACCGGAGGATGGCAGCCGCAAACATCAAACGGGGGGAAGACGATCTGATCGCCAAGGAACACGAAGGGAATTGGCAAAGGAGTCGCCGTCAGCCCATTGCACAGCTTCAGGTAGCGCTCCCGGGTGGCGTTGTCCACCTTTTGACCAGGAAGGATCCCATTAAGCAATGCGAACCTGCTGATGCAACCCGCAATGATATGATCACTTCCCAAGGGACTTCCCAAGGGAGAAAATCAACAGCCACAAAATGATCGGACCAATCGTGCCATCTTAAATTCTTAGCTTCACTCTAGAAACTCGTCCATTTGATTTGGTCATCCCTTGATATCAGTATGACGCAACCAAAACCACACCGGTCAAGGGGCCGGCGGCAGCGAGCACACTGCACCAGAACCGGCATCACGAAGCAAAGATGTATGCGACCTGCTCATCATTCTTCCTCAAGGGCTGTCTGGCTAACTCTTTAAACATACCAGCTGGAATTGGTATGACATACAAATCCATACAAGCCATATTCAGGAAACGGAATTACATGCCATCAGATCATGAGTATGAAGCCGCTTACAGCAGGGAAATTGTGAACATGAATAGTGGCTGACAACCAGTCCGGAGTGCCACAGAAAAAGAGTCTGTTTCTTCATTGCTTTGGGTGGCATGCCCAACGACTGTTGAATTAATTGCACAAATCCAACTGCAGTCCATATGCGGTCTCTCGATGCTTCACAGCAGGGTTGGGAAAATAAACACTTTTGCAATCTTTTGCACCTCCAGTCTTTGAATTCCAGCCATGCGTCTGGTTGAAAGCTGCTTCTTGATATGATGCTGTGGAGGCAAACTGCCAGGGTTTGCAACCTGCAACACTTTGAGCCAAGGAGTTGACCTTCGCACCGTGACTGCCAACTACAATCTCAGGAAAATGTTCTTTAAATATACGGTATACGTCTATGTCTATGTCATGTAAATATACGTGTTACGTGTAGATAGACAGCCAGCCAGCCAGCCAGGCAAACATATATGATAGATAGATACGCAGGTCCAAATTTAGAAGCCTTGAAAACATGTGGGAACGCCGAATCGCCACATAGTGGAGGCTTTGAAGTATGACTAGCCACTAGAAAGGATAAACTGCTCTTGGCTCCCCCTAGTCAGCCTTCATCGAGCCGGCTGAGCCTTTCCTGCAAACGCTTGGGACCACGGCTGAGAGAAAGCGTGGACCTTCCTCATGTCTCGTACAGTGATGGGCTGTGATAAGATCTGATATTCTGTTTTCTCGTTGTTTCTCCCCCTGGTGTGGTTGGGCTGTTGGATCTAACTTTGACTTCAGGGAAGGTTCGCCAGGGCTTGATTCGACACATCAATTCCTACACATTAAACTCTACTTTGAACCTATCAAAGTCTCAAGTGCACAGGTGATGTGACCTGCCAATCCCCACTCCTTCACAGTAGTAAATAAGTAGGAATTTAAGATGACATCTGTCAAGATAGAACATTCAGTGCTTTCCCCTGCATACCATCACCAAAATCGGTTGGTCGTGTTTATCACATCAATGGATTTGTTTAACTGCGCAATCTGCAGAGAAATAGATCGTTTATCTTACTGGTGCGTTTTACGTAGGGTTGCTGGATGGGTTTATGGGGGTTGCTGGGATGATGACATTACTATAGTGATGAAATGGATCATTCCCGAAAATTCCCTGCTTCAACCAATGGAATCCCAGTCCTCTTGAGCCCAGGATGCCTCAATTCACGAACGACGGCGACGCAAAAAGATCCGAGACCCGACCATTTTCTCGTTCAGTTTTACGAGTCTCAAAACATGTGTCAAAATCACAGACAATAACAGCAAATGTTCCTACATTGCACTCCACCATATGTATATCACTGTATATCTGTATGTATGTATACAGTAATCATGACTACAATATCTATCAATATCTATGCGCAGCGAATGATTGGTCAACTCGAACTCAAGCCCGCCCGCTAGTGAACCAGCTCCACTTGTCTGCGGCTTCAAACTCTGCAGTCAGTCAAGGCACTTTGTGTTCCAAGCATCCTGCGCTATGCCACGTGTGGCAAAATGAGCACAGCTACATTGCGGGTAATTAGATGTAATTAGAACATATATTTGAAGTCATGATTCATCACGGCAGGAACGGCAGAACATTATGAAATTGACAAAGGGTCAAGAATTGTTTTGGGAATTATGTTTTCCCCGTTTCGTTTTTTTTTTGGATCTGCTTTTCTGCCCGTTTTCCTTGCTATTTGCAGCATTTTGGAGCTGGAAGCTTCCATTTTAACTATCTTTGCAACATTTTGGTGGAATTTGTAAAATTTTGGAGCTGGAAGGTGCCGTTTCAATGGGTACTTGCAGCATTTTTGAGTTCGAACTGTTCATGTAACATGGTAGTTTGCAACTAGGGTTCATTTAGGGTTGGTTTTAGGGTTAGTTTAGGGGTTTTGTTTGGATTTAAGTTTAAGGGTTTGTTTTAAAAAATTATGTTTTATTTAGTTTTTTGAATGGTTAGTTTAGGATCTTTTTGGGGCTTGTTTTCGGTCTTATTTAGGTTTGGTTAAAGATCTATTTATGGTTGGTTCTGGACCTATTTAGGGTTGGTTTATAGGATCTATCTAGAGTTGGTGTAGGACCTATTCAGGATTGGTTTGAGGTGTGTTTAGCGGTGATTTAAAATTTGTTTAGGTCAGGTTTAAGATCTATTTAGGGCTGGTGTAAGGTTTATTTAGGATATTTTAGGATTATATAGTATTATATAGTGTCAAATTTATTTAGGGAGTGTTTAGGGTGTCCTTGGAGTTGTTTTAGTGTTTCTTTGGTTGGTTCGGGGTTTATTTATGGTTGATCTAGGGTCTATTCATATGATGTTTCTTAAGGATTATCTGCAGTATGAGAAACACAAAAAGAGGGAAAAGCAGAGAAGCAAAAAAACAGGTAAGCAAAGAAGCAGAAAAGCAGGTAAGCAAAGAAGCAGGGACAACAGAAAGCAAAGAAGCTGGAAAAGCAGAAAAGCGGAGAAGCAAAGAGGCACCACAGTGGAGAAGCAGAGAAGCAAAGAACTACAGTATAAAAGCAGAGAAGCAGGGAAGGGCAGAAAAGCAAAAAGCAGAGAAGCAGAAAAGCAAAGAAGCAGGGAAACAGAAATCAAAAAAAATGCCCAAAACGAACAAATAATTCAAAATAAAGCCCTCCTTAAACAAACACCTCCTCATTGCTTGACTGCTTCTACATCTGCAGAACCATGACCAAGCCACCACAAACTCTCAATGTCTACACCTGGAGGCTGTTTCCCAAACTGGATGTTCACTATGTTCACTTGAGCTTCAGGACTTTCAGGACTTTAAACTGGTACATCCCATTCATAATATATATGCTGTGATATGTTCCAAAATAATTTTCGTCGTCCACTATGATTCTGCTTCATCGATAATTACCTCGCTTCCCCTCGCAAAGCCCTCCCCTTCTTGCAAGGTCCTTATGGTACTCGTACCAAAAATCCTTGGAATGGTGCAAGCCGAACGTCGCATGCTGAGTTGCCATAGGTTTGCAGCATTCTCATTTGTTGATACTGGTTGTTTCATGGGGAGTCCCATCATGGATTATAATCCATATATATTGGATAGTATAACAACAACCGAAACAATAGTAACACTATATAACACTATACTCCACAACATCGACCATAACCATAGGATTCCCATGATGGATTACTATTGGATTACAATAATTTAATAATGGTTGTTTTACCCTCTGGTTATTTAACATAGCTATGGACAATCCATTATAAATGGAGGTTTTAAATGGGAAAATCGAATCTGTACATGGGCCATTTTCATCCATTTTCCATAGCTATGTTAGTCATAACCAGGGGGTATACCATCATATATACTAATTTATCCCATTAATTCCTATTAAATCACCATTGAATCACCATTTTAAACCATCATTTTAAACCAATGGTCAGCGGGTCAACTACTCACTGCTTCCGCCACCGGGGCGATCCGAGACACCACGACTCGCACCCGATGCTGGAAGGAGAAATCCCGTGGAGTTGTCGGATGCATCCCTCGGCGGCCCAGGTTGTAGCAGGTTGTAGCTGTCACTAGAAATTGAATCATGTTAAAATATGTTAAATATACAGGAAACCCCAAAAATAATTCACTATTTGCGGGTATTATATATATATATTCTTATTTTTCTGTTTGGATAGTGTCGGCCCAAATATGCCCAAATCCTACCAGTGGCGCACCGTGCCGGCAGATGTTTGGGAGGTTAGTATGCCATGTCGATCTTCTTGGGCGGTGAGCTACACCGATTGCAATTGGTTGGATGCTCCAAGTATCCCATTATCATCCATTATCTTCCCTTTCGAAATATCTTCCTACGCTCTCAGGGGCTCAAACATGCTGTGTGAAGATGTCGTGCTCTGACATGACGATCGCGAAGGGTCTGGGTATGTCTGGGTGCAACGGACAGGTTTTTCCTGCTTTCCCAAGCGCCTGTGGGGACACTTTGCGCAAGATCTCTGTCGTTGATACTTCGGTTCTGAAGCCAGGTGCTTACGCAAGACTTGCGGACGACTTTGCCAAGGCCTTGTTGGAGATTCAAGATGCCAAAGAGATTGCTCCAGCACCGGCAAAAGTTACTGCAACACTTCTCGGGACAACAGTTTGGTGGAAGCTGCGGTCATACTGCCAAGCATGCAACTCAGGTATGGAATCAACTGGTCATACTTTGGCAACGCCGGTTGGCGTGTCGATTCTGCGATGCCCCTGCAAGTCAGGTTTCAAGACAGATAGGTCATGGGAGCGGCGAAATGTTTGGAGCAAGTCAATGGCTATTTGGCACACTGGATATCACAGCTTGCACGCTGCGCGGACACGGTTGGGGCACTCACTGACCACTTGAGCCCGGAGGTGGTCCCGGCTGCCGTTTTCCTCCTGTTTGATTTGTTTGTTTTCATGCTTAGGGTCTTTGGGCGCAAGTGCTCAAGACATGCATGTCTTTTGTTTCTTCCAGTAGTTGATGAGGCTGACAAGGAGCCGAGCCGGTAGTTAATGTACTGCGGTGCTTTGCATGGAAGCCGGCAGGCAATACCTATTGGTTGCCGTGTTCGAAGTGCTTGCCACCGCCTAGTGTATCCTATTGTGGAGCTCTGGACAAGCAGAGATTTCTCGTTTGGACTAAACGGGGATGCGCATAGCCGCCCCTCAAACACAGAGCCCATGCGCAATATATTATGTTTGGGTGATAAGATGTATAGTAAGATGCTACTCTTCTATCATATTCTAGTTTGTTGGAAGTTTCTATATACTAGTAAATCTCATATCATCTCACATCTACCCCCAAATTCCGATCACTTAGATTACTTTGAGAAGCTCAGAACAATTCAACCAGCCCAGTCATCGGTCATCCATGGTCATCCATGGTGATCCTCAACGAGTACCACGGAGCTGACCCAACAAGCCAAGGCACCAGAGTATAGGTATTTGAATCGAACAGTCGAGGCCCGTGCCTCCAAGAGGCTGATCTCTGGGAACAAGTCGAAGGGTCCCAGTCGAGTTCGCCAGGACATCAGGACATATCAGGAAACTAAGATAAACTAAGTCTATGTACAAAGTCTATGTAGATCCTGTGCTAGCATTCACCTGTCTATTAATTGTTCTGCCATGGTTTGGTGCTGATGGATATGTAAGAATCGGAATAGCCCACTCAAGTCACAACAGTATACGACAGTTATAGACGATGCCACACTATGCCAGTGGAATCTTGCTGGCTGTGCAGGTTGGCTAGCAGATGCACGCCTGGCGTTCCATCTCTCGGCAAGTCTTTTCCATTTTCATCAAGGAGGTCACCTCGTTCCCAATGGGAGCAGAATGGGAGGACATCCATCCCTGAACGGAGCATCCTGGGAAAAGTGGCCAGTGAACATAGTGAACTAATTCATACTATATACGTATATACATATATATATATATACGTATATAAGTCTCCGAATTTCTCCGAAACTTTCCCACATCAGAAAGCGCAGTTCCAACACAAACATCACCCGTCAATGAACCACCTAACTTCGGGAACAAGATGGCTTCTTGCAGCGTCCAGTGGTGAAACAGAGCTGCAGGGACCAAAGATCATCCAACCTTTCTGCCATGCGGAGAACATTCTAGCATATAGAATCTGTAAGAGAAGGATATGTGATATGTAATTTATGTAATCATCATTGTCTCCAAGAATCCATATATTAATCATTTAATCATTAATCCATAGTACCCTCTGGTAATTTAACGTAGCTATTGAAAATGACCATTTATAGTGGATTTTCCCAATAAAAAAGGTGATTTTCCATAGTTACGTTAGTTTACCAGAGGGTAAATCCATGATTTCCATTGAACCTACCTGAGAAATTTAAGGCCAAGTCTCCCATTCCTTGAAACGGGCCGAAGAGGTCTTGGGCCACTGCCCCGGACCCGTCAGGGCTTTGTTTTCACGCGTAGTGATCCAACCAATGGCCTCGTCTACGGATCCAACCCATCTGCAAGTCGTCAGGCTGTCAGGGAAGGATTTGATGATTTGAGGATTTTGGTTGGAACTGGGCTACCCTCTGGTAAACAGCCACATAACTATGAAAAATCACCATTTTCAATGGGAAAATCCACTATTAATGGTCATTTTCAATAGCTATGTTAGTTTACCAGAGGGTAAATCCAAGATGGAAACATATGGATCATATGGTTTCACCATTTTCGCTTGATTTGGGTGCCATCATGTCTAAAAACCAGGACCCGGCAGGTCTACGGATCTTCAGGACCTGATCTAGATCCCCTCCACGAAATCTCCATGGATGATCCCAGATGATCCCCTCTAAATCTCAATCAACAATAAGATAATGATAAGATAATGTAAGAAATTATTCTAGCCATCTTACCATCCACCCATCCACCCATCCCCTCTGACGCAGCCAGGTGGCCGAAGCGAGTTCCTCCACCTCCAACAAGAAGCGGCACTCGCTGACGATGAGACTCTCGTCAGGCTGTGGTGCTCTTAGGACCTACCCAGTCCCCAACGGCCTGCAACGACAAAAGGATCCAGGTCTTAGCCACGCCTGGGTGATGAGATGCAGCTCATCATAGGCAGGTATCACAATATCCCCTGAGACCAGAGCCATGGAGCTTGAAACATGCCGTGAGGGGCAAAGAATTTCCATGAATTTCATTGAATTTCCACAAAATCCCTGGGAAGAGAAAGAAACAACCTCCATAAAAACGGTGGTGTCATTCAGAAATGTTAGTTATGTGACACCATCCTGCCTGTCAGAATTCCTCGGTTCTTCTGCCACCTGAGGACTCGGACCAGTAAAGAATTCCACTGTGGCTCGTGTGGCTCGCAGATCCGATAATTGGTCGGAAACTGGTCGAAAATTGGCCATTCATGACCCAAGCCCTACCAGTCAAGATACAAAAGTGCTCAATGGCTCAAATACTGCAGCTGAGAAATGGCTTATTATTGGTTAAACTATGTTAAAATGGTACGCAACGGATCAACATCGCACGAAACATTTCCATTTTGATCCATTTTATGTCTATCTCTCTAGGCTGCGCCAGCGCAGCATGCCTTGTTCCCTTTGCAAACGAGTTTCATCTTCACAACAAACGTCTTTGTGGCGACCACGCGCCGTCTCTCCAGAAAATCGATCACAGCCCCTTCCTGAAAAGTCACATGGGGCAGTCACCATGCCATCACTTACCAAATGGCTGTGTCCATGGAGTAAACCTCCAAATAGGCATGGCTTCATCAGGAATATGAATGGGAAAATGAATGATGATAAACCATGATATACCATGATATACCATCAATGGGGAGGCTCCCCTCAATTTTCGCCAAATCGCAGTGTCTGGCAGCGGCTCTCGAAGGTTGACTGAGGAGCGCCTCCTAGCAATGCCTCGATGCACATGGGTGTCAAACTGGCACCATGCGGACTGCACCATAGGGAATTGGTGTGCGCAATCTAACCAATCATCTGTGTGCCATGTATAGACATTCAATACAATTTATGTTATGTAACTATCCAATAGAATGCACTTGTATAATGGAAGAAACTGACATACATACATGATTATACATAGTCTAGGTGTTCTTTAAGAAACAGCTTTGCTAGTTCCTTATTGATTGATTTCACAAAGTCGTGGTATTTTGATTGCCGCGCTGGGCGATAAAAATAGACAGTCCGCTTGGCAAATCCCAACTTTCAACCACAATGAAGCTACAGGGCTGGCGTGAGTCGCATTATCAGACTTTGTCCATGGAAGTGTTTCCAACAAGCAGCAAGAACCAGCGTATCTGTGAGCAGCGTAATTTCATCCTACGGATGGGTACCACACTATGTGCACAAGGTGTATGTGATGATTAGCACACTTCATCACACTTCATTCGTCAGAAGCGATCCTCAGATCTTAATGGGGCAGAACCAAAACTTATGAAGCAATCTTGGTTCACAATTAGTTCACAATCATAAGGGTGACTTATTCCAAGAAATCAAGAGAAACCAGTGCTAACCAGCACTGTGATGTCGTGCCGAGCCGAGTCCCCCAACCCATGCTCACAGATCCTGGGCTTGCAGGGCTCAGCATGTCGGGCAGTGGTGTGGTCGGCGCACCTGGGGGTAGCAGTGACTCGGATTCGAGGAATAACAAATGCCGAAACCACTGACCCAACTGACCCACGAATTCAATATCAGCAAAGTGGAACACAAGTGGCAAACATCTTTTTGAGAAGAACAAGTACAAGTAGCACCTAACATTAACACATCAAACATCATTGATACGATTGTGCTTTCAATGTGATTCCATTGGGGACCAAGGCCAAGGAGCGACCCAATTTCATCTCAAGGAGTGTAAAAACCCACCCATCCAGCGTCACCCTTCCGTCGCCTTCTGAGGCAGTGTGGTGAGGCGATGGTTCGGACACGTTCAACGCACCTGGTGCGATCCAGGAACGCCAACTTTGGAAATTCAGAAGCCTTTATTGACCAACAAAGAATGCGCGTCAAAGTCGATTCAAATCTTTTACGGAAGGTTTTTTTTGTTCAAAACTCAACCCCACTGACCTCAATGAACAACAGTTGGATCCCAAGATATCCAAGCTCCATCCGGTAGCTACAGCATATATTAACAACATTTAACACTGGTTGGTGGTTGACCTACCCCTCTGAAAAATATTATAGTCAGTTGGGATGATTAGTCCCAAAATATTCCCAATATATGGAAAAATAAAAATTCATGTTCCAAACCACCAACCAGAACACCATTTGGACTCCAACAGTGAACCCCAGCCTTGACTTGCTGGGCGTGAGCCCTGCTGTGACGCTACAGATCCTCTCAAAAGGCGGGCACGCTAGGTCTGGAGATGTCTGGAGTCTTAAAGTCTTAGTCCAAGAACATGTTTTTGAAGTTGTCTTGCAGGTATTTTAGCCCCTTTGAATGGCGTAGCTTGATGTAGCTTGATGTAGCTTGATGTAGCTTGTTCATCTCCTCCGAGTCTTCTGTTTTTTGCATGAATCAAGTAACGGTTTGACATACCCTGTACTTTGCGAGCACCCAGGCACAAAGGAATGCGGAGGAATAATGCACTCTTATTCTCTGTGGATTTGAAACGGCTTCGCTGAAGTGCTGAACAGCAGTTGCAGAAGGGCACAGGAAACTCTTCAAAAGTGTTGCATCATTCAGAGGTGTCATGAATTGACATGACGCAGCTCCTGGAGGGGTGGGTTTAGGTAAGAACTCCAAGTCAGATTCGTCGATGGTTTGAGAATTCTCATAGACTTGTCTGCCTTGAGTTCAGCAGCGATTGGGCGGCCGACATTCTAGAGTCTTAGAGCTGATTCCAAACCAGAGCAGACCAAGAAGATCCAAGCCAACACCACCGGACCACCTGCACAAATGCCTCGTGATTCAGGAAAAAAAAGCTATCCTTTCAAACTTTCCGCATCTTTCGGAGTCAAGTTAATTATAGTAAATTCATGTAAATTCAGCATCTTTTTGGAAGTAAATCTGCAAAGCCAAGAGGCGGATGGCCGCAACCTTTGAAGATTCCTTGGGAATTCGGTCGGCCTTGGCCTCTGCTTCCTCTTCAGACCTCGCCAGTGGACTCAGTGCTTGAGCCACCCTCCAGTGGAAGGTCTCACTTTGCATCACTTCCCTTGAACTATGTTGAACTGAATGAACCGAAGGCAAAATGGATGAACCCGACTACATGATGCATGTTTTAAATATGTTCGCTGCAACCCTGACGTTGCGCCGCGTCTGACTTCAGGTGGATATGAATATAAAGTTGATGCTATTGCCCCAATCAACATATTGTTACATATTGTTCATAGGGGGTGGCAAATGTTGATCCATTATGAAGATAAAATTGATGTTAATTATTACCCCAATCAACATATTGTTCATAGGGGGTGGATATTTTTGATCAAGTTGATGTTATTACCCCAATCAACATATTGTTCATAGGGGGTGGCACATTTTGATCCCTCATGAAGATAGGGGGTGGCGAATGTTGATCCCTCATGGAGATATAGTTGATGTTTTTACCCCAATCAACATATTGTTCAGAGGGGGTGGCAAATTTTAATGTGATAAGGATCATGATGCAATTAATCATCATCATCATCATCATCATCATCATCATCATGGTGACGATTGAACATGTGGAGCAACGTCCGGGTTGGGGCGAACATGTTCAATGGCTCAATACATCTCCTTTTTCCATGTTCCATCCTAGCATCATCAAGAACTAACAAGGTGCAAATATGCAGAAAGACCCTCTCTCATCTGCCTGGGAGCCTGGGAACGCCCTACCCTACCTGCCCACCTTTGGAGTTCCGAAGCATTCATCATATACCTGGATGGTTTCCAAGCTGCTTGCAAATGCTTGCACGATGGGCAGGGATGGCTCATGTTAACATTGTTAACTCATGTTCCCTGGAGCCCTTTTACCGTGAATGAGCGGTGCATTTATTGATAACTTGTTTTGAATACCGGACATGGGATCATTAAGCATACGTCTGGACACGCTACACCTTGGAAGGCGTGAAACTTTGACTGGAGACTTGGACACTCCGAGAATCGGCTTCTTCAACCTTCTTCATGTCTTCAGGACACTCATCAGAAGAACAGTTTTTCTCAGAAAAGCAAGCGAACGACAAACCGACAAACAGCAAAGAGTCCTCACTCTGTTCTCTGCATTATCATTGAAGCATATCACGGAGACAGCAGTCTATCATAGATAGATAGTGAAGAGAGTTCTGAAAGCGAAGCCGCACACCTCAAAACCCTTCGATACAAAGAAAGAAAAACATCATGCTAATTTTGGGATGATTTTCGCAGGGTAGGGATACTTTACGATGCTCTTCTTAGCCATGATGATGCAGCCATCCACCAATCCAGTCCAAGCGGCGCAAGCTCCCTCCGTCGCTTTAGCCAAATGGCAGCCATGGCCTCAAGTCCTCCCTCGAGCTGTGTCAAACGTGTGGCCGTTGGTTGCGCGCTTAGGGTGGCGAGGTTGGCTGAGGCTGAGGATCTTGGAAGATCAGTGGTTGTGATAGGATAAAGCACTTCGTTTTTTGATCTTCTGAAGTCATGGACTTGGGAAGGGTGTGCGACTGCCAGGTCTTGCTAAGTCTGTTCGACGTTGTCTTGCAGCAAAGCTAATCATTGAGGAGATTTGGCTCATTTCTATGTCAGCAGTATGAATTTATCCCCGGGAAAAAAATGCGATTGCTCCCAAATATGTTGACCCAACACTATGAGAAGCATCCTTCCATGAAAGGATTGAGCCAAATCAATGGTCAGCAGTGGTCGAAACTCAACTCCTCCAAATATGCCGAGGAAAGGCTGGTGACGGCAACCCTGAGTCTTGGAAAACCCGCTCAAAGAAACTCCAGTCTGGAATTGTTTTGAGATGCTTCAGCAATATCTACCCTCTGGCAATTTAACATAGCTATTGAAAATTGCCCATTTATAGTGGATTTACCTATTGAAAATGGTGATTTTCCATCGTTTTTTTGTAGGTTTACCAGGTTTTTTTTCCAATATGTCCTCAATCTTCCAGAATATCCCCCCATCGAACAACCTCCATGGGATGATGCGCTGGTTGCAAGCCTCTGGCGAACTGGTTATGACTAACATAGCCATGGAAAGATCCACCATTTTTAATAGGTAAACCATCTATTTCTATGGGCCGTCTATACCATGGCTATGTTAAATAACCAGAGGGTATATTAAATATTATAGTATCTATAATGTATCTATATTGATATCTATATCTCTCTCTCTGTATAGATATATATATATATCATTTTATCGCAAATAATGTATCTATATTACATTTTTTCATATATGCTATCAAAATATATTAAAATCTATCAAATCTGGATAAATGTGGTAATGTCATGTTCATATCAATAAATAGCCCGAATTAACCAACACCCACATTCCAGAAAAAACATGGCAATACTGCTTTGAGTTGGTCCCTCTGTATTAATATCTACTAATCAACATGGGTGGTCACCTCCTATTAAACAACACCCTTCTGGAAATCCTAATTCTTGGATTCAAAAAGCAGTCGAAAACAAATGGATTCAAAAAGCAGTCGAAAACAAATGGATTCAAAGCATTTCTCATACAAAATCCCATGAATCTCATTGGAAAACGAATGGATTCAAAGCATTTCTCCTACTACAAGTAAATCTCATGAATCCCATTCCAAATCTCATGAATCCCATTTTGTTTTTTCTGCCCATTATTTGGGGGCTTCTGGGTGGAGGGGGGTTATCAATACGATCTTGGCATTACGTAGTAAATATTGCAGAAACATCTTGTGATATTCCTACATGCACCGATATGCTAGGCACTTGGTGTTTGTATACATTCCACTTCTGTCCCTAACTTGGGTACATTATGGTACATTTGAGTTCTTTGTCGCATTCTTCAGTAATTACCCTCTGGTAAACTAACATAGCTGTTGAAAATCACCATTTTTAGTGTGTAAATCCACAATAAATGACCATTTTCAATAGCTATGTTAGTTTACCAGAGGGTACCATGCATTTCTTTTCTGCAAAAATGGGGAGCCGTGAGTCTTTCGCAATGTCCATTCCCGGGCTCAGCTTGGCACCGAAAGAGAATTCCGTGGAGATTCCCAGGCGTTGCCGACCAGCTTTCACCCGCCTCCTGGCGGAGGTCATCATTTACACCAAAAAAATGAGGTGTTTGATGGTTTTTGCGCAAGCGCTTTCTTGCCATGTGCCATCATGTGCCATGCTATCCATATCTATCCATGCTCACAACGCACAGCCAGAGTAGCTGTTGTCTAGGTGTTGTCCAGTCAGAAAATTGCTACAGCCCAACAAAAAAACAGCTCCACTGGGCTCCCCCACATGCCACGCTGCTGTAACAGCTTGTCACGGCGCACCAGCCTTAAAATTCCAGCCGCCCCAAGAAATCCATGGTGAAACCTTTGGGACGGAAATGGGCAAAGAATGGCAAAGAATGAATAGAATCCCAGTGAAGGGTCACAAAATGAACCCGGAACATTGATGTATAGTGTGTGCCAAAGATGCTCACGCAGAAATTGATGGTATAGGGACATGGAATCAAAATGTCATTGTTCTTTCACGATTGTTATTATATATGATCATATATATATATATTGTTTGAGCATTGGTGTTGCAGCCCCTGCGGACAATTTGCACCACCCGTGCAATCTCTGCGTTCAAGTCTGCTCTTCTCAAGGATTGCGTACAGGGGATGGGTGGCTCTCCATTCTGTGGAGGCAGCGCGGCAACTTTTTAAGCCAGTGATGCACCTATTATCAGGTCGGAGGGCAGAAGAGCGCGGTTGCGGATGGAGAATATAGAATTGCAAAGCTTGGTTCACTCCACTTCGCACGAGCAGCAGAACTTAGAGAATAAAGCTCAGAACTTCGAAAACGATGCTCACAAGTTAGCGGAACACAACACCGTGCTTCAGAAGGGAAGTTGGAGGAAGCGAGAAAGATCGGTGAAGAGAAGGCGGAACTCGAGAAGGAGTTGAAGGAAGCGCCCCGAACTTTTGGATCGAAATTCGCTTAGGATAGGACCGTGCGAAATAGTTTGCGAATTTATTTTAGGAAAAGAATAATACTTGGATGGGTTTTGGGTGGAAATGCATTTTGGCAAAGGAAAAGCCAGCTTGAAATGAGATACCATAAATATCCATAAAATACATTAAATAATTAAAATACCATAAAATTCATAAAATATCGCTACCGACCAATGACCCCCTTGAGCCCTGAAACTTCGCCATCTGAAGAAAATCTATCCACGCAGTAGCAGCTAAGTACATGTCTTTCTGATGATCAACTCGTTGCAATGTGCACTTCTGGATAAAAAGCACGAAGGAACATGAGAATAGCACAGGGGTGTCCTGTCTGAAATATGTTTCAAAACGTCCGTCAGAGTCCGTCATCATCGATCTTGTACACAGTTGTATCGCGGATCATCCCTGATCAAATTTCCAAAGTCTTCCAATGTCTTTCTCAGAGAGTTTGATCAGCTGAAGTGGAATGAACACCAAACATCAACCAACATACTGCTAGCCGATCTAGCAGTAGAAACAGTGGCGGGTCTGCTCCGATATGCTCCGATCACCTCTCACCTTTTGTCAAATTGCTGGGATGGCCCAACAGTTCCCCGAGTTCCTTCCGACGTTGTTGCGTCTGGGCGAGAGCTCGGACCTGAAGTGGACATGTTGAGAGTTCGGAAAGAATTGTTTTGCAACTTCTCAGAACTTCTCTGACTTCTCTGTCACACTTCTCGGATTCTCTCCACCTTCGACTGCAAGAGCTTTTGGGGCTAGGTGTTGAACGATGATGGCGCTCAAATTGCCAAGCCCAGCACCTCGCCCTCAAGCTCGCGCATGATGAGACAGGTTTGCCATTGAACAATGGACTTTGCCACGTTCCTGAGCACCATCAGTACATATATCAGTACATATATCAGTACATATATCAGATATTATCAGATCATATCAGTACCATCATGTACCATCTATCATCTATCCGAATCTAATTATGCCTCAGTCCGAAAACCCACCAAATATCATAGGATTTCCGGATACCATCATGGCATTGAACTGTTCCTCTGGAAGCTGGCAGTTCAATACACAAGTGTCATCGGCAATGATCTTTCAGCCGAGTGTCGTATCTGCATAGATATGGTCTCCAACATACATCACCTAACCATCAGAGCGAGATCATTTGGACCCTCTGTACATCTGGTACAATTCCTCTAAAGCAGGTGATCTTCTGCAGTGCAGTCGAAAAATGAATATGTAAATGTAAAGTAATCATGGGACAAATATTCGTAAGCAGCGATACTCACTGCCTGGAACTCTCCTAAGTATTTGACTCCAAGTTTGCAGGTATATGCGGTAGTATAGAGGTGGTTTATAAAACATTATAACATTAAAATGGGGGTTCTATGGGGGCCTAACATCATATATATCATACATTAGACATGTCACATTTACCAGAAAGATCAATGTTTTTGCGGGTAGTGTCAACCCCGGATTAATAAACCCTGGTTTATTAATTAGGGGGTACCCTTCCAATTAAACAATCTAGGGGTTATTAATCCAGGGTTGACATTACTCCAATTTTGAGAAGCTGTCACCCCGTCCGATCTTCGCACCTGTTGCCCTCCGTATCCGAAGCACTCCTCCACCATTCGCGCATGACCGCCGCAATAGACCTTGCCCGCCTGGGCCAACGCAAGACCCCAAAGAATCTTAGTGGGATATAGTGGGGTTGTTCATCCCAAATAGTCAACCAAAATTAAGTGAAATCATCAGTTCAGTTGCCACATATTGAAACCACAAAAATGAACAACATCAAAAACACACTCTGTTCAGCCGCTCTAGCCATGTCCCTCACGTGACATGCCAATCAGCATGGCTCATGGGCAAGGGCCATCCTCCAACGGCACCTTCATCTTTGCACGTGGTGTAGAATGAGTGAGGCCCCGTTCCTGCTACAGGCGCTTTTTGCGCTGCATTGGTGGAGTTGCTTTGGAGCCCAGAGATATCAATCTTATCACAACTTACACAACTTATCACTGAGGATGATCCCCATTAGGAATGAGTCGGGGGTGATTTCCGGTTGAGAAAAAAAGGTACACGTTTAGCACAGCAGCTCCAAATATTCCAAATTAAATTGAGAATGGAGCTCAACTTGTCAGCCATCATCGGGCATCCATGGCTGACTTCAAAACCCTGGAGAAGTCATAAGTCGATCAGCTGGAGCCTCATCAATGACTTCCCACAAAGGCATCCTGGTCAAGCCATCGCAAGTGCTTCCGTAAGAGTTTTTGAAGGACGAATGTTTCCAAACCATGCAACTCAAAGCACAGGCTGCAGGCTCCTGAGAGTCCAAAAGTCTGGCTTCTGCGCATTGGTGATGACCTGCTCCATCGCAATGTTTGGATCATTCTCTCAGTGCCCCCAGCGATGGCGTGACGATGGAGCCAAGATGCCACATCAAAGAGCGAGCGCCAAGTCAAGCCTGGCCTCAAGACTAAGCCGGGCCATGGGAAGATATGGGAAGCGGGGGTCACGGATTGGGACATGGAAGTGCCTACAACGTGCCGCAGTGCGACATTCATTCCAAATGCCAAAATGAAACGAGATGAAACTCCGATGCTGATTGAAGTGAGCAAATTAATAAATGGGAAAAATGAACAAAACTAACAAAACTATACAAACGTCATGTCATACGTATGTTAAATTATAATCATTTATAATCAGTTATAATCTATCTAAAAATGGCATTTGCGATGGAACTCCCAAGTGCCGGAAATCCCAAGCAATGTTTGCACTTGATGCAGTTGCAATCTGAGATTTGCTGCGGCAGATAGCGGTCGTAGGCGTAGCTCATCATCCTGTCGGTTGAAATGATTCCCGTGGAAAAATGTAAATCTTAGCCATGAAGATGCAAAGAGTATCGGTTAAAAAGGCACACGATCCTGCGGTTACAATGGGTTACAACCTAACAGCGAACTGATGTTTTTTTTTTTTTAACATCTCTGGACTTGTCAGAGTGCATCGTACTCCACGCTTTTCCATATCATATGATCCAAAGAATTTCTAAAATCATGCAACATGGAAACTTCTGACAGCTGACCTCACAAAGAAGACACCCTGTACTGCACATGGCATTGGGGCATTGCAGCAGGTTTGGTGACATATGGCACAGAAGGATACAGAAGGTGGGGTCAAGCATAGTGCTCGATGCTCAAGAAGCTTTGCTGCTGGAAAGTCCTCCTGGTGTACTCCCAATCATTGTTGGTGATCAGCACCTGGAGAATTTCATTGACCACACAGTGGATCCCAGTGGTATCAGTGGTGGTCAGCAATGGAAGTTTGCCTGGGGGGGATCTTGACGGTATCCGGTTAAAGATTCTCTCTCTCTCTCTCTCTTTCCCGTCCAAAAAATCCAGCTTCCACAAATGGCATAGCCACGCATAGCCCTGCAAAATGTCCAAAGTTCATCGAAGTTCTCGTTCCTCGAACGCAACTATCCACCCTAGTGGAAACACTAATAAGATGATAATAGATGACTATAAGATGTACAGTGACTATCAGTGACTGATGTCTTACTTCCAAGGTTCCCCAAAAGATCAGCCTGGACGGCCCGGGTTTCCAGGCCAAGCGCTTTCCCGCCAGCTTCTGATCCAGCAAGACAATGGGCTAAGCGGCACCGCTGCAGCATTCTGCTGCGACAAAGAGAAGTTCTTTGTCGACAACTTGAGGAGTTTCGATGTATCAATATGTATCACACATTATGGTCCATTGTCATCCACTATCAATGATACGATTTGGATAATGTATTTCCATTGGATACGATTGGTGCATTGTCAATTGAAATCTATTGAAATCTCTCCATATCGTATCTATCGATTCCACTGCCCATAGCCATACCATCTCAATCGGCCAAGGCCCCAGGCTGCTTCGGAGTCCAGCTCCACATATTCCGTGGGATCCTGTTGGCATCACCAAAACACTGCAATTTTATGCAAATGAAAGAACTCAAAGAACACTTAATGATACACTTAATGGACATTTAATGGACATTTAATGGACATTTAATTGAGATTTCATGGAGATTTCTGGGCCACTCCTCCCACCAATGGCATTTCAGAAGCAGCTGAAGCCCTTGGTCCTCGAGGATCCTCTCCTTGAGAATGCCATCTACATGTGCTTCAGAGACAGCAGCTCCTACCGACCGTGCCTTGCAGGGTGGACCCTACTGTCGCCTTTAAACCTGTGAAAATCCAGTTTTTGCATCAGACCTGACGCATCCTGACACCACAGCTCCTATGTTTGGAGAATTTTACCTACCATCTGGTTATGACTAACATAGCCACGGAAAGATCCACCATTTTTGATAGGCAAACCATCTATTTCTATGGGCCATCTATACCATGGCTATGTTAAATAACCAGATGGTACCGTCTTGCAATTAGATTTCTGATTCTCTCTGATGCTTCCAAACCCTGGGCCACCAGCCAGCCAGGCATAATCCACTGGGAGTGGAGAGTCGTCGGCCTAGCCAAGATGAATTGCTCACCCCGCTAGCGGTTGATGGGAAAATCACCGAGCTAATCTGTTGCAATATGCTTGGATTTACTGGGTGACGCAACCATCAGAAATATAGAGGAAATTATTACAGTATATATCAGATCGATACATATGGGGCGAACCGAGCTGTATATGGGATTATGGATATATTGCCACATTGATAGTGGTCGTGGTTGAACCATGCCTTGCAATGTTGTTGACACACCACATTCCACGCAGGCATATGGCTGCATTTTTTGAATCTTTGATCAGGCTCCCCCTTTCCTCATCATCACCACCGCAGGTAGGACGGGAAAAACATGGTGTTTTTTTTTCAGGTTTTTTCTACATGAAACATCATGAAACCATATGGATGGGTCAATACCTATAGATACATTTTTAGTGGGATGAACATCCATAAATCCCAGCTATTTTGGGGTTCACTAGGTACCAGGGTTTTGACCCATCCCCATATGAAACCATCATCATCAGTGCATCCGCAGCATGTTTGAATCCGCGGTTGAACCATCCTTGTATTCCTGGTCGATTCGCTCCACCAGCTGACAAAATAAACAGCAGTTGGCCACCTCACAGCGCTTGGGATGAACAGCTAGGGTCTCATCCCGATTCCGTTGGGTATATCGATACCCTCTGGTTATGACTAACATAGCCATGGAAAGATCCACCATTTTTAATAGGTAAATTCCATCTATTTCTATGGGCCATCTATACCATGGCTATGTTAGTCATAACCAGAGGGTATATCACAGTATGATCCAATACTGCACTACACTGTTTGAAAACCAAGTGTCAGGACTGGAAGCGGAGGCGGCCAATCCATTTTCTCTAGCATTCAGGACTGTTGTATAGAACATGCTAAAAACTCTGCTTCAGTCACAGCCCACACAATCTAAAGTGACCAACGCTCAAAAACTCTGATCAACGATATCAAAATTACTAAGCATACTAGTAATATCATATTATTATATAATATATATATATGTGCGTGTACATAACTTATATACATAATATATATCATAATATCACCTCCAGTGGTGCAGGATTTCCGAGGCATCCATGTCATCCCCTGAGACTCGGCTGAAAATAAGGTGTTGATGAAGGTCCATCGCCTCGGACGCACGTTAAGAATGGACAGAGTCGAGGACAGAGAAAAACGGAAGAGTGAAAAACACCATGTTAAAGCATGTTAAAGCATATTTTGATCCAACGGGGATCGGATCACCAAAAAACCCACGACCGGATGATGACTCGAGGGTCGGACGACTCTCTCAAGTCCACGCGGCAACGTTGTCGCCCATACCTCGAGTCGAGCGGGTCTAAAACGACCCCCAGGGATGCACGATGCACGGCACGCAAGAGATCGCGGTTAAAATCACTGGAAAATCACTGGGAGGCTTCTTCTCTAAGTTGCATTACTAATGAAAAAGTTCCATATATTCTAGTGTCACCTATGCTTTGTAAACGCGTGGCTGTTGGATGAAATTATATTGTTGTCCATTTTTTCCGCACTTTTTCAATGTAGGGCCCAAACCCTCCGGAATCCTCCGGATCTGTCGGATTCCGAGCACCAGGCACTTCGTTTACATCCTCCACACTCAGCATTTGATTTCCATGGAGTGCCTGGCACGTCTTACGCTGCGACCAGGCACCATGATATGCAAATGGTAGCCCAAGACTAGTGGTTGTCCCTGAGATGAATAAACACGAACCTTTTCATGGCTGTCCATCATCCACTGACTGACAGACATGTTAAGTCATGTTGACCTCACATGACCTTACAACTCTTGAGACGTGCCTTTCTGACATAGCCATATCTGTCCACTTTGACCTTGGATGTCATTGCTCATGTTTGTTGGCGTATTTCAGTCTAGCATTCCAATACGTCGCCATGGCAGGTGTTCTGGACAAATGCAGCGGTGGTCCCTCACACCATTTCACACAATCCCTTATGGCACTGCTTCATTTTCAACCTCATCTCAGGACTCAACAATGTTCCCCAATTTTGCATCGATCACCAAGCCACCTTGAGTGCATGCTCTGGCAGAATGCAACTACTCGGAGAAGCCAGTTGCGGTGTGTAATAATGTGTAATAGCTGTTTCAAACGGAGGAATGGAATCTCAAAGGCTCCCACATATCACGGCAGGTCAGTGGTATGTCATCAAGACGATCAGAGCATGTCAGAGCATGTCAGAGCAACTCCCCATGCGGAACTTTGGTGGGTAGCTATTGCTGCCCAGCGACGAATCACAAGGCCAGAATCGAACTCCAAACCCTTGGGCGAGACAAAGACCAGCTGAACAAAATGAACACATCAGATTCTTCTGTCAAAGATAGAAAAAGGCCATGCTCACGATTTTGTATAACACCGAACATTGCGAAAAAAAATGCAGGATAGAGACACATTGAGTCTCATCTGCATCAGTTATGTACCGCTGCGACAAAAACCAACAAAATGTAACGATGTCATAGCCGTTTGATGGGAAGGCCCCATGACATCACAAACAGCAACATATTGCTCCAGTTCTAGATGCCCCGCCTCCACTTCAAAGCCTGGAAGGCTCTAAATGCTCTAAGGCTGGGAATGGTAAAGTGGTAAGCATTGCGGTCTTGCGCTCTGCCGTTTGGATCAAATCCCCCTGAAATCAACACATAGGAGACATTGCATGGATCTGCAAGGCACTTTTTCCTGAGCAGCTGGGAAACTAAATCGAAGCTTGTCCTAAGTCTTGTGGAAGCCATCTCAATCTCAATATAACGAATAGCCCTGTACAGCGCCTATGCATACGCTCCCAACTGCATAGCACATTGATCTGCTGCCTGCCTCACTGCTTGGTGCGGATCACTGCGCAGAAGTTCCACTTCCATGAGGTGCTCCTGCGCCTCCTCACCGAAATGCGCCATGGCCTCCAGAGCGGCTGCCCGGATCGTAGGATCTGAGTCCTCGAAAGAGCTGGCCACCTCTGAGGCAAAGGCAGCTGCACCAGACATGGAGCCCAGGGTTTTCAGGGCCGAAGATCGCACTGAGCTGTTGCCATTCTTCTGGAGAGCCATGCGACACACGATGGCAGCATAGCTATGGGCTTCTTCGCCGCATTTTTCCATGGATTGCAAGGCTTGTGCTTGCACTGCAGGCACGGGATCATCCAACAGCACAGCAAGGTGATCTACATACAAAGCTGCTTCCTGCAACTCACCAAGAGCTTTGGCAGCTCTCTGTCTGACAGTTGCCTGTGAGTCGCTGAATAGCGCCAGCAACAAGTCAATCCCCTCTTCCTGCAACAAAGTGCCAAAGGCCCAGCAAGCTGCCTCGCGAAAAAGTGCTTGGGGATGCTCCAGGTAGCTCAGCAACTTCCCTTTATGTCCGCTGGCATGGCTTCCCATGCAGGCCAGGGATCGAATCAACGAGGCTTTCGCATCTGCTGGGATGTCTTCGGCCAGCAACACGGCAATGGCATCTGCATGTTTGCCACCTTCCTCCCCCATCAGGGACAGGGCAAACGCTGCGGCACATTCGCTTCTCCGCAATTCGGGGCCCAAGCGCTTCTCAAGACCAGTGGCTGCCAATGCCAGAGCCGTGTCATCACCAGGCTGCAGCAAGGCGGCTACGTCTGGGGCGCTGCTGACCACTCCCATGTGCCCCAAAGCCATGGCAGCAGCGCAGCGCCCTGGCCCCGGTCTTCGCAAGAGATCCAGCGTCAAGGTCAAGGATCGACGGGCGCCGCGAGGACCCAGGGCGGCAAAGAAGCCAACAGCTGCCTCCTACAAGTGGTGGTGGTGGGAAAGTGGTATGGTTATGTATGGTACATCAATGTATATGGATGTATAATGTTGATATGGGCAATATAGGCAACACTCCCACAAAATTGCCAACCGCTGCTTCAAGTGTTGTTGGATTGTCCGATTGGGGGGTTAACCCTTCCCATCAATTCCAGACAAACAAGGACAGCTGCTGCCCCTGAATCCTTGGAAGCGGAGCTTGCAAGAACATAACATAATGGAACTTATCAATCCTAATAAACATCAATGAACAATGTCTCCAAAATAATGGGAACTCAAATTTCCCCTGGTTTCCCCGTGGTGCTCTTGGTGCAGTTCACAAGATGTTTCTGGCTGTCATCTCAGCCTCTGGACCCCTCTGTCCTTGGTCTGAAAGTCTGAATCGTCCAGCAACTTCGCCACGTGTCCTGCGAAACGTTCGCTCGCTTCCGCAAAGGTGGTGAGGGCCTGCACTGCAGAACAGCGAACAGCCGCAGAGGAGTGGTCTAAGCATTGAACGATGGAACTGGCCAAGGGCTGGCCACTCTCACCCCAGCATTGCACTGCCTGCAAAGCCGATTTCACCACACTGCTGTCACTATCAGAAAAGCAAGGTCGGAGCTCTTCGGACATGGTCCAAGCATTCATCTCCCCCAAGCATTCTGCAGCAGCGCTTCTCAATGAAGCCTCAGGATCCTTCAGGAAATCTAAGATGCGCTCCACATGCTGGGATGCTTGGAGCTTCTTCAGGACTTCAATGGCTGCTAGGTTGACCGAAGTTGTGTCATCTTCCAATGCTGACAGGACTTGTGGCATTAACTGCAAGCCAATCTCTGGTTGTGAGTCTACAATGGCTGACAGCAATTGAAGAGCCCAGCTACGCTCATTGGGGCCCTCATCAAATGCATACACCAAGTCTAAGGTGTCCAGTGCTTCCTGTTTCATCCTCAATGATCTTTCGAAGCTTTCATTGCTCTCGTTGAAGGCCTTCACCGGAAACATCACTTGGCCGGGGGCATAACGGCCACGATACGCGCCATTCACGGTAGGCGCCATGGCAAAAATGGAGACAAGAAGAAACCCTCTGGAATGATCAAAACAATCATGAATCAGTGAAATGTCTTTTTGTCGAGAAAACATGTGGCTGCTGGCGTAGAATTGGGATGAATTGTGGCTGCCCATATCATATATGGATCATTGACACACCTTCCTTGATCCTCCGCCATGGACTTCTCCAAATAGCATCTGCAAGGTTTTGCAGTGGGTAATTTTCGTAGTATGTCCTGGATAGTCAGCAAGGTCTGTAGAGCAGGCCCTGTTTCAGGCATAGACATCTCTTGATGCCTCTTCAAAACATGCTACTATATGCTACTATATGCTACTATATGCTATCATGCTTCAAAATGTTGCCCAATTTGTTTCAGGAATTTGCAGGATCTCTGGAGGACTTGAGGATACTTGAGGTTTTTTTAGGACATACTGACGTACCGCCGCAGTTTCTCCACGCCCCACCTTTTTTGCTGAGGATCTCTTTGCACTGTGCGTACACCGCTCCCTCCCATGCCTGGCTCTGAACGCTCATGTCACGTGATGTCGTATGTATCGAAATTCCAAGGAATGAAGGAATTTATGAATTGAAAAGTGATAGACACTGAAATAGTTCCTGACAACCCCATGAGTCTGAGTAGAAATAAATTATCATGTTTGAATGCGTTTGACAACAAGTACCAGTATTGAATCAACAATCCGACAGCATCTAAAGAAAATGATCACTGGTTCTGAGTTCCCTAATGTTCCCGAAGATCCTTAGAGCTTTGCCGATAGGATCTCCGTGTTCGCGCCTTCAAATTGTAGTGCACCAGTGTGTAATCCAAGTCGTAACCAATGACCTCTCAATTGTCCGGGCATCCTACTGTCGAATCCAATGATGGAGGCCACAGTGTCTCTGTTCGTGGCGTCGAGAGGATATTATGACAGGTTTTAATCGCTAATATCTGCCAGTTAATGTGCCTCTAGCCACAGCTCATCCCTCTTTCCATGAAAAAACCAAATGCAAATCCCCAGCAGGTCTGACACTGGGCCTGTACATCATCCATTACCACTTCCCGAGATGCAAAGATTCTGCGGGGTGGGTGTGCAGCTGTAGAAACCTCAGCTGTATGGGCGGCTGTATGGCATTGGTTCTTGCTGCTGTTGCCAGTATACCGATCCTATACACTATATATAATCTCTACATATCCGTCATATCCTTCATATCTGCATACCCGTCATATCCATTCATATCCACCATGTCAATCATCATCATCATCATCATCAACAACAACAACAACATCATGATCCTCATGATCATCCTCCTCCTCCCTGCTCCTCGTCGCCGTCGCCGTCGCCGTCGACGTCACTGCCACCACCACCGCCACCGCCGTCACCATCACCACACTACTGATCACTGCATGTTTCACTTACGTATAGTTTGCTTGCTGCAAAAGTCTGCAGCTGGAATCTGGAACAGCTGCAGTGTCCCATGTTGGCATTTTTTGAGGTTTCCAGCCTTCGTCCCGCGATGTTTCCCTTTGCCGCGGCGTGATGCCACCTGGACAACAGCTAATGATTTCAGGCTATGTGTGATATTTGGTAAACGTGTATGCATGTGTAAACATAACATGCAGATGCGTGTTTCTATCAAGTGTTGCAGGCATGCAAAGCCCCTCCAACCTCTGGTATACCGTTTCCCTGTCATCCCGCGTTTCCCCTTAGGTTCACACTAAGCCAAACATCGAAGTGACAAGACTCGCGTCCACAACCTGCCATGGCTTGGGTATCCACCGAGGTCTCCACACATCTCAGCCGCGCCTTCCTCCTGACGTCTGAAGGTCTTCGGGAGGAAGATGCTGCAGATGTGCCCTGGGAACTGCCAGTCGCCATGGTCAACATGATTGGACTGGACAAAGTTTGCCAGATTTTGCCAGCTTGCCCATCGAATCCAATCCCAATCGAACGGGTGAATGATGATGAATCGGATATAATCGGATGAATGATACCCACGCCGAAAGGGTGAAAACATCTGAAGACCGACCTGCAAAGGCACACCCGGCGGCCTGACAATGACCAGGTTCTCAGGGACATGGAAAAGGCCCAATCGATTGAAAAAACACTTCCAAGTCCCCAAAATCTCCCAAAATCAGATAGGTTATCATGGTTTATCATGGTTTATCATTGTTTATCATGGTTTATCATGGTTTAATCATGGTTTAATCATGGTTTAATCATGGCTTATCATGGCTTATCATGGTTTATCATGGTTTATCATGGTTTATCATGGTTTATCACGGTTTAATCATGGTTAATCATGGTTTATCATGGTTTATCATGGTTTATCATGGTTTATCATGGTTTATCATGGTTTAATCATGGCTTATCATGGTTTATCATGGTTTATCATGGCTTATCATGGCTTATCATGGCTTATCATGGTTTATCATGGGTTATCATGGGTTATCATGGGTGATCATGGCTTATCATGGTTTATCATGGTTTATCATGGTTTATCATGGTTTTATCATGGCTTATCATGGTTTATGATGGTTTATCATGGTTTATCATGGGTTATCATGGGTTATCATGGTTTATCATGGTTTATCATGGTTTATCATGGTTTATCATGGTTTATCATGGTTTAATCATGGCTTATCATGGTTTATCATGTTTATCATGGTTTATCATGGCTTATCATGGCTTATCATGGTTTATCATGGTTTATCATGGTTTATCATGGTTTTATCATGGCTTATCATGGTTTATCATGGGTTATCATGGGTTATCATGGTTTATCATGGGTTTTCATGGTTTATCATGGTTTATCATGGTTTATCATGGTTTATCATGGTTTTATCATGGCTTATCATGGTTTATCATGGGTTATCATGGGTTATCATGGGTGATCATGGGTTTTCATGGCTTATCATGGTTTATCATGGTTTATCATGGTTTTATCATGGCTTATCATGGTTTATCATGGTTTAATCATGGTTTATCATGGGTTATCATGGTTTTTTTCCCCATGAACATGGCTTAACATTGCATCAGAACCTGCCATATTTTGAGGCGTCGACGACCGGAGATTGCCTTTCGACGGATCTGGCACATAGGAAGGATGCCATCGCTGACGACCTGACCCAAAAGCATCAACCATTCAGGGGCGCGTGAAACTAGACTAGATGTCTCTATAATCATATGTATATATGTATATGAATATGTATATGTATATATGTACATGTACATGTACATGTACATGTATATGTATATGTACATGTATACATGTATATGTATATGTTTATGTATATTATGTCATGTGTGATATGATATGACGTAATATGATAGAATATGATGTGATATGATATGCGTTCGGTATAGCAAAATATTGTAATATATAATTATATTGTACTCACTATATGTAGCTTTAATGAATATAACCATAGTGTCACCATTCAGTATATATCCCATCTAGTTAATGATGTGTATTCAATGTGTATCTGAACGACGCTGTAGTGGTCAGGATGGAACCAATGACTCAAATTTGAACCCATGCAATCCCATGCCTGTACGAGTAGCATGCCTTAGACATTTTGGACCACTACATCACAACAAGGTAACTAGGACTCGTCCTCATGACAGATCTCAACACCCCTAAAGGAAATCATAGGAAATCCACATGATCATGGCAAATTACAAGGCTTTGAAATCTGTCATTTGGATTCGTTTGGCATCAAAGTTTTCTCACCTCTGCAGTCTACCTCTGCACAGTGCGCTTTTTAGGCCAACCATGTGGGAGGGAGCCAATCAAGCAGCAACAAGCCAACGTCACGCGTTGGTCGCATTAATCTGATCATTGGTCACAATCTGATTGTCTCCCCTCTCTAGATGAGCCACAGCCCAGCATCTAGCCCTCTGAAAACCAAGCTGCAGCACTTGATGGCTGCAGCCTCAGAAATCTATACATGTTGTTCTGAAGCTATTCGCATCAACTTCACACCTGAGCCAAAAACATTGTCATTGAAGCTGACAATGAAAGTTGCAGTACATTTAAAAGCGCCTGTGAAAAGAGTACTAATCCGATGTCCCGAAGCATTGTTTCTTTTTTCATCGGAACAAGTTCTAAATCGTTTCCAGCTTCCTCCACCAATCTTCCTCTGAAAGTTTGCGGGCTCCCCTAATAGGGTACAAAATTATCAAAATTCAATGGTTGATCAAAATGTTCCCAACAAAAATAAATCGATGAAACATAGTCTTAAAGTAACCATGTATGTCATGGATAAATCATGATAATTCCACGTATTAATCATTCGTTTTTTGGGCCATGGTGCATCTCAATCATCTTGAGGCATCCTTGTGACTCCTCCTCCACAGGCGCAACACATGCGATTCGCTCGGAAGCCCATGGTGTCCCAGTCTCCTTAGTGGCTGCTGGTGACGACACGTGGACGCAACAGTGCCGCAACTGTCCTCTTTTCGCTGTCCAAATATAAGTCAAACATAGTCAAACCATGCCAAATCTGTCAAATCTATTAACATATATCATCATATAATATCTATTAACTACCTCCATTCTATTTTCCAGAATTTGTGTAATTCCTATAGTTGAACATCAAGATGCCACACTCTTGCACCGTGCGTTCGTCGTAGTAGTCGCAATGGTGTCCTTGAGCGTCGTGCTCGTCACCTGTGTCACCATGATTGGGTCCGGCTGCTTAGCCGGTTATCTCTGATCTTTTCCATTTAAGGGAATGTCTCAAAATAGGGGTGCCCGCCGATGTTTTTGAATTGAAAAAAAAATCAGGCACCCCCTATTTTTTAGATATTGCCATTTCATGTCTATCCGTTTCTGTTCATTTCTCATTTATCATAAATTTGATTCCTACCTGGCGGAGTCATCTCTTTGCTTCAAACACAGTGCCGAAGTAAATCTGTGACGGTAAATCATTAATCTCATCCCATCATGTCCCATCATTACCTTGTGTCCCCTGGATTCCTGGATCCACTTTTTTTTGGGTCCGAAAAATCACAACCACATGGGTGTGTCTGAAAATTGGGTACCCCCAAGGTTCCTGGTTATATCATGTTATATCATGGTTATATCAATTTTTCTATGGGATGTGCATTTCGGGGCATCCAGGGATTCCCCCCTTGGGTTCTCATCCGTCCCATCGGACGTCAAGTTTCCTTCCGTGCTCTGGCACGGCGGCTTGCAGCAGGTATCCCTATCAATGCCGATGATGCCTGACAATGCGGCCAACTTGGCCGAGAAGAAGTCGAAATATGTCGAAATGCATAATGCGTTGGATCTGTATTTGAAAAAACACATAGTATATTGTAGTAAGTAAATGCAAGTAGTAGATTATAATAGATGATAATTAGGTAACACATATTAACTATACATGATATGCTCTTTGCATATGTACATAATGACATAATATTTAAGTACATCTTACATCTATGGCAAATGGTGCGGCTATGGGGTCCAAGAACCTTAGGCGTCATGGGCTGTCGCCTGCAGCTCCGAAGCGCTTCTCATAGCCAGCAGGGCATTCATAGACATCACAGGCCTCTAATCTTGCGAAGACCTTCCTCAGATGTTGGGTGTTTGAAATGTTTGAATATGTTTGAATGGCACTTATGAATTGCTCTGCAAAATTGGAACGCCCATTTTAACATCATTTGCACAGCATCAACGGCACACAGGATCCTTGCAAAATGAAGGTGTGAAGAGAAACACATCTTTTCATTTCTGCGCAATGGCACTGCAAATGGATGATATACATAAATGGAATGAAACTGGCAAAGAGTACATGAAGTTTCCTGATGCCCGCAGCCACCGACTTGAACTCTTGAGTATTTTCGCTGAGACTCAATACCTTCAATTTTTCTCCCAGATCTTTGCGTTTCTGCGGGTGTACCTGGCAACCGTAATGCCAGAAGACTTGGATACCAGGTTGTTTTACCCTGTGACACTTGAACGCCAGGCAATGCAGTCCACTACATGATATGAGCTGTTTAAAGGGTCACTTAATGGAACATGATGCAACACATCAATCTCGGCCCTCTTTGACATGTTAAATCCTTCATTCATATTTTTTCGGCTTCTCCCAAGCGTCACTAACCGTTATATACAAGATTTGATCCCCGTTGGCGTTCAACTTAGGGTGCAGCACCAGATTTTCATCCCAAACACCTAGTTTAAAAACCTGGAGAGCCAAGGTGTGAGCAAAAAAAAGTGAAACGATGAAAAGCCGACCTCACCGCTATTTCTGAAAATGAAAAATCAAGGTACAAAAGATTAAACTCAGTGTCTCTGGGGTATGTTGAAAACTAAAAATAAAAATGGCACAAGAGATGAAAACAGCAGTGCTCAGCGTGTGTTCAAAAACAAACCTTAAACTATAAAAATCATAACTTCCCCAGAGAACGGTCAACCACATCTCATCCCACCCAGCTTCCGCTCCCACATTGACCCAGTGCCTTGTTGGCATCGCAAATTCAAAGCTTTCAACGTTGGAATATTAAAACAGCTCTCCATGTTACACCACGCATTTGTGCCAACCCATCCTGAACCAAAACCCCAAAGATACACCACTAAACTTCACATCCTTAGGCCTTAGACTTTCATCTCACACATCCCTCTTTTGAACTTTGCCGGAGCAGCTCTCCATGTTACACCACGCATTTGTGCAAACCCATCCTGAACCTACCTCCCAAAGATATATCACAAAACCTCGGGCCGTAAGATTTTCATCTCACACATCTGTTTTGAACTTTGCCGGAACAGCTTTCCATGTTACACCACGCATGTGAGCCAACCCATCCTGAACCAACGTCCCAAGACACACTACATCTCACACATCCCTGTTTTGAACTTTGCCGGAACAACCCGGAACAGATGACACCACGCATGTGTGCCGCCAACCCTGAACCAACGTTCCAAAGATACACCACAAAACCTCAGACCGTAAGATTTTCATCTCACACATCTGTTTTGAACTTTGCCGGAACAGCTCCCCATGTTACACCACACATGTGTGCCAACCCATCCTGAACCAACGTCCCAAGACACACTACAAACTTCAGATCCGAAAATTTTCATCTCAAACATCCCTATTTTGAACTTTGCCGGAACAGATTACACCACGCATGTGAGCCAACCCATCCTGAACCGACGTCCCAAGACACACCACAAAACCTCAGACCCCAAGATTTTCATCTCACACATCCCTCTTTGGAACTTTGTCGGAGCAGCTCTCCATATTACGCCACGCATGTGAGCCAACCCATCCTGAACCAACGTCCCAAGACACACTACAAACTTCAGATCCGATTTTTTTCATCTCACACATCCCTGTTTTGAACTTTGCCGGAACAGCTCCCCATGTTACACCACACATGTGAGCCAACCCATCCTGAACCAACGTCCCAAGACACACTACAAACTTCAGATCTGAAAATATTCATCTCACACATCCCTGTTTTGAACTTTGCCGGAACAGATTACACCACGCATGTGAGCCAACCCATCCTGAACCGACGTCCCAAGACACACTACAAACTTCAGATCCGATTTGTTTGATCTCACACATCCCCGTTTTGGGCATGTTACACCACGCATGTGAGCCAACCCATCCTGTACCAACGTCCCAAGATACACCACAAACGACTAATGACTCAATTTTGCAAACCCATCCTCATCCAACCTCCCAAGATACACCTCTCAAAATTTCAATGTTCACCGTATAGGCGGCAAAAATGTCGAGCCTTGCAAGAAGACAAGGTCGAATGACCTGTGTGCGACCTTCAGGCCAAAATGGTTCTCAGTAAGCTTCAGTGGCTTAAACTACCTGCGCCCAACCTATTGCAAAAATGCTCTCAAGAGGTGTTCCCTCGGCTGAAATCCTTTGGCTTCATGGTTTATTTAAAATCACAATTCTAAAATATGTAAAAAGGGTTCAAAAGCTAAAAAGCTGAGGCTAAATTTGGCTGAAATCTGGCTTAAAAAAACAGGCTCCAGCTCCTGGTTTTCAGCCAGGAGCCCCAAACGGGGATAGATTTGGGAGTTCCCTCCAATTAGCCGTAATGACACAGCTGTTTTCAGGCCTTGCCCTGCAGGATCTTCATGACCCGGACGACTTCGTCTTGTGGATATCCAGCACCCTTCTCCAAGATCTTCTCCATGGTCTTTGCATATCTCAGCTTTGCTCAGCTGGTGCAGCTGTCCATGTTCAGCCAGCCCTTGTGGCACTACAACCAGCAGCTTTAGGTCTGCATCATTCAGTTTGACACAGAACTGTCCTGGAAAATTCCTTCCCTAGCAATGCTGCATTCTCGACCCTTCATTTCCATCCATAGAGAAGCTGCAAAAGTTCGCAAACCAAATATGTTTATATATGTTTTTCTACAAACTAAACAGACTTGGGATAAACATCAAGTCATTTCTAATTCCATTTCCACCTGCTGCTGGGCTTCATGGGTGCTTTTGGATCAGTGCTGTACTTCTTTGCGGTCTCCCTAGCCTGCTCCACATGCCTCGCTGGGGCGACACCCTGAAACTTGAGATGAAATTCCACGAATCAGGGCTGTGGAAAATGGATTTCCTGTAGAATATAAAATGCATATATATAATATATATATATAAATAATAATAATAATAATATATATATATATGTGTGTGTAAGTTAACCATCATATTTCATCATATTATATTGAAATTATCTACATTAGCCAGATATTTTTCAGCTGTTGATTCCCATCTTGACAGTCATCGGGGCCTGGGATCTGCATCCCTCAGAAACCGCTCCACCAGAGCGTCGAGCTCGTCGATGCTGGTGATGGAAGGCATCAGAATGCCCTTGGATCGCCTGGGACGTGGGGCCCTAGTTATGGGCCCACTTGGAAAATGATGCCTTTTCTATACATAAAATATGGGACACCCCCATTTTTTGGGACCCACCCTAGGATAATAACATATCATAAATGTACATAAATATTATTCATTCTGGGGAACTTGCACCTAAGAAACTTCTTATTATTCCATTTATATACTATTTTACACTTGGGATCAATTCCGGTTTCTAGCTTAAAAGCATTTTGGGTTTTTTCGAATTTTTACCACAAAATTGAATGCCAATCATTGATAATGTTCTCCCATTCTTAATAGAAACCATCAGAAACCTTTCTCGGGTGCATTCAGAAAGCTATTCCCCATCAAACCCCACCTCCCTTGGTATTTCATGGTATTTCCAGGTATTTCTTGCTCTCCTCCCAGAATGATAGAACATCCCTTGGACGTTGGCTTACTATCTGGGCCAATAAATTGATACCTCATTCTGCTGGGTGGCAGCCATCGGATCATGTTGGGAGTCTGCACGGCATCCGTGTATCTCAAGCCTTCCCCAAGCGCGTCCTGACACCAGAAATGGCACGCCTCAGTGCCAGTCTGTAAAATCAAATACGTCGAAATAAGATGAAATATAGATGAAATAAGGACTTAAAGCCAGTCAACTTTGGTAACCTGTCTTTGATCTTACGTGCCGAGTTGATTGGCAAGGTTTGTCGTAGCTTCCGCATCGTGTTACCATTTCAAATACAAGGCCGGTCCTGTCCTGTTATGGTCTTTTATTCAATTCATTTAGCCTCCGTTTTCCAAAGTCGCCGTGGAGACAACTGCCCGCAGTATCCTGGAAGAGGTACAAGGCCGGGAAGTCTTCTAACGTCAGATTGAATCTGATCCGAACCTGCTGGACACGTCAAATGGATACGGATCCAACAACTGGTGGAATGGCATTGCGGACGAGGAAGAAACTGCAACAAGCAAACTATAATTGATACACAATTTGGAGATATGTTGGTTGGATGCTGGATGGATGCTGCACAAACATCAGCCTCCACCCGTGTGAAACTTCACTACCCTGCAAGGTATCAAGGGCTGTTCAAAGCTATGTGGGTACTGGGGACTGAAAATTTGGGTCAAGATTGGACGCCCTAACCATCAAAGCAGCAACAGCAAGGACAGGGGGATGCGGGATCCCGACACATCTGTGGCCTCATCATTTTCCTTCTCGTTGAAGCGCTGAACTGGCACTTCTGCGGCGAAAAAGTTGGGCACCGCCGAGGCAAGTTGGCAAATTGTTTTGAAGGAATCTGCTTTCCTTAGCGAAAAAGGCATGCTACAGCGGCTGTCGGGATGCTTGGGCTGGAACCGATTGCCCGCATCCACTGCATCCACCATCAATGGATGATGGTTGTGATGATCATTTCTAGCTGGAAATCACAGGGCGCTGCTGAATACAGTGCCTCCAGCAATACCCCGTGATACCCCGTGGCTCCCATGCAATTGAGCCGTCTAAGGAGAGAACAAACTGCTTGGAAGCTGTCAAAATCTGTCAAATCTGTCAAAACCAATGCCATACTGCCAACCAAGTGTCTCACCTGAGCTGTGACCGAATGGCTTTGGGCTTTGGGGAATTGGGATGTTGACAAGTCCTTTAAGATTAATGTTCCCCACGACCTAAAACCACTAAAATCCACGAAATCACTAGACAGGGATCGCAGTGTGCCGGGTTCTCGACGTTCTTGGTGTGGCACCAAATAGGTGAAAAGGTCCCAAATTCCCAGACCACCACCTGGACCTACCTGGCTATGAACCACTTCACCTCCAAGACACCATCTCCAAACATCAAGATACTGTTGTGTTTGTTCGCTCTTGTCTGTTTGGCATTCTTGAAAAGAACTGCTGCAGTTTGTCGACAGGTGGCCAAATGAATAAGGCTCATCAATCCTCAGTGTCGCCGGCACGGTTGCCAAAGAGTCCCAACCATTGTGCGAGGTGTAGTCGTGCAGTTTCAGAGCATCGCAGCACCAAATGCAGCCGAAGGTCTTTACAAAAAAGCTGAGTCCAGGCGCTGACAGCATCCTCCCAGAAAATGCAGCTGTCAATTTAGTAACGTTCAAGATGAGTGTTCAGAAATGGGGGTAACAACCACACACCACTGAAACTGATTAAAGCTTGGACATGAAACCAAACATTATCAAAAGAAAGCAACTAAAAGAAAGCAACTAAAAGAAAGCAACTAAAAGAAAGCAACTAATGGCCAGGTCAAATCATCTTGAAAACCAGGTTCCAAGCTAGCTTTCGAGTAGGTGGTTCAGAAACTCAACTTGGACTTAGAGTTTTGCTGTAGCACATCTTGCAGGATGGGTCCAAAATTCGTGCTGCAGAAATCCCACTAGTCTCAGTGCCTACGGCTGCAGTCAAGCTGCTTGTCCATAGTCAGCGCATCCAATTTGAGACAACCGTGGGTCGCAGCGCGTGAAGGGCCTGGCAAAATCACGTGGAAATATGAGCTAAGTACCATGGTCTTATGGTTATTAAGTTATTAATGGCAATATTTATGGGGGTCCCATTGAAGTAATGTATAAGTCAAGTCAATATGATTGTTACCATAACTTGCTTGTTGACCTGGGGAAAATGATCTGTTGCAGTGCGCCTACCAAGAGGCAAAGCACAACCTCAGTGGCCATGGCAGCTGAAACACCCCTGTGGAAAACGCGCTGGTCCATCTCAAAATAAGCGTTGCTGAGGCATTGAGGAAGTAGTTAGTAGTTCCTATATAGTTACTTGCTATACGCGTACCTATAATAAGATAATTACGTACTAGAAACACATGCCTGTGACCCAACACTCGTCAAATCTCAACAGCGCTTCTGTCTCCTTTGAATCACTTCAAGGCACATGCAGCAAATGCATCCCAGCCATCCTCATTGGCTTGGTCCAAATTGAAATAGCGTGAAATTTCAATGCTTTAATAAGGTACTCTTTTACGCACAAAAATGTTTGCAAATGCCCGAAACCATGTACTCAACCCTTGGTGACACTATATACATAATGAGAAAAACATGTTGCGAACGCCCTTTGAGGCTGCATGGGGCATATTGAGCCAAAAGCATCCCACACATTGCCTTCACTCTTCAATGATTCAACATATTTAAAAATGATTCAAGTGACAATGGAGCCGATATTTTGGATGTCGCTTTTTCATGGCCTTAAAGTTATTAGAACAGCTCCACAACTGCCCAACTGATTTCTTGGCAAGGATCCTGATGGATTTCAATGTTTTTTCATAAATGAAAAACCATTAAAATGATACATCATTACACAGTTATACATACCATACCTACCCATATGTCATATTGATATTAAATGTATGTATATACATATATATATATATATTATATAAATGTACTGTATTACTGTATATCTGCATATATCCTTTATGATCCTTTATGATCCTTTATGATCCTTTATGATTCTTTATGTACTGTATGCATACATAACCATCATAACCTTAATATCATACCTGATTAATTACATAACATATTTATACACGAACCCTTCCATGAACCCCTCAGCCCTGGATCCAAGGGGTTGGGCAAAGGGAATGCCACCTGTCGAGTCAGCGCTGCAGACTGGACTTTCATTGGCGGCTTTCAAAAAAGCTGCGGCCATGAAATCGGCAGAACTTCTGCGTCTGAAACATCAGAAGAATTTTCAATCAAGTTGATCAACTAAAATCTCATCTGATCCATTCTTCGTGTTTGGCGTTTTCTGGGCATTGTTTGGCAAGGGACGAGATCCACCCTTCTGGATCCACGTACAACTTACAACTATACCAGGCAACCAACCAATGCTCAAGAGGGTTCAAAAGGGACGGCTGCCAGGCACTGGGTGTATGATGGTGGCCACCTTGCCGTTCCAGATTGGGGCTCTCTTCAAGTGGATTCGCACTTTTTGTCGCTAGGCTTCACAACGAAAAGCCAAGCTAGGCATGAAACGGTCTGCGAAAGCACTGTGCTTTCGCATTCTTTGCAGGCCTGCAATAGTGCAGGGTCATGATGCACAATGCAAATAGACACGCTTTTCGGACCGACCAACTTCAGGGGACGCTTTTTTTAGAACATCATATCTTGAGGCTGTTGACATATGTTGACATCATTAAACAAGGGGGGGCCTGAGAACCCAAAAGCAAAACGACAGCAAACAAATTTGAGTAATACTGATAATTGGTTTATTTCTTTTTCGCCTCTTGCCAGCTTCTTTTTAGAAGATGAACATTATGGACGCATTCACTGCAAATTTCATTTTTCCCCACCTGCCAGGTGAGGGTCGTTAGATTTTATCAGAGTTGTTCTCCTCGGCTAGCTGTCCTCCTCGTCCTCCTCCTCCTCGTCCTCTGCCTTCTCCTCCTCCTCTGCCTCCTCCTCCAGTTTCTCCTCGATCATGTCCGCATCAACTTCCACCTCAACTTCCGCCTTGCCAACTCTTCGCCAAGCTCTTTGCCAACTTCCCAGCTCAGTGTGCACCGCTGGACCTCAACCTGGGACCAAACCAGCTCAGTGTGCACCGCTGGACCTCAAACTGGGACCAAACCAGCTCAGTGTGCACCGCTGGACCTCAACCTGGGACCTTCCCAGCTCAGTGTGCACCGCTGGACCTCAACCTGGGACCTTCCCAGCTCTGCGTGCACTGCTGGACCTCAACGGCCAGATAGAATACCAGAAGATATGCCAGATAGAGTGTTAGAAGATATGCCAGATAGAATGCCAGAAGATATGCCAGATAGAATGCCAGAAGATTTGCCAGTAACAAAACGTATAAATGTCATGGTGGGGATAACTCGAAGTAAAGTAATTTCAGCTCTGCGCGGAAACATTGAGTGACAGTGCGCCATAGCCAAGCAAGCTCATTTGAGCACGGTCATGCGACGGCGGCTGATTTCCAAATCAACCTCTCCTTTCCTTTCCCTTCCTTTCCTTCCTTTCCGTCCTTTCCCTTCCTTTCCCTTCCTTTTCCGTCCTTTCCCTTCCTTTCCCTTTCTTTCCCTTTCTTTCCCTTCCTTTCCCTTTCTTTCCGTTCCTTTCCCGTCCTTTCCATTCCTTTCCCTTCCTTTCCCTTCCTGTCCCTTCCGTTCCCTTCCTTTCCCTTTCTTTCCCGAAGCAAAGGTTCCCGTTGCCCAACCGTCCGCAACCACTCGCAACCGTCCGCGCGATTGCTATATGGCCGTGCCTCTGGTAAGTTCTCCAGAAGGGCTAATTTTTGCGTTTCGCGTGGCAGGCGTGGCACTTCGTGACATTCAGACGTGTTTTGTAACGTGTCGAAAGTCATTTTGTGTGGCAGGCGCACTACTTTTGCGACGTTTTCAGAAGATGCGTTGCAGTTTTCGTGGCCGGCGCAGCACTTTGGACGTGTCCATCGTCATTTTGCGTGGCAGGCGCAGCACTTTAGACGCGTCGTGTTGCGTGTTTTTTACGAATCGCATTGGCAGGGCTGCGTCAAGTGGCGACAAGGTGCAGATTCCGTGGCAGACGTGGCATTTTGTGAGATGTGCTGAAAATTGACGGAAGCCTCCCACGAAACATCGATTTTGAGGTAGCAAATTTAAAGGCTCGTACGAAAACTCGCAGGAAAACGTCAATTTTGAAGCTATATACAAAGTGTGAAAATTGGAGGAAGTCTCGCACGAAAGGCTCGTTTTGATGCTCCCACATCTCTCGTCTCAAGTCTCTGGTTTTCCTGTAGCGTCGCCGTGTCTATGGGGGAAGCTGCAAAATCCCTCCTTTTCGAAGGTTTCCAAGCAGGTTGTCATGTCGTTTTGCGTGGCAAGGGTGGCACTTTACACTCTACACTCCACCACACTCTACACTTTGCACACTCCTCACTCTACACTCCACCACACTCTACACTTTGCACACTCCTCACTCCACACTTTAAATTAAAACTCTACACGCCACACTCCACACTCGACACTTTCCACTCCACACTCTACACTCCACACTTTACACTCCACACTCCTCACTCCACAATTTACACTTTACACTCCTCACTCCACACTCTACACTTTACACTTTGCCTTTCCACTCCCCCTTCACACTCTACACTTTACACTCTACACTCCACAATTTACACTTTGGACTCCACACTTTAAACTTTGCACTCCACACTTTACACTCCTACACACTCCACACTCTACACCCCACACTCCACCACACTCCACACTTTCCACTCCACACTCCACACTCCACACTTTACACTCCACACTCCACAAACTACACTTTCCACTCCACACTCCACACTTTACACTCCACACTCCACAATTTACACTTTACACTCCTCACTCCACACTCTACACTTTACACTTTGCACTTTGCACTCCACACTTTACACTCCACACTTTACTCTCCACACTCCGCACTCTACACTTTATGCTGTACACTTTACACTCCACACTTTACATTTTTGACTCCTCACTCACTCCACACTTTACATTTTACACTCCTCACTCCACACTTTACACTCCACACTCCACACTCTACACTTTCCACTCCACACTTCACACTCTGCACTTTCCACTCCACACTCTACACTTTACACTCCATACTCTACACTTTACATTTTTCACTCCACACCATAAATTTTACACTCCTCACTCCACGCTTTACACTCCACACTTCCCACTTTACACTCCACACTCTACACTTTACACTCCACACTTTACACTCCACACTCCACACTCTACAGTTTCCACTCCACACTCTAGACTCTACACTTTACACTCCTCACTCCTCTCCACACTTTATACTTTACACTCAACACTGTACACTTTGCACTTTACACTTCTCATTCCACACTTTACACTCCACCCTCCACACTCTACACTTTACACTCTACACTTTACACTCTACACTCCACACTCCACACTTTACACTCCACGCTTTCCTCTCCACGCTTTACACTCCACACTTTACACTCCACACTTTACACTCCACACTTTTACGCTCCACACTCCACAGTCTACACTTCACACTCCACACTCTACACTCCACACTCCACACTTTACCCACTGCACACTCCACCC